ATAAATCTCATCACACCTTGTAAGACTGAAAGATAACCCCGAGGTTGAATAAACCAGATAGGTTATAAGTGTAGGAAATAGCTAGTTAGGAAAAATTCGTTATTTTTTTTTTTATAACTTAGGCTTGGTGTTGTTAACACCAAAATCATTGGTTGGGAGGAGTGTAACGAATTTTTCATTTTTCAAAATTTTATTTTTGGAGTCCATTGCCGTTTTTTAGCACTTTAGACAGTTTTGACAGTAGGAAAGTGTTTCCCAGTCACAGTTGACAGCTTATATAGTTATATTTATGAATAGAACACTTTAGGTGTACTGGGAATGGTGTAAACTACTCTTTTCTGGGAGATTTATTTTGCTTTCGTTCGTGTGCATCTTCTCACCTCCTATTAGAGAGCTCTGTTGACCTACATTCAATAACTCGTTTTTCCTTGCAATTTCGCCATAATTAGAGCCAATGATGATTGGTTTTTGTTATATTTATCTAGTTTATATCTTAATCTAGCTAGTTAATTGCAAGATATATGTTTGTTCTGTGTTAAAAAACAGAGATCGTGATTGTTAGGTGAAGCTAATTTTCTGCAAAAGTTATGTCATCATTGCATCATATTAATTAATTATGCACTAGTGATATCCTGCCTGGGATTCCAGTGACTGGCCAGGTATTGCATCAGCCGCTCGTGAGCTATGATTGGTTAGGCAGATAGTTTCGTGTGCAAAACACATGTTACATACATGTTGGGGTATAAATACGGTGGCGGACGTGACTCGGGGGCTTTCTGCACATTGACTTTTGACGAACGGGACTATGTGGCTCGGGTTTATGGAATCTTTGGAACTATAAAACTTAGTCGTTTTTGCTAACTGCAAAACTTAGATGATTCTTGGAACTACAAAACTTAGGAAGTTTTTCGCTGACTATTAGCCCGAGGGAATAGTCTTAGATGATTATAAGCCACTGATGTTGGAATCTAGATGAATAAACTGGCTTATTGAGGGAAGCAATTGGAACTACAAAACTTAGGAAGTTTTCTGGAACTACAAAACTTAGGAAGTTTTTTCGCTGACTATTAGCCCGATAGTCCTAGATGATTATAAGCCACTGATGTTGGGGCTTCTGACACACTGACTTTTGACGAACGGGACTATGTGGCTCTGATTTACGGGATTTTTGGAACTACAAAACTTAGGCAGTTTTCTGGAACTATAAAACTTTGTCATTTTTGCTATCTGCAAAACTTAGAAGTTTTCTGCTATCTGAAGAACATAGTCGATCTGCTACATGGGATGACTGACCATTGACTATTGACTATTGACTTCTCTTAGCCTGATGAAGTAGCCATTGATGATTATAAGCCATTGATGTGACAACCTGGATGAATTTATTGGCTTATTAGAGGAATTTTTGGAACTACAAAACTTAGTCGTTTTTGCTAACTGCAAAACTTAGCTGATTTTTTGGACAACCTGGATGAATTTATCGCCTTATTAGAGGAATTTTTGGAACTACAAAACTTAGTCGTTTTTGCTAACTGCAAAACTTAGCTGATATTTTGGATCTACAAAACTTAGAAGTTTTCTGCTATCTGAATAACATAATCGATCTGCTACATGGGATGACTGACCATTGACTATTGACTTCACTTAGCCTGATGAAGTAGCCATTGATGATTATAAGCCATTGATATGACAACCTGGATGAATTTATTGGCTTATTAGAGGAATTTTTGGAACTACAAAACTTAGTCGTTTTTGCTAACTGCAAAACTTAGCTGATATTTTGGATCTACAAAACTTAGAAGTTTTCTGCTATCTGAAGAACATAGTCGATCTGCTACATGGGATGACTGAACATTGACTATTGACTATTGATTTCTCTTAGCCTGATGAAGTAGCCATTGATGATTATAAGCCATTGATGTGACAATCTGGATGAATTTATTGGCTTATTAGAGGAATTTTTGGAACTACAAAACTTCGTCGTTTTTGCTAACTGCAAAACTTAGCTGATATTTTGGATCTACAAAACTTAGAAGTTTTCTGCTATCTGAATAACATAATCGATCTGCTACATGGGATGACTGAACATTGACTATTGACTATTGATTTCTCTTAGCCTGATGAAGTAGCCATTGATGATTATAAGCCATTGATGTGACAATCTGGATGAATTTATTGGCTTATTAGAGGAATTTTTGGAACTACAAAACTTCGTCGTTTTTGCTAACTGCAAAACTTAGCTGATATTTTGGATCTACAAAACTTAGAAGTTTTCTGCTATCTGAAGGACATAGTCAATCTGCTACATGGGATGACTGACCATTGACTATTGACTATTGACTTCTCTTAGCCTGATGAAGTAGCCATTGATGATTATAAGCCATTGATGTGACAACCTGGATGAATTTATTGGCTTATTAGAGGAATTTTTGGAACTACAAAACTTAGTCGTTTTTGCTAACTGCAAAACTTAGCTGATTTTTTGGATCTACAAAACTTAGAAGTTTTCTGCTATCTGAAGGACATAGTCAATCTGCTACATGGGATGACTGACCATTGACTATTGACTATTGACTTCTCTTAGCCTGATGAAGTAGCCATTGATGATTGTAAGCCATTGATGTGACAACCTGGATGAATTTATTGGCTTATTAGAGGAATTTTTGGAACTACAAAACTTAGGAAGTTTTTCGCTGACTATTAGCCCGATAGTCCTAGATGATTATAAGCCACTGATGTTGGGGCTTCTGACACACTGACTTTTGACGAACGGGACTATGTGGCTCTGATTTACGGGATTTTTGGAACTACAAAACTTAGGCAGTTTTCTGGAACTATAAAACTTTGTCATTTTTGCTATCTGCAAAACTTAGTCGTTTTTCTGCTATCTGAAGAACATAGTCGATCTGCTACATGGGATGACTGATCATTGACTATTGACTTCTCTTAGCCTGATGAAGTAGCCATTGATGATTATAAGCCATTGATGTGACAACCTGGATGAATTTATCGCCTTATTAGAGGAATTTTTGGAACTACAAAACTTAGTCGTTTTTGCTAACTGCAAAACTTAGCTGATATTTTGGATCTACAAAACTTAGAAGTTTTCTGCTATCTGAATAACATAATCGATCTGCTACATGGGATGACTGACCATTGACCATTGACTATTGACTTCACTTAGCCTGATGAAGTAACCATAGATGATTATAAGCCATTGATGTGAAAACCTGGATGAATTTATTGGCTTATTAGAGGAATTTTTGGAACTAAAAAATTGCAAAACTTAGCTGATTTTTTGGGATCTACAAAACTTAGAAGTTTTCTGCTATCTGAAGAACATAGTCGATCTGCTACATGGGATGACTGACCATTGACCATTGATTATTGACTTCTCTTAGCCTGATGAAGTAGCCATTGATGATTATAAGCCATTGATGTGACAACCTGGATGAATTTATTGGCTTATTAGAGGAATTTTTGGAACTACAAAACTTAGTCGTTTTTGCTAACTGCAAAACTTAGCTGATATTTTGGATCTACAAAACTTAGAAGTTTTCTGCTATCTGAAGAACTTAGTCGATTTGCTGCGTGGGAATCTACAGGACTGGACAGCACTTCAAGAGGGTGAAGCTATCCCCAGCATAGAGCTTACAGAAGTGGTGTCCAGCCTTCATAGACCTAATTCATGGAATTGGATGTTCCTTTCTTCGCCTTGGTCCTAGTCAGTGTTTTATTCATAGTGACCTGTTTGATCGCGATTATATGCATCCGTGTGTGTATGAGGACTGAAAGGGACTCTACTAACCAGGAACCTCAAGTAACCCTTGCACCTAGGCCAGCATTACAGTCATCATTGGGATTCAGTTTGGCCACTGTGAACTTTGAATAGAATCCTACTGTGAACTATTATTGTACCAGAGAGTGGGTGCATATAATTAACAACAACAAGTTTATTTGGACATTTTGAATTTATTTGTGTATAATTAATGTTATAATATATGTGAAATAAACCTATATTGTTTGTCGTGTTGTAATTGCTGTAAAACACAAGTACATTTAACGTGTACCAGGAAATCCCAAAGTAACCTAGCCCTCACACTACCTTAAATCGGCTAGTTTGTTACAATAGTGATCAATCAGGTACACCCATACCATACAATTAGTTGATATAACATGAATATGCTCAGTTACCGCATTGACCGTGGAGACGTTGATCACGTAAATGATTTTCTTATCTATAACTTCATGAAAAACTGTGATTATAATTTTCTAATGCCCAAATCTTCACGTTTCCAACAGCAACTTGTACGACTTTCTAACAAGTATTTACATGTGAATCCAGAAAAGTATACAGCACATTGAATACATTATTTTTTCACCATCTTTATATGATTTATAGCACAAGGCGGGTAAACATAGAAAAGACTGGCGACATTTGCTTGGGAATATTTTTGGTGAGGTGAAAATGTCAAAATGATCGTTTCTATCATTTGACTAGAAGCTAGGATCATCTTGTGTAAAGAAAACACTTTATATGGAATGTTGCGTATAAAATTTTTTTTAATGACACCATACAATCCTGATTTTTGATATGGCGACAGTCACGTAAATTATGAATAGGCCTATTCTAGTACATGATATAATAAAATATTTGTAACTTAGAAATCATATATTACATACGTGCTATGTAGAGGGTCATATATATACTACTTGTAAACACATCAAAAATTGATGTCAGTAATGTTAATACTAAGACTGAGCCTTGAGACATCAATTGGGCCTAGTTAGGCTTAGGCTTATTGAGAATGTTTTCTTGTTTTTGGCCCAGCCTGTAGATTTCTTTTCTTGAAGCATATTTCAATGAAATGCAGGACTTATTTGAATTTCATTTTGCATTTGTAGGCTATACTATCACGTTTATGAATAAAATAGTAGGCGGCAGGGAGGGAGTTTGGTTACAGATATCTATTCGTACTGAAGTCTAACCCTGTGTGGATGGTGTATTATTATGTGGCGTGTCATGAGAGTTCTTCAAAAAGAAGAAGAAAAAGTATTTTCGAAAAAGATGAAAATGTGAAAATTTGGATTGTTTTACGTATAAATGCATGAAGAAGAACGATATTATCCCATACGCTATGTAAGTAAAAATACATTACTTCCAATGTGTCAGAAGAAATAACCAGTCAACACCAATATTTATATGAAAATTACCTTTTCTATTTTTATTATTGAACACAGCTGGCTCGACGTCTCCTACAGTTGGGGACAAAAATAAATGACAGGTCGATTTTCGATCACCATTTCCTAATTATGGTGGTCTGAAAGCCCATAATTTCCAATATTGTTTAGATATATATCCCTTAAAATTTGTATATTTTACATTTTGTATAATCTCATCCACTGATGTAAGGCCTCTTGTAAATTCTCTTATTTTTAACATGGGAAATCCTCACTTCAGCAAATCCACCTGTCATTTATTTATGTCCCCAACTGTAGGTGCATTCATTCACCCTCTGGGTCTCTGAGGATCGTGTTGGACCCAGTGCAAGTCCTTACGACAATCCAACGCATTAGAGGCGGTGTTCACCGTCTAGACGTCTCCCAACTCGGTAAGCTTAGGCCTAAAGGTCGGAGACATTATAAATGAACCATCAAAAGTTGTCACAATGAGCTAAATTCTAAATTTCATGTCTCAAACGTCTCCCAAGCGCACAGTGAGCACTTACTCTACCTAGCTGACAGAAGTCAGCTCTGGGAAGTTGGATGTATGTGTACAGTACTTGAAGAGAATAAATCAAGTTGTAGTAAATCAATGTTCTATTAGACAACAAAACTTTTGAATCTAGATTGCAGCCATTTTAGGTCTCGCGAGATCTTGTGACTTTCAGAAGTAAAAATTTGCTGAAAAATAATTCGCGTTAGCTAAATATGAATAGTCAAAAAAGTACAATGCGCATGTGCACGCATGCGCAAAAAGTTAAAAAATGGTGCACGCCAGTTCTGGAAGTTCTCCACTTTAACTGCAATTACACAACAAGTAGGACTTATTGTCACCACACGTCATGAAAAGGGCAAGTTACATTCAATTATCTTCTTAAATACCGTTTCTTATCCCAGCGCGCCTGCTGGAAGTTAGAGAAAACCACTTCACAAGACGGTATATTTTAACGGTTCGTCAGCTCGCTTTTGAGCCAGCTGTGTTCAGTAAATGAGCACCATCAATCTTCATTATTCAGTTATTAAACTGAAAGTACGGTTGCTCTTTTGACTTCAGGTTTGGACTCCCGTTTTTGTTTGGTCATAATCATTGAGTTTGTGTATTTACTTTAGAGTAATATTTTCATGTCAATCGAAGATTCAATAAATACAATTACAATTCATTGGTTGAGTAGGTAGCCTAGACTAGTCTTGAAACTGAAAAAGAGCAGAAGAAGTGAGTAGCTCCCATAATTCTGTCGTACTATATTCTGGGATTTCCCAGTATATGATGTCCAATCAAATTGTAGGATGTGATCATGTGAACAGTCATGAGCATCTGGTTTCTCAGTGCCGCGCATGAGCAGAGTAAAGTTTGAAATCGTGGAAATGGCATTTATTTCCGTTTAACATCATTTCAACATCATCATTTCAAAACTACGGTCATATTGCGGTCATATTCATACTATTGAAGTTACTTGATCCAAACTTGTAGAGAATACTCAAAAACAAGAGTGTTACTTCGGTCCAAAGCCTTCTCTATATTCCGGCTTTGAGGAGGAAGATTGAGCTGCCTTAGTATTATAAATATTGTAAATCATTGTGTTACACGCACAGTAAATATGGCATAATAATATGAAATATACCTTTATGTATAGATTTGAAGAACATCAGCTCACATCCCCGTCTGAATCTATTGGTATATTTGATTTCTTTAAGCGAGAATAATTTCAAATGTTATTCACGTCCAGAACCGGAAGCCAGTTTTAGCTACAGCGAGAAAATTTCACCATGTGTCAAACTCCGAAATGAAATTTTGAAATATCTAAATCCAGACAAGCAACGCTTCATCCTAAATATGATTAATATTCTTAAAAATATTTATAAAATTTATAAAAAATGAGTTCTAGGTGCGTGTAGGTGCGTGTAGCACAGTACATACAAAATCAATGAAGTTTCGTCTAGCTGTAAGCTAGAGACTCGAGTAACAAGAGTGAACATTGTGAGATCCATTTCAATGGCAAATGAGGCCTGTAACTTATAAAATTGGTTATCGAACGTGCCAATACCAAAGGTCATCTTTGGGAAATGAAAGTAAACAAAATGTATTATATTTTGTTTACTTTCATTTCCCAAAGATGACGTTTAAGAGTGGCACGTTCGATAACCAATTTTATATATATGGTCTTTCAAACCACCATGGTTTGGGAGTGGTGAAGGAAAATGGACTACTCTTTTATTTATTGCTCAGACTAAATACAAATTATAATATGTCCACTTAAGGAAAATATTATATGTCCAATACCGGATTTTCTCGCATATAAGCCGTGGGCTTATAACTGAAAGAAGGGGTAATTTCGTCTGTTATTTTACCTCTTATTTTTCGCCCATGGGCGTATAAGTGTACTACTTTCGATTTTTGGCCCAGTGGGTGTAAAGGTGAGAAGAGCTGATGAATACAATGGTTCCTCAAAGACTACCGTACCTACTGTTGTAGTCCTACCACATGTTTTGTAAGAATTATAAAGGAAATGTCACCTACAACCTTGGACTTAATGTTGAAACAAAGTTACAACAGAACGATCCACCACTGCCACTTACGGCACAGCATTGAACTTAATGTTGAAACAAAGTAACGACAGAACGATCTGCCAGTGACAAAATACTCTTGAATTTATTGAAAAAATCAATAAATAGTCTTTTTTTATAGGCCCATGGGCGTATAAGCGTACTACATTCGACTTTTGGCCCATGGGCCTAAATTTAGGGGGGCGTATATGCTAGAAAATCCTACTAGAAAAGATATTTCACTTCATGTGATTTTACAACCCAAGGCTAGATTAGAGGACAGGGAGGCAATGTCGTCCATATATGTAATTGTCCTTTTGTCAGACAAATGACTGCATACACTGAGTGTCAGACAATTAGATTTACCTACATTGACGACATTGCCTCAAATTTTAAGTGGTAATATATACACAGGAAGTTGTATCAAATTCTTTTGATCCTGATGAAGTTCATAATTATAATGTTCTGAGTGTCAGGACTCCCAAGTAACCCCATAAAGGATAAAAAAGACTCGATTTGACGAAATAGTATTAAAGAAATGAAGTACATGTAAGTTCCTTTGTTTACTTGGACCGCAATGAGGTTGAACTGAACTAAACAAAATGATTTTTAGGGTTTGCAAGGAAAATTCTTGGACTGCCAACTAGAGCACTTTTCTACAGTGCCAATGATGTTTCACATCCACAGGTTTACTGTACTAGTAAGCACTATTATGTCTGTTTTATTTTCTTAGTTTATAGATTATCAACATGGAAGAGCCTACTGAAGAAAATGTCTTCAGCTTCCAAGATGAGAAGACGTCACCTGACCCTATCCACGACTATCCAAAGACGTTACTCGAATCAAGGGTGCCACTGGTGATTGACAATGGTAGGTAATAAAACATGGATTTTCCTGAGACAATAGGTTTTGGATGATGTTTTTAAGCCCTACATAGCCATAACGTGTTCATTGAATGAAGGGTGTATTTTATTTTGCATTTTAAAACCAATCCTTTGATGGATTTATTACAAGTAGTGATAGTTTATTCATGGAATTACCTCTCTAATCAGCAAATTACAGATAATGCAGGCCAGTAGCCAAAGTGGGGGGGGGGGTCATGCAGTTTGTACCATTCTGAGCACTTTTCAAGTGATTTTGGGTCAAAATGGTGAAATATGCACCCCACCTCAACCTATTTTTTAAAATGTCACCCCCTTGACAAAAGCTGGCTATGGGCCTGTAATGAATGAATTACATTTTAATCAACGATTTATTCAATTTCATCTACTGATTAAAAGATAATTTAAAAAATAATCCCATATGTAAATTCCAGGTGCATATCAGTGCAGGGCAGGCTGGGCATCTGATGAAGATCCAAGACTGTTTTTCAAAAATGTTCTTGTGAAACAGCGAGGGAAAAAGGTAATTTAAAGCAAAATATGAAAGAAAAAGCATTTTTCCTGTCAATTATGAAAAAAACATAAATTGTCAAACTAGTGGGTTGAATCATTGATGTATGCTTAAAAAGCCTCATTTTCAAAAATTAGTTTGAATACAGCAACAATATGAATAAATACAGCTATGATATGAATACAGCTATAATATTGAATACAGCTAAAATGTGAACACAGCTCAACTACGTAATCACAGTTGCACTGCTGCGGAACTTTTTTCCCCCTAAATCCAATATAGGTGTCTCTGCTTTAACAAGAAAAAATCAAGTTGGATCACTTTTCAAAACATTTAGATGTTTCCATTTAATTTAATTCCAGGAGTCAGAAACTCAGGTGGGCAATGACATCACTAATATTGAGGTTGTTCGTTGGCAGCTAAAGAGTCAGTTTGACAGAAATGTCATCACTCAGTATGACGTACAGGTTAGTTACATTAAATGTTGTGTTGCTTTCGACAATGAACTTGTATATGTAGTGCTTAGCAAAGCCTATGGCCGGTGTCTAGTTAAAACACTAAACTGGAGTTTTACAACGTAAATTATGCCTATAATCATGGGGTCCCAACTATGACCGTTAATTTGAATTTTAGACCTACTAGGTGTTTGAAAATCAGAGATTGTAAGTCTCATACTGCACCGTTTTTCTTCAAACTTTTTCCATCAAAAGCTTAACAAAAATGCCTTTCTGTTTACATTATACTGTTATACAGAGTCCCTCCTTTTAGCGGGGTTTAGATCCCAAGCTGTGAGAAACACTTCACAAGATTCACACATGTTTTCTTAGGAGCAGATCTTTGACTACCTGTTCAGTCACATGGGCATAGATAGCGATGGTTCGGTGCAGCATCCTATATGTATGACAGAACCTGCGTGTAACCCTAACTACTGCAGATTACGTAAGTTGCATCTCTGGGTTTACATTAAAATCAAGGTTTGACTAGAAGAGGAAAATTGAGTACCAAAGAAAGATGGAACAGCCTGGAACAGCCAATTTAACTGTTGAAAATATTTGAATCGCTTCAGTAAAAATAATTTGTTTTTACTGTTGAAAATGTTTGAATCGCTCCAGTAAAAATAATTTGTTTTTACTGTTTGAATCGCTGAAACCAGTAAAAGTAATTTGTTTTTGCCTATATCTCAATTTTGAGAAAGTGCTAGATAACCCATTTTGTAACAGTGACATATATGATATGATATTTTATCCTATGCCAAGTAGAGTTTTAGGGAGATAATTTGGTAAGATATATCACGTATCCTGATTTTGAGGTTTCCATATCCAGAACCTCCATATCTCCCGCCGTATCTCCCGCTTCGGTGCATATCTTCCCGCTTCCGGTGCATATCTCCCCGCTTCCGGTAATGCAATAAAATGACTTTGCATATGAATGATTTGTTTATTTTTACACCTTGAACTATTGAAATGGTTGTATGCCCCTGGAAACCCTACTTGGTATAGGATAAAGCAGTTATGTACGGTCGGTTTGGATATTGGGTTCATCCCTCGTGAGATATGCACATCTACCTTCGGTCCCTACGATCCCTCAGGTAGATATGCATATCTCCCTCTGGATAAACCCCATATCCAAAACCTCCCAGTACATAATCCTTATGTGTTCTATTTCAGAGATGTCAGAGCTGCTGTTTGAGTGCTATGGAGATGTTTGAGTAGAAATATGGCATAAGTAAATAATGTTGTGTTCGATTTCAGAGATGTCAGAGCTGCTGTTTGAGTGCTATAAAGATGTTTGAGTAGAAATATGACATAAGTAAATAATGTTGTGTTCGATTTCAGAGATGTCAGAGCTGCTGTTTGAGTGCTATGGAGATGTTTGAGTAGAAATATGGCATAAGGAAATAATGTTTTGTTCGATTTCAGAGATGTCAGAGCTGCTGTTTGAGTGCTATAGAGATGTTTGAGTAGAAATATGGCATAAGTAAATAATGTTATGTTCGATTTCAGAGATGTCAGAGCTACTGTTTGAGTGCTATGGAGATGTTTGAGTAGAAATATGGCATAAGTAAATAATGTTGTGTTCGATTTCAGAGATGTCAGAGCTGCTGTTTGAGTGCTATGGAGATGTTTGAGTAGAAATATGACATAAGTAAATAATGTTGTGTTCGATTTCAGAGATGTCAGAGCTGCTGTTTGAGTGCTATGGAGATGTTTGAGTAGAAATATGACATAAGTAAATAATGTTGTGTTCGATTTCAGAGATGTCAGAGCTGCTGTTTGAGTGCTATGGAGATGTTTGAGTAGAAATATAGCATGAGTAAATAATGTTGTGTTCAATTTCAGAGATGTCAGAGCTGCTGTTTGAGTGCTATGGAGATGTTTGAGTAGAAATATAGCATTAGTAAATAATGTTGTGTTCAATTTCAGAGATGTCAGAGCTGCTGTTTGAGTGCTTGTTTGAGTAGAAATATGGCATAAGTAAATAATGTTGTGTTCGATTTCAGAGATGTCAGAGATGCTGTTTGAGTGCTTGTTTGAGTAGAAATATGGCATAAGTAAATAATGTTGTGTTCAATTTCAGAGATGTCAGAGCTGCTGTTTGAGTGCTATGGAGATGTTTGAGTAGAAATATGGCATAAGTAAATAATGTTGTGTTCGATTTCAGAGATGTCAGAGCTGCTGTTCGAGTGCTATGGAGATGTTTGAGTAGAAATATAGCATAAGTAAATAATGTTGTGTTCCATTTCAGAGGTCTCAGAGCTGTTGTTTGAGTGCTATGGAGATGTTTGAGTAGAAATATGGCATAAGTAAATAATGTTGTGTTCGATTTCAGAGATGTCAGAGCTGCTGTTTGAGTGCTATGGAGATCTTTGAGTAGAAATATGGCATAAGGAAATAATGTTGTGTTCGATTTCAGAGATGTCAGAGCTACTGTTTGAGTGCTATGGAGATGTTTGAGTAGAAATATAGCATAAGGAAATAATGTTTTGTTCGATTTCAGAGATGTCAGAGCTGCTGTTTGAGTGCTATAGAGATGTTTGAGTAGAAATATGGCATAAGGAAATAATGTTTTGTTCGATTTCAGAGATGTCAGAGCTGCTGTTTGAGTGCTATAGAGATGTTTGAGTAGAAATATGGCATAAGTAAATAATGTTATGTTCGATTTCAGAGATGTCAGAGCTACTGTTTGAGTGCTATGGAGATGTTTGAGTAGAAATATGGCATAAGTAAATAATGTTGTGTTCGATTTCAGAGATGTCAGAGCTGTTGTTTGAGTGCTATGGAGATGTTTGAGTAGAAATATAGCATTAGTAAATAATGTTGTGTTCGATTTCAGAGATGTCAGAGCTACTGTTTGAGTGCTTGTTTGAGTAGAAATATGGCAAAAGTAAATAATGTTGTGTTCAATTTCAGAGATGTCAGAGCTGCTGTTTGAGTGCTATGGAGATGTTTGAGTAGAAATATGGCATAAGTAAATAATGTTGTGTTCGATTTCAGAGATGTCAGAGCTACTGTTTGAGTGCTATGGAGATGTTTGAGTAGAAATATAGCATTAGTAAATAATGTTGTGTTCGATTTCAGAGATGTCAGAGCTACTGTTTGAGTGCTATGGAGATGTTTGAGTAGAAATATAGCATTAGTAAATAATGTTGTGTTCGATTTCAGAGATGTCAGAGCTACTGTTTGAGTGCTATGGAGATGTTTGAGTAGAAATATAGCATTAGTAAATAATGTTGTGTTCGATTTCAGAGATCTCAGAGCTGTTGTTTGAGTGCTATGGAGATGTTTGAGTAGAAATATAGCATTAGTAAATAATGTTGTGTTCGATTTCAGAGATGTCAGAGCTACTGTTTGAGTGCTTGTTTGAGTAGAAATATGGCAAAAGTAAATAATGTTGTGTTCAATTTCAGAGATGTCAGAGCTGCTGTTTGAGTGCTATGGAGATGTTTGAGTAGAAATATGGCATAAGTAAATAATGTTGTGTTCAATTTCAGAGATGTCAGAGCTGTTGTGTGAGTGCTATGGAGATGTTTGAGTAGAAATATGGCATAAGTAAATAATGTTGTGTTCGATTTCAGAGATGTCAGAGCTGCTGTTTGAGTGCTATGGAGATGTTTGAGTAGAAATATGGCATAAGTAAATAATGTTGTGTTCAATTTCAGAGATGTCAGAGCTGTTGTTTGAGTGCTATGGAGATCTTTGAGTAGAAATATAGCATAAGTAAATAATGTTGTGTTCGATTTCAGAGATGTCAGAGCTACTGTTCGAGTGCTATGGAGTCCCAGAGATCTGTTATGGTGTCGATTCGCTATTCTCCCTCTATAATAATCTGCCACAGCCAGGTTTGTATATCATATTATAACATTATAGAAATGTATGCTTTTTAAATTCTTTTATTTTATTTTATTTTTTATTTCATGCTCCCCAAATTTCCTGTAAGAGTAAAACATGTCTAATCTGAAGATTACATTCAAAATTTTGGGATTGTCAGGTCTTCTCATTTCAATGGATTTTCAACATGGTAATCTATGTTAGATTAAGAAGTGGGACCAAAAACGTGTCCACCTTGAGATGTTAAGATGAGTGGGGAAATACAGATTTTACAAATACGTTCTTATACTTTGGGTAAAGCTGTTGCCATCGTGATATCCTGTGGTTACTACACAACACCAATTCTTATACTTTAGGTAAAGCTGATGCCATGGTGATCTCCTGTGGTTACTACACAACACACATTCTCCCTGTTCTTGATGGACGCTTAGATGGCAAACACTGCCGTAGAATCAACATAGGGGGTGCAAACTGTGACTTATTCATGCATCGTTTACTGCAGTTGAAGTATCCAGGCCATTACGCTGCAATATCGGTCGGCAGGGCTGAGGTAAGAATTTATTTCTAGAATATGCTGAAGACTCATCCACCTGTAATATGCACCAATAATATATGCACCAATAATCTTACTGGGTGTCCAAAAATGTTTTCACTTTAAGAAAATGTCATATTCTAAAAAGATGATATTGTTAATTTGAACATTGAATATTGGATACCCCAAAAAATGTGACGTTAGTTGGTGTGGCTTGGGTGAGAAGTTATTTCCGGAATATGCACCAATAATCTTACTAGGTGTCCAAAAATGTTTTGACCTTACAAAAAATGTCTTATTCTAAAAACTGATTAAAAGATGATATTGTCAATTTGATCATTGAATATTGGATACCCAAAAAAATGTGACGTTAGTTGGCGTGGCTTGGGTAAGAAGTTATTTCTAGAATATGCTGAAGACTCATCCACCTGTGATATGCACCAATAATATATGCACCAATAATCTTACTGGGTGTCCAAAAATGTTTTCACTTTAAGAAAATGTCATATTCTAAAAAGATGATATTGTTAATTTGAACATTGAATATTGGATACCAACAAAAAATATGACGTTAGGCTTGGGTAAGAAATGTTTCTAGAATGTGCTGATGACGTATCCACCTGTGATTATTCACCCATAATGTACAACTTACTACAGTGTCCAAAAATGTTTTGACGTTAGTAGAAATTATCTTATCCTACACTTAATGTACTAATAATAAACATTAAAAAATAAATTTGATATTAATTGGCAAAATGAATAACCGGAGGATATCGTAACGATATACTCCGGGTGGAGGATATTGTGACGATATACTCCGGAAAACCCAATATGCGGAGGATATTGTGACGATATACTCCGCTTGTTGATTTCCCGCCAAATTGACTCTATTTGGCATGAAATTCATTTTGCAATGATATTATACATTTAGAACACTCCTTGTAAGTGTAGTATAATAAGAACATCCTATGATTTTTTCAGAATATCATTTTAATCTCTCTCGTGCAGATATCAATATCACCTCGTAGATAAAAATGATATTCCTCAAAATCATAGGATATCCTGTAAATATGCAAAAAAACTGATAAAAAGATATGATATCTCATTTAGTATTGACAATATCAATGTTATATTATATATATTACATTTTAGGGATGTTATTTTGTATGAAAAGTTATGTTTGATTACTTTTTGTTCAAGTTTGAAAATTAAGAATTGACCATGTGATTTTTGTTTTCTTTCAGGAGCTTGTTCACAAACACAGTTACATGAGTAAAAACTACTTAGAGGAACTGAAACTTTGGGGAACAGACAATTACTACAATAAAAATGTGCACAAAATTCAGCTCCCTTATACAAAGGTAAGAAGACCCTTAAAAATCATACATTTAATAAGGTTCATTATTATAAAGCTTGGTCTCGCCCTTGATGTGTCAGGATACTGTAAAACGCATTGGATTTTCAGTAGCAATTTTTGTGTGCAGATTTTGTCCATTTGTTTCTTTTTGTACACTCATGGTTTTTCCTCAATTTGTGGCTGGAATACAATTTGAATTTGTGATTTTCACACTCACGCTGATATTACAAGTTTCAGCATGTGATACAGGAAATATTCCACGAATGGTAACACTTATCCATATAAGCTAAAATGTGTGATGACAATTTTATCAGATGTCTAGTTTATAGTAAGCATTTTGAAACCATCTTTCTGTTTCACTGTTATTCAATTTTACCAAATATGATTTGAAGAACAAAATAGCAGTTTTTTCAACATCTGTTTATTTCACATAAAGCATTTGACAATTACTAATAGTTTTGCATGAAGCCAAAGTCATGAACCTTCAATTATCTGTTCTCTTACCATTGTTTAGGAGGTGCTAATTAGAGTTTGGCTTGAGGGATATCTAGGGGCTTAAATGTAATACCAGATTAACCAGAGGTACTGGAAATCCATTTTTCCGTGCTGCATCAGAAAAAATGCAGAATTTTTAGTTTTTTAAAAATTTGCAAAATATTGAATTTCTATTGATTTTCGCAGAATTCAATATGAGTCATGAAATATGTAGGGACTAGATACTCGTTTTCTATTGGTCAAAACATGGAAAGTCCAAATGCATGTACACATTAGAAAAACATGGCTGTTTTATTTTGATTTTCACACTATTTTGACAAAAAATGTTGTGAAAATGCCTTTTTTTAGCTCGGAATTCTTGTACCCCTGATTGTCACTGGAAAAATAAATATGAAAAACATCTTGATTATATAGAAAGCACACAAAGCAACATTGTTCAAAAAAACATTAAATGAGCTAAGAAATTAAAATGCTCAAAAATAGAATCAAATAAAGATTGTTGATTTTTAGCTCATATTTTTAGCTCACAATTTTAGCTCATATTTTTAGCTCGCATGTTTTGTAGTAGATTCTTGATTAAAATCATTGTCTTTGTAAACATTATGTACAAATCAGATACTACATTCTCTGAAAATTGAGAATATATCCTAAAGACCATTCTCATAAGTGCCCATATATAAAAGATGTCAAAAATCCAGAGGAATTTTATATACAGCAATTATTCTTGCCAAAAATGCTTTTTGCAACAAATAAACAGTATATTTTTTACAATAATGATATGTATTGTTATTTGACGAACCATAAGAATTCTTTTAGAATATTCATATCCAGCTTATACCATCATGACCATCATTATAATGCCTTATTTGCTACATAAAAACAAAATTTCTTGGAAATTCGATTTTTTTTCTTGGTCATAAGCATATTTTTTTGTACTTTGAGAAGCGGGGTGAATGTTTATTATTAGGGAGTGGGTGCTAATAACAGAAAATAGGGTAATTCAAAAATTGATCACAAGCTTGGTTATAATATGTACACATAAAAGCATAACGGATATATAAAACACTCCGGAAGTCAGTTCAGAAAATATTTCTTTGTCCAATTAGTTGTTGAAATCTTCCTGGTTGATGGTATTTATGACCCAATAAATTTTGGGAATATTTCACTGTCAGTTCTTTGATATTTTTTGAACAAATTAGTTGTTGAAATACTTCCTGGTTGATTCAGATGGTATTTATGATCAAATAAATTTTGGGAATATTTCACGGTCAGTTCATTTGATATTTTTTGAACAAATTAGTTGTTGAAGTAATTCCTGGTCATCTTCACCTATAGATTAGTTCAGATAATATTTTGGAGTACTTTCTTGTTAGTTTAGATAATATTCTATTACCAAATAATTTGTTAGAAGTACATCCTGGTTGTTCTCACCTTTATGAGTCAGTGAATATTTCATAAGTTGTTGACAAAATGTTCTTCCTGGATGCCTTCACCTAAAATTCAGTTGGAATATTTGTTTATCCAATAAGTTCTTGAAGAACTTCCTGGTCGCCTTCATTATACTGGAGTAGATATTGTGTATCCGCCTCTCCCTGGTATCTGGGGTTACCTAGAGCATCTTGCATCTTTCTCCAAAACAGCTGTTTTCTGTCCTCATCCTCGCTCCATTCCAGGTACACTCGGGTCTCAAGTAAGGAGCGCAGGGTGGGTGTGATCAGCTCTGGGGGTAGAACATCCAATGGTTCCTTTAGAATCAATATCAAACAATCTCTCCCTCTGGTCGCCAGTTCACCTCTCGCAAGGTTCATTTCGAATGTACACCAACCACTACGAAGAAAGTTCTGGCTGATGGTCAGAATTATTTTATTGCTTTTGCTGATACTCTCAATGATGATATCAGCGATATAGGCACCAGGCATGAAGTTGCGGTCATCCAGGCATATGTTATAGTTGTATTTATCAGCTAAAGTAGCATAGATGTTCTCCTGTGCCCAATATTTGTCCAGAGAGCTATAACTCAAAAACCCATCAAAGTCAAAAGCAAAATCAAGATGTTGATTACGTCTGAGTAATGCCCTCAGATGGAGGGCCAGATATTGTATTTTGTACCTGCGTCTGTATACATATACCGCTGTAATTATGCTAATTACAGTAAGTCCGAAAGAAACAATTGACGGAATTATGGCAGCTTTCCAACAGTCCCATTTCATATCAGGCAACATAATGTCTTTGAGTGCTACCTCTGAACCATTGATGTAAATGCATGCAACTTCTGGCCAGTTATGCATGATGCTATTGCTTGTTTGCATCCAGTCGATGAACTTGAATGAATCGCAATTACAAATCATCGGGTTTTGTCTGAAGTCTATTGTCAAATTCATGCTTGATGTTATTTTAAGTTCATCAATTTCCATTTTTGTAGTTTCATCAATTGTTTGTATGTGGTTATTTGACAAATTTAGCAGTTTCAGTGATTTCAGTCCTGTCAGTGTAAACATGATCCTTTTTATTTTGTTGCCACTCAAATTCAGGACTTCAAGTCCTGTTGTATCTACAAATGCATCTGAGTCAATATCTGTAATATCATTGTGGGACAAGTCAATGTGTTGCAGCTGGGAGCAGTTTCTGAATAGGAGGTGGACAGAGGAGTTAGAGATAAGTTTTGCTTTGTTGTTGGCCAAATCTAGAACTTTTAAACTTTCAAAATATCCAGTCTCGCATGTAAAAAACTCAGGTACAATAATGCAGTTATTTTCAGGAAATATCAACCTTTCCAAATTAACCAGGCCTTTTATGGACTTACCAATGTATGTTAGCATAAAACTAGCAGAGGCTTCAATGATCTTAATCCGATTATTACTTTGTATCTTTATTCCATATGGTAAATGATAAGGGTGATTATTCACATTGGTCTCTGTGAAGTACAGTTCTTCAAGTGCTATAGGAACTGCCCATTCATTTTCACTTAATTCTTCTGATATAGCCACATTAGCCTTGTTTAAATCAAATACCCTTCCAGGAATGTTCTGTTCTAATTTTAATACCCTCAGATATCTCATCAAATAAAGTTCAATAAGGATTACTCTTCTTGGTATTGAGTGTTTAATACTATTTTTTGACAAATCCAGTATTTCTAATTTTGGCATATATTTTGAGATTCCCGGAGACTCCATGGCGTAAATTCTATTATCAAGCAAACTGAATCTTTTCAAATTGCAATGTTCAAGGAATTTCAAATGATTGGCCTTCAATAAAAATGGCATATCTGTTATATGTTGATATGTAATACTTTCTATCGTAGAGTTTTGTAGTCCTTGAAATGCATGAAACAAAGCTATTCTTGAGCCTGGATACCCATTTGATTCATCCCCAGAGCCTAACACATGAATTTTATGAATATTCTTTAGTGGTTTGTAAACAAGTGGGTGAAACAGGTGTGGTTTATATGGATTATTGCCTATCCTTAGATCCTGTAGATTATGAAGGCCATCAAAGATATGTTGTCCAAAAGCAACTATTTTGTTGTCACCTATATCCAACACTTTCAGATTTCCATAAATCTGTCCAAGCTGGCCATCGGGCAAATGTTTAATACTATTGTGTGATATCATGAGTGTTGTTATATTCCATGGCAGATTCAAAGGGAGTGACTGAAGGCCTCTAGATGTACAGTCAGCTGTAAGACCATCACAGTTGCATCTCATACAGTCACTTTTGTTGTTAAATTCAGATTTAATTCCATCAAATCCAGCATGTTTAGAAAATAAATCTGAGGATCCATAGACAGATAGATACTTTATTATCAGAAGGAAAACTGGCAACTTTTTCAAAAACATTGTTCCGATATTCCAGATTTCCAAAGATCTGTGTTGTGGTTTTCTTGCCTTTTTTAACACAAAAGAACAGTGAGCTCTGTGTCAGTCTAATATGACTTACGGTATTTATATGCAACACGAACAGGAAGTTTTTCTTCATGTTTTTTTGGTACTTTGTGTTCTATATTCATTCAATTCGTCAAATTTATTAACAATGCCCAATGTGTATTTGAATGTCTCAAAGGCATTTTTACAAAAGGTACAATACATCAATTCAACAGTTCAAAAAAGAATTCAACTTTTCTTCATTCACTAACTCCCTGATTTTAAATTTGAAATGAAAGCAATACTTTGTATGGCTTCATAATTTTTAGAAATGAAAAAATATTTGTTAAATCCTTTGGTGATTCGTGTACCTGAACAAAAAGTCTTAAGTGTGTTTAGGTACACATTTCCATTTTGGTACATATATAGTATCATACTATATGTTTAAATTTACCTCCATGGCAGACAGGTACCAAAGAGGGGTTGGGTTGGCAATTTGAAATTTTCAAAAAAATTTTGAAAATTGTTATTTCTTGTTAGGTGGGTAATTATCCTTAATGTTCTGGTCTTCCATTTCATTCAATGAATTATATTTTCTACTGAAGAAATGAAATAAAATCGACTTAAATTAAGACTTCAACTTCTGAAACACCAAGACCAACATAATCATGACTCTGAGTTGAAGCCACCAATTGAAAGTAAATAGATTCCAAAATGAAGAATTACCTAGAAAATTAGGCATCAAAATATGCTTTTGGGAGAATAAGAAATTAAGAAAAAACTACAGACTTGCCATCCTCCGATCACAGGGCTTCAAAATCCAGAATATATTCTTTCTTTTTACCCCCTGCGATAAGCAGTTAGCATTTCCCTGATTAAGAACTCGCAATCTGATTGGTTGTCTCAAGACTGCGGCAGAAATCATGTATAAGTTATTGTGCATAGTTAGATCACGTGATTCAGTTTAATCGGGCGCTTCCAAATTGGTTATAGCAGGGGGAAGAAGGAGGTACAAATTCTAGATACATGCAGGGATGCGGACTTGCCAACCTCTTGTTGTTTTACATGAATCCAGTAAAATGTTTGTTTTTCTGTAAAAAATATCAAACTCCTGTACCATGAAACCATACCGAATCTCCCATAATTTAATTTTTTTAAACTGAAATCTCCCTTATTCTTGGTAAAACTCCCCTAAAATCTCTTGTTTTTGCTGTCGAAATCTACCGTAGATAAGATTTTTTTAAAAAACGGTAGTTTGATAAAATATGTTTTGATTGTTTGGATTTGCCATCTGTGGAGTTGCTGTTTTCATAAAGTTGCTATTTTTTAATAATGATACTGAATTTTACCTCCAGCGTGATGTTATATTTCCAGAAAGTTGAGGTAGTTGTTGACCCAGAGCTCCAGAAAGCTAGAAGGGAAGTTCATATAAAACGTCTAAAAGAACTGGCAGCAAAACGCAGAGAAGCACAGGTAAACAATTTTTATTGTTGACTTTGTATAAAGTGAATCTATAGAATGCCATATTTTGTGTATTCTTATCATTTTATAGACCAAAAAAATCATCACTGAAAATTGGTTGCTTCCAAATTGGTTTTAGCAGGAGGGGAAGAAGGAGGTACGGATTCTGGACACCTGCTTAGGAGGATATGTACTTCCGTGTTTAAAAAACTTGAAATGTGAACACCTGCCAATCTGAACACTTTTGGTCCATCCTAGTAGTGAAAGGTTTTATTCTGTATTGCCCTTGGTTAAGTTAGCTTTAAAATCATATCAAAATATATTTTGTGGATTTGCCTCCCTTGGCATGGTATTTAACAATAGCACATTTATTTCTTGTATTTCTAGCTAATAAATGATGAGAGTAAACTCCGACTTTTGTTAAATATAAAACACATGGCTGAAGAAGGGAAACACAAAGAACAAGTCAAGGTAAGAAATATATCTTTTTTCTTTACTTGCGATAAGTCCCCAGAATTTGTAACGAAAGTTCATATTTTAGTTAAGCTGTCTGTTTATTTTTTATCACACAATGGTTCCATTTTGTTTTTGATTGAAATTTAAAATTGGCCACCTTAATAATATAAGTAACAACCTTAGTTTAATCATTAATCGTCGAATTCTGGTATTATATTATTTTGTTGGAGTTTGATCTGACTCTGAATGGAATTGTAAACTGAATTGTATTTACATGAAGAAAAATTTAAAATGAAATTGTTTTTATATCATTACTCAATTGAATTTTAAGTAAACACATCATTGAAGGCACTTATGTTAGCACATTGCTGCCATCATTTAGTAATTGCCTCTCTCTTTCGATTTTACTTTTGCTTATTTTATAGCAAATGATGGAAAACTTGGATCTTGAAGATATGAAAGAGCTCCAGGTCTACATTGATAAGTTCACAGGATCAATACAACGTGCCAAGGTTGCCATGGCGAGGCAAGACAACGAAGAGGTAAGCTCCATATTCAAAACGACATGTACAGAGGTTGCTATGACGAGGCTTCAAACAAAGAAATTAATCTATAACCAATACAGCATGCCCTGAAGGTTTCCATGACTTGTTTTTTATATTTCTAACAGTGCACTCTCTCTTTTGAATAAACTAATTGATAGGTCAGAAATATGTGCTTTAAAATGTTATATTATTGAGGGAATTATGACACAATGATGAAAAAATATATTTTCCTCAATTCATTTGATATTATGATTAAACAAATCCAAAACTGTTGTACCGAGATGCGTAATATCCCAGAATTCATAGACTGAAGTTGAACCTTATAATCTTTATGTCAATATGAAGCTTTGGGTTCTATGCTTTACATGGAGATACTCAATCTATGAATTCTTTGGTGTATCCATTCCTCCTCTGTTGTTACAAAAAGAAATATATGCATATTATTGAAATAAGGGGATTTCTGTAAACTTACTGAACAACTTTATAGAAAAAAGGAAGTGCCGTTGATATATTTGAGCTTCCCGATGAGAAACTGACGTCTGCTCAAAGAGAAGCTAAACGCAAGGAGCAAGAAATGGAAGAGAGACGTCGTCAAGACTTCAATGGTTGGTTGAAAGAGATCCAGACAGAGAGACAGGTGGGTATTAGAAAGCTTGGTGGGTATTAGAGAGCTTGGTGGGTATTAGAGATCTTGGTGGGTATTAGAGAGCTTGGTAGGTATTAGAGAGCTTGGTGGGTATTAGAGAGTTTGATGGGTATTAGAGAGCTTGGGGGTATTAGAGAGCTTGGTGGGTATTAGAGAGCTTGGTGGATATTAGAGAGCTTGGTAGGTATTAGAGAGCTTGTTGGCTTTTAGAGAGCTTGGTAGGTATTCGAGAGCTTTGGGGTATGAGAGAGCTTGGTGGGTTTAGAGAGCTTGGTGGATATTAGAGAGCTTGGTGGGTATTAGAGAGCTTGGTGGGTATTAGAGAGCTTGTTGGCTTTTAGAGAGCTTGGTAGGTATTCGAGAGCTTGGTGGGTATTAGAGAGCTTGGTGGATATTAGAGAGCTTGGTAGGTATTCGAGAGCTTGGTGGGTATTAGAGAGCTTGGTGGGTATTAGAGAGCTTGGTGGGTATTAGAGAGCTTGGTGGGTATTCGAGAGCTTGGTGGGTATTAGAGAGCTTGGTGGGTATTAGAGAGCTTGGTGGATATTAGAGAGCTTGGTGGGTATTAGAGAGCTTGGTGGATATTAGAGAGCTTGGTAGGTATTCGAGAGCTTGGTGGGTATTAGAGAGCTTGGTGGGTATTAGAGAGCTTGGTGGGTATTAGAGAGTTTGGTGGGTATTCGAGAGCTTGGTGGGTATTAGAGAGCTTGGTGGGTATTAGAGAGCTTGGTGGGTATTAGAGAGCTTGGTGGGTATTAGAGAGCTTGTTGGCTTTTAGAGAGCTTGGTAGGTATTCGAGAGCTTTGGGGTATGAGAGAGCTTGATGGGTATTAGAGAGCTTGGTTTTTTTAAATAAAAAATAATTGCACGTGTATTTAGTATGTATAACATAGCATCATTAATTGACGCAATTTATAAGTACATCTGAGAATTTTATCCTTATTGAATCTTATTTTTCAGTGTAATTCAAAATTCTAAAATTTTGACGAACACGGATGCTTGTTTTCCCCATAACTGATGTAACCTTATGAATAAATTGATCAATTGATGTTATTATGTCACCACTTATGTCACCACCAAAAGTGGTGACATATTGTTATGGTCTCCGTTTTTTTGCGACGGCGGTTGGTGGTTGGAGGTTGGAGGTTGGCGTCCGGCGTCCGGCGTCTGTAACAATTTCTTACAACTTCCTATAACTTAACAAATACTGTTTAGACTGACTTCAATTTTTTTCTAAATCATCTACATGTTCTCAGAAGTTCAAATCTGACTTTAGATTTGACATTTGACCTTCAATGACCTTCTCAAGGTCAAAAAGGTCTTTTTTCAACTTGCTTCACATTGACTAAATTTTTTTTCAAAATCATCTACATCTTCTCAGAATTCAAATCTGACTTTAGGTTTGACATTTGACCTTCAAATCTGACTTTAGATTTGACATTTGACCTTCAATGACCTTTTCAAGGTCAAAAAAGGTCAAAAAGGTCTGTTTCAACTTGCTTCAAATTGACTTAAATTTTTTTTCAAAATCATCTACGTGTACTCAGAAATTCAAATCTGACTTAAGATTTGACTTATGATTTGACATTTGACCTTCAATGACCTTCTCAATGTCAAAAAAGGTCAAAAAGGTATTTTTTCATCTTGCTTCAAATTGACTAAATTTTTTTTTCAAAATCATCTACATGTTCTCAGAAATTCAAATATGACTTTAGATTTGACTTTAGATTTGACATTTGACCTTCAATGACCTTCTCAAGGTCAAAAAAGGTCAAAAAGGTCTGTTTTCAACTTGCTTCAAATTGACCAATTTTTTTTTTCAAAATCATCTACATGTTCTCAGAAATTCAAATCTGACTTAAGATTTGACTCAAGATTTGACATTTGACCTTCTCAAGGTCAAAAAAGGTCAAAAAGGTCTGTTTTCAACTTGCTTCAAATTGACTAAAAAATTTTTTCAAAATCATCTACGTGTTCTCAGAAATTCAAATCTGACTTTAGATTTGACTTAAGATTTGACATTTGACCTTCAATGACCTTCTCAAAGTCAAAAAAGGTCAAAAAGGTCTTTTTTCAACTTGCTTCAAATTGACTAATTTTTTTTTTCAAAATCATCTACATGTTCTCAGAAATTCAAATCTGACTTGAGATTTGACATTTGACCTTCAATGACCTTCTCAATGTCAAAAAAGGTCAAAAAGGTATTTTTCATCTTGCTTCAAATTGACTAAAAATTTTTTTCAAAATCATCTACATGTTCTCAGAAATTCAAATATGACTTTAGATTTGACTTTAGATTTGACATTTGACCTTCAATGACCTTCTCAAGGTCAAAAAAGGTCAAAAAGGTCTTTTTTCAACTTGCTTCAAATTGACTAATTTTTTTTTTCAAAATCATCTACATGTTCTCAGAAATTCAAATCTGACTTTAGATTTGACATTTGACCTTTAATGACCTTCTCAAGGTCAAAAAAGGTCAAAAAGGTCTGTTTTCAACTTGCTTCAAATTGACCAAATTTTTTTTTCAAAATCATCTACATCTTTTCAGAAGTTCAAATTTGACTTTACAAGTTTTCAGAAGTTCAAATCTGACTTTAGATTTGACATTTGACCTTCAATGACCTTCTCAAGGTCAAAAAGGTCTTTTTTCAACTTGCTTCAAATTGACTAATTTTTTTTTTCAAAATCATCTACATGTTCTCAGAAGTTCAAATCTGACTTTAGATTTGACATTTGACCTTCAATGACCTTTTCAAGGTCAAAAAGGTCTTTTTTCAACTTGCTTCAAATTGACCAAATTGTTTTAGGTGGTGACATTTTGTCATATTAATGCCTTGTCCTCCTTGCAGGGTTTGGTTGAGAAGAGAACCATCAGGAAGCAAAGAAGATCTGACATGGCCAAGAGAAGAACATTTGCATCACAACAAAGGATGAAGATAATCTCACAGCTAGCTGCAGGTACTGCTACAATAATTGAGTTATGATACAATAATTGAGTTATGATACAATAATTGAGTTATGATACAATAACTGAGTTATGATAAGATAAATAAGCTGAATTATGATACAATAACTGTCTTCTGACTGACTTCTACAATAACTGAGTTTATGATGCAAAATAAAATGAGATTTTTTGTTATTTTCTGATCATTTTTTCAATTTATACCGTAATATTACAACAAGACCTCTCCAATAGTTTTTTCTGGATTATACAGCACCCCCGTCTCCCCTCTACAGCAAAAAAGCTCCTTTATGTTGAATGGTGTGTCTTATCTCATTTGAAAGATGATTTAATTCCGGAGTTATCTTGGAAATTTTTATATTGAGAAAGCTACATAGTTTCAAAGTTTGCTTCTTCAGTAGCTTTGTTTGCTACTTTTTTATTTGTTAAGGGTCAAATACGTTTATACAATCCACACAAATTCATATGTTTATACAATCCACACAAATTCATATGTTTATACAATCCACACAAATTCATATGTTTATACAATCCACACAAATTCATATGTTTACACAATCCACACAAATTCATATGTTTACACAATCCATACAAATTCATATGTTAACACAATCCATACAAATTCATATGTTTACACAATCCATACAGATTCATATGTTTACACAATCCATACAAATTCATATTTTTACACAATCCATACAAATTCATATGTTTACATAATCCATACAAATTCATATTTTTACACAATCCATACAAATTCATATGTTTACATAATCCATACAAATCCATATGTTTACACAATCAATACAAATTCATATTTTTACACAATCCATACAAATTCATATGAGTACACAATTACATGGAAGAGAGGGTTCTGTTATTTCATTTATGTCTGTTGTTTTACCCATGTTCATTTAACCCATGTTTATCATTTCACCCATGCCTATTATTTCACCCTTGGTTTTTATACCTTGCCTATTATTTCACCTGAGTTTTATCATATAACCCATTTTTTATTATTTCACCAATGCTCATATTACGTATTTCATCCATGTCTTACATATTTCACACATGTCTATTAGGTATATCACCCATGTCTATTACATATATCACCCATGTCTATTACGTATATCACCCATGTTTATTACGTATATCACCCATGTTTATTATTTCACCCATTTTTGTTTTTCACCCATGTCTATTATTTCACCCATTTTTGTTTTTCACCCATGTCTATTATTTCACCCATGTTTATTATTTCACCTGTATTACAGGAAGTAAGAAGAAGAGGAAGGATGATACGTTTGGAATGGATGACAGTGATTGGAATGTTTACAAGCAGATTAACAAGGATGCAGGGGACAGTGATTCTGAGGCTGAGCAGGAGAGACTTGATGAGTTGGAGACACTGCTACGAGAGTATGACCCAAATTTTGAAAGGTACAAAAAGGATGAAAAACTTTGATTAGTTTAAAATAGCTTTTATAATTACATTGTAATAAAGTTGCCTTGAAATTTTCTTGACTATGAAATGACTAGAAGTTGAAGATGGAAATGGATTTTCAATCTTGTAAAAGAGGGGTCATTCGGATGCACCTAGATACTGCTGAATATCTCTTTTAAAAAGCCCTCTTAATGTGAACACTTTTTCTTGATCATGCTAGTTTGAGTCAATACCTCATTTAGAAACCGGGAAATGTGAACACTTGCAAAACCAAACACTTTTGACTGGTCCCTCTGGTGTTCTTATTAGAATCTGATTTGATATATCTGTGTTTGCAGAGAAAAGGAAGGAGTGTTTGATATTGCTGAACACTACAAACTACATGTTGGGGTGGAGAGAATCAGGTAAGATTGTGCTATAGAGAATTACATCAACCAGGCCCGTAGCCAGGGGGGGTTCGCAGGGTTGGGTGAACCCCCCCCCCCCTGGCCAAAAATTCTTTCTAAATCATGCAGTTTTTCACCATTTTGAGCACTTCTCAAGTGATTTTAGCCATATTTGGGTCAAAATTGTCAAATGTGAAACCCCCCTGGAAAACTGAACCCCCCTTCGCAAATCCTGGCTACTAGCCTGCATCAACGTTTAGGTATCTGCCCCCTAACCAACGTACGGGTTAATAAGAGACAGTTAATCAAATAGGATTTATGGAAATCTATCAATTCAACAACTGAGCTTGAGATTTAAGAATTTTAGTACATTTTATGGATGCGCTTACAGTTTTCATTGTACTTAAAAAATGCTACATTGTCGTCTTGTGCAGCTGGGCAAGTGGTTGGGCACAACATGAATCAATTGTCATCCAAATTCCAGGAAAACTTCTTATAGGTTCAACTTGTATTTTTTACCAATGGCCTAGCGTCATATACACATAAAACACCATGGCATACTCTCAAAATTTATAGAAAAGTTGATTTTTTAGATTGAATTGCCCCACCCTTTAAATTGGTCAATATTTATATACTTTACATTTTGTTAGTCCATATTAGTCGGAATTTCGTATTTTAAAACGACCCAAAATGCTTCAACTGCAATCTCATTTTCATACTTTTTTTTCTCAAAGATCGTTCGTTTGGCTCACTGGTGCTGTTCACTCACAAAATACTGACGCTACGCCACTGTTTACTGATGCAAGAGCAGATTAGTGGCAAGATCTGATTAGGTTTTAAGCATATGCTTGGTAAATGACATGGCTGCCATAAATAATTGAAAATGTTTATATATTCCATAAGGTTCCCGACTTGTTATTTCAACCCTGCATGGTGGGTATTGAACAGGCTTGTTTGGCGGAGACCCTGGATTTCATACTGAAGAAATACCCAGATGATATTCATAAATGATTGAAAATGTTTATATATTCCATAGGGTTCCTGAGTTGTTATTTCAACCCTGCATGGTGGGTATTGAACAAGCTGGTTTGGCAGAGACTCTGGAGTTCATACTCAAGAAATACCCAGATGATATTCATATAGATTGAAAATGTTTATATATTCCATAGGGTTCCTGAGTTGTTATTCCAACCCTGCATGGTGGGTATTGAACAAGCTGGTTTGGCAGAGACCCTGGAGTTCATACTCAAGAAATACCCAGATGATATTCATAAATGATTGAAAATGTTTATATTCCATAGGGTTCTTGAGTTGTTATTCCAACCCTGCATGGTGGGTATTGAACAAGCTGGTTTGGCAGAGACCCTGGAGTTCATACTCAAGAAATACCCAGATGATATTCATAAATGATTGAAAATGTTTATTTATTCCATAGGGTTCCTGAGTTGTTATTCCAACCCTGCATGGTGGGTATTGAACAAGCTGGTTTGGCAGAGACTCTGGAATTCATACTCAAGAAATACCCAGATGATATTCATAAGTGATTGAAAACGTTTATATATTCCATAGGGTTCCTGAGTTGTTATTCCAACCCTGCATGGTGGGTATTGAACAAGCTGGTTTGGCAGAGACTCTGGAGTTTATACTCAAGAAATACCCTGATGATATTCAACAGAGATTGGTCAATGTGAGTACTGAGATTTTCTAAGAGTAGACAGGCACATATTGAAGAGTTTCTGATAAATTGGCATCAATGGGATATCAAATATGTACTGCTTAGAAGTTTTCATATGCACAGGTTTCACTGCAGAAAACATATAGAGGATATCCTATGATTTATGAGTGATATGATTTTTATTCACGAATGGATATGATATCTGCAGATATCAATATCCATGAGTGGATTAAAATCATATCATGAGTAAATCATACCTAGTTCTTCTTATTTCATCATCAGAATTGTCGGAAATTAAGTGATTTAATTCGAATTTTCCAAACGATCCTGCGATGTTGACACTTAGCCTTGGTTTGAGTCTGAAGTAGCAAAAATCCATAATTCGTAGCATATGGCATTGTATGTCCATATGCTATGGTTAAGTGAAAAATTGTCAAAAATATCATATTTTACCACTGATTACAAAAATACCGTTTTTATTTTGACATGTTATCCTATGAATATCATGCTAATTATGGAATAAATATTGATATTGATATCTGTTAAAGAATTATATTTTCATGGTCTTGGAGCTGCTTGATAGATAAAAACCACTTCCCTGTTCATCTTGAATATTGTATATTTGGATAAAAAGTTTGATATTTATATCTGCCTGTCTTGTTTTATTGTACTATTCTGCTGTTTCATTTAACATGGGTAGATGTGCTCTTTATATTACTTGCATTCTTTGAACGCAGGGCTCAAGACATCATATATGATTTTGAAATACTTCATACAGAATGAATTTAAAACCGTTTAATACAAAACAACTAATTTCCCTTCTATTTCAGCATGTTTTCCTGACTGGGGGTAACAGCATGTATGCAAACTTTGCAGAGAGACTGGAACGTGATTTACTTGAAATGAGACCCTTTAAATCCACCTTTAATGTTAAGACAGCAAGTAAGTTATCAATATGTTGAAGTTTACTTGAAATGAGGCCCTTTAAATCAACCTTTAATGTAAATACAGCAAGTAAGTTATCAATATGTTGTGATTTACTTGAAATGAGGCCCTTTAAATTCACCTTTAATGTAAAGACAGCAAGTAAGTTATCAATATGTTGTGATTTACTTGAAATGAGACCCTTTAAATCCACCTTTAATGTAAAGACAGCAAGTAAGTTATCAATATGTTGTGATTTACTTGAAATGAGGCCCTTTAAATTCACCTTTAATGTTAAGACAGCAAGTAAGTTATCAATATGTTGAAGTTTACTTGAAATGAGACCCTTTAAATCAACCTTTAATGTAAAGACAGCAAGTAAGTTATCAATATGTTGTGATTTACTTGAAATGAGACCCTTTAAATCCACCTTTAATGTAAAGACAGCAAGAAAGTTATCAACATGTTGTGATTTACTTGAAATTAGGCCCTTTAAATTCATCTTTAATGTAAAGATGGCAAGTAAGTTATCAATATGTTGTGATTTACTTGAAATGAGACCCTTTAAATCCACCTTTAATGTAAAGACAGCAAGTAAGTTATCAATATGTTGTGATTTACTTGAAATGAGGCCCTTTAAATTCACCTTTAATGTTAAGACAGCAAGTAAGTTATCAATATGTTGAAGTTTACTTGAAATGAGGCCCTTTAAATCAACCTTTAATGTAAATACAGCAAGTAAGTTATCAATATGTTGTGATTTACTTGAAATGAGGCCCTTTAAATTCACCTTTAATGTAAAGACAGCAAGTAAGTTATCAATATGTTGTGATTTACTTGAAATGAGACCCTTTAAATCCACCTTTAATGTAAAGACAGCAAGTAAGTTATCAATATGTTGTGATTTACTTGAAATGAGGCCCTTTAAATTCACCTTTAATGTTAAGACAGCAAGTAAGTTATCAATATGTTGAAGTTTACTTGAAATGAGACCCTTTAAATCAACCTTTAATGTAAAGACAGCAAGTAAGTTATCAATATGTTGTGATTTACTTGAAATGAGACCCTTTAAATCCACCTTTAATGTAAAGGCAGCAAGAAAGTTATCAACATGTTGAGGTTTACTTGAAATGAGACCCTTTAAATTCACCTTTATGTAAAGACATCAAGTAAGTCATCAATATGTTGAGCTCTTCTTGAAATGAAGCCCTTTAAATCAACCTTTAGTGTAAAGACAGCATGTAAGTTATCAATATGTTGAAGTTTACTTGAAATGAGGCCCTTAAAATCAACCTTTAGTGTAAAGGTAGCAAGTAAGCTTACAATTTTTCACAATATACCTAGAATAGACCAAGTTATGTTACAATATCCGTACACAACACATTTTATAAGGCATTTATACTAGATATTACTAAGGTGGGACTTGACAAAATACATTTGGACATATTTTTCATGTAACAGCTAATTAGTTCTGTTAACTTAATATTCTCCCTCCTTAGCCTTCCTTAATTAATGAACAGAAGTTTTGATATTTTGATATTTTCTTTTATAAAGCTAATCACAAATTCACTGCATGATCTAACAATAGCAATCATTAAAGCATCTCTTGGTAACAAATAATTACAGAATATAGCACAACAGAATGTATCATTACAGAATATAGCACAACAGAATATATCATTACAGAATATAGCACAACAGAATGTATCATTACAGAATATAGCACAACAGACTATATCATTATAGAATATATCATTACAGAATATATCATTACAGAATATAGCACAACAGACTATATCATTACAGAATATAGCACAACAGAATGTATCATTACTGAATATAGCACAACAGAATGTATCATTACAGAATATAGCACAACAGACTATATCATTATAGAATATATCATTACAGAATATAGCACAACAGACTATATCATTACAGAATATAGCACAACAGAATGTATCATTACTGAATATAGCACAACAGAATGTATCATTACAGAATATAGCACAACAGAATGTATCATTACAGAATATAGCACAACAGACTATATCATTATAGAATATATCATTATAGAATATAGCACAACAGAATGTATCATTACAGAATATAGCACAACAGAATATATCATTACAGAATATAGCACAACAGAATATATCATTACTGAATATAGCACAACAGAATATATCATTACAGAATATAGCATAACAGAATATATCATTACTGAATATAGCACAACGGAATATATCATTACTGAATATAACACAACAGACTACATCATTATAGAATATAGCACAACAGAATATATCATTACAGAATATAGCACAACAGAATATATCATTACTGAATATAGCAAAACAGAATATATCATTACAGAATATATCTCTACAGAATATATCATTACAGAATATATCACTACAGAATTTAGGATTACAGAATATAGCACAACATAATATATCATTACAGAATATATCTCTACAGAATATATCATTACAGAATATATCTCTACAGAATATATCATTATAGAATATAGCACAACAGACTATATCATTACAGAATATATCATTACAGAATATATCACTACAGAATTTAGGATTACAGAATTTAGGATTACAGAATATAGTACAACAGAATATATCATTACTGAATATAGCACAACAGAATATATCATTACATAATATATTAATGTAAGTAAACATTTATGCGTTCAGTTACATCAGAACCTTTCATGTTTCAGATGATTCATACAGAAATCATTTTTCTCTTCCAGATGATCCCATATTGGACTCATGGTATGGAGCCAGGAAATTAGCCAATTCCACAGACTTTGATTCTCTTTGTATCACAAAGAAGATGTATGAAGAGAATGGAGGAGACTACCTCTCTGAACATTTTGCATCAAATAGATATATCCCCACGCCTGTTTTAGTGCCAAAGTAAATACACATGTGTATGTGGAACACCTTAAGTTTCATTGAAAAGGAAATCCACCAAAAAGAGATCCACTTCAGGCCCGTAGCCAGGATTTGCCAAGGGGGGTTCAGTTTTCAAAAATTTCCAGGGGGATCACATTTGACAATTTTGGCCCAAATATGGCCAAAATCACTCAAAGTGCTCAAAATGATGAAAAACTGCATGATTTTGAAAGAATTTTTGGCCAGGGGAACCCCCCTGGCTACAGGTCTGCACTTAGCATGGGCGTTAATTTTTCAGATTTTTTATTTGAGCATTTTTTCTTTGGCAGTGCCTATAGATATAACTTGCCAATTTGAGTCAGTGGGTCACTGGACTTTGATAGGCCTACCTGAGTGTTCCACTAATGATGGATATTCCATGTACATGGGCATTCCACTTACAAATGTGTTCCACTTACATGGGTGTTCCACTTGACAGGTGGGATATACATGTATTGTTATATGCCATTGCAAGAATGAACATTATTGAAGTGTCTTTCTTCTTAGACCAGAATTGAATATTTGATAAACATAATATTTTTATAATGCCTAACATGGTTTGCATTGTATAATGTAGAAAGAAACAGAATTTTGTAGAAAATTATGAGCTTTTTGTTTGTTTGAATTGATTATCAATTTCATGTGAAAAGAATTACTGCACATTGAAACTTTGAATTCTATATTCTTTATATGAATGTGTTGTTCCTGCTCACTCATCCTCCGATCACAGGGCTTCAAAATCCAGAATATCTTCTTTCTTTTTACACCCTGCTATAAGCAGTTAGCATTTCCCCGATTAAGAACGCGCAATTTGATTCGCTGTCGCAACACTGCGACAGCAATCATGTATACGTCATCGGTGCATAATTAGATCACGTGACTCAGTTTAATCGGACGCTTCCAAATTGGTTATAGCAGGGGGGAAGAAGGAGGTACTGATCCTGTACGCCTGCTTAGGAGGATGCTGCTCACTCAAATCCAAACAATGGCATTTACATGGCGACATGTCAACATCTTTTAAGTCAATACTATAACCATAAATTCTCAAGTTGTCAATTCAAAATGGCCTTATCTTTGTTAAAACGCAATCTTTGGTAACTTAAGTACCAGTTGACAGATTAAGTTCGATTTTATTTGCTCAGAGATATAACATGTAAAAGAGCTACTAATAGGGGGAGAAACCCCAGGGTTCAAAGATGACATACGCTTATAATGTAAATCTGTATTGAGATGACATTGTCGCTGATTGGTTTAGCGAGTCAATCATTGATTGGTTTAAAACTAGGTCAATTTGAAAACTTTGAAAACCAAGATGGAGGGTAAGTACTTCCAGGTAAGGAGATGCGCGAAGGAGGAAATCGTATGTCATCAATTGAATCATGGGGTTTTCCCTCCTCTTAGAGCTACTGTAACAGTGTATACCAAAGTACAAGGAGGATTGGCAACCATGATGATTCATAAATACAATCATCTGCTGACTGGCACATATCTATTTGGTAATATGACTCATTGTTGACTTACACTGCTACGGGAGTTGGAATATCACCATAATACTTGTGTACTCATCTTCGTTCACTGGGCTCCCGATGAACGCAGTGAAGACCGAGCATGCGAAGATGTGTATACTACAAAATGTTAATTTTCTGATAGTAAATTGGTCAGAAGATAAACATTACAGAAATATTATTTTCAAATTGTACTAGGCAATTGAACATCAGGTTGGAATCATGGCTGCTAATTCTCCTTGTCACAAGAAGAAAATTTCAAGATGGCTGCTTAAGTTCAAAATGAACACCGGGGAAGAGCAATTTCATGACAGTAAAATTGACATTATAATGACTTATAACTTGGCAATTTTGTGCTCATCTGTTTTAGTGTATCGTGATTGTAATGTTTCAATTCTCAGTTGTCAGAAGACCCATTTCATTCTTGTAAAATGAAACTTTATAAATAAAAAAATAGCTTTCCAAAAATCAATGGTACATCGTCTGACGCCTTCCACACACAAATAGGCAAACATTCTTTCAACAAACAATTTTCTATTGAAATCATAAAAATATAATGAGATTGACAGATAAAAATTATGATAGTTCTATACGAGGGTTGTGCCAGAAGTAATGCACTATATACTCAAACTTTATCAATACTTGATATTTTTCCATGACATTTACTTCTGGGACAACCCTCGTATTATATTGCCTCAACTCAATTTTTTTCTTCTCCCATACCTTTTAGATTTAGATCCTGGCTTATGATGCCCCTGGTCAGTGCCCCTGGTCAAATCACATCTATCCCATCTCATTATAAAACCTGTTTGTAAATTTCAAAAATACATTGAAATGTGAATATATCTTACATATTTTCAGAACTGTTTATGTGAAAACTTTGAATTATGAACACTTTTAATCAGTTCTAGTGGTGTTCACATTAGATATGTTAGTTAGATTTATAGAGTTTGTTGTTTTATCCTAGCTATTCAGAATCAGAATAAAGTGCTACATCTGAGAGTGAATCAGAATCAGAATCTGAATCTGGACTCCAGTCCTTAAAGTCCCCGTCTAAAGTTTGAAAATATTTTTTTATCATTCATTTACTATTTGTCAGGATTTAAAAAGTGATTTTAAAGATTTTGAACAAAAAATATTTTTTGAAAAAAAGTTGTGAGCATTTCATTTCTCAAATATTCAAATTTCCCGCCATTTTTCAAAAAAAGTTGAAATTTCTTTATCATCAAATATTTCTTAATGCATTTCAAAAAAGATTATCTTTTTAACACCAATGCAAAGATTGAACAAAGGACACACTATTTCAATAATAAAATGCCCTATTTAATTGGCCACTTCAATGTTTTAGCATATCAAAAATATTTTGAAACATTAGTGATGTCACTAAGGTAACCAAAACTTTTTGAAAAAAATTGAAATTTTTTTTTCGATGTCAATCTTTTCTAAATATGCTAGACTTTCATAAAAAACCAATGTTGATTGTCTAACCAGGTTAAAAGGAAGAATAAATTATGTTTTAGATATCATTGTACCATTGGTTTCTATGAGAACTAAAATTTTGAAATGCATTTTTCTCAGAACCATTTTCATGCACTGATAAGTTCATTTCTCGCTTGTTTATCAACCAATTTTCTTAATTTTTTTGGCAAAAAACATGGGAGGATGAATGCTATGCATTGGTATGAATTGTGGCTAATTAGAAGATATGAGTGACCTCTAAAAGTTGGTTTTAAATAAATTCACAAATTTTGGAACAAAAAGTCTATCAAAAACCACTTTTTGAAATTTAAAATAAAAGTTTCACATATCACACTTTGATAACATTGGGTAAGACTACAATATAAGCCAAAGTGGTTTAAACTTTACATGGGGCCTTTAATCCATTTATATACTGTCTTGGTGTTGTTCTCATGCAGCCATTGTATATCATGCACTGAACCTTTCTCAAGATTCATATTGCAACTGAATTTCCATTCCTGTTGTACTATGTCCAGCAAGGAATAAAGCATATCACCCTCTTTGATATCATCTGGTTTGAGGTCTTCCTGCAGCAACATGTCCCACCAGGATGTGTCAGTGGTGTGTTTTACATGCTGCATGATCCACAGTAGGGCAGCACATTCATCATCGTCAATATTAAGTTCTATCATCCTCTTAGGGTAATTAATGTCTGGTACTTCCTCCAGGTGATCATAATTGTTGTATGTATTGGTTTCAATCTCATCAATACATTGTTTCTCATGTGTGTAGAACTGGTTCACTATGTCCTCAAGGCACTGTCCAACATTCTCATTCTGACAACCTGTTTGATGTTGGAGAAGTAGCATTTTGTATGAATATGAAGAAGAATATGTTTTTATTTTGAGATTTGTTTCAATCAAATGTTTGATATATTTTAATGTCAGGAATAAATAATGGTGATTTGTTGATAATGTGTGTGTATTTGTATCATCCTGGAGTCCTGCATGTATAAGTGACTCAGTCCAGTGAGTATCAATATTATTACACGTGTAACAGCTCACAGGTGGCCCACCCACCATAACACACCTTCTTTGGGTATCAGTCATATTCTCCACTCCAAAAGAGAGATCTATGTCTGTTGTACAGATGGGGCCACCAATACGTAACCATACACTGGTTCCATGTCTGTACTTATGTAGACTGATGGTTCCCAGTGGGTATGGAGACTCTGGATCCTCTCGATGATCTTTCTCACCAATGAACTCATACTTGTCACTGTGACTCAGGTAGGATTCAATGGCAATATGCAATATTATAAGAAAGTATGTATCCAGTTTACTTGAACCAGGTTGACTCTGAGGAATAGTCCCATGAGGTGATGATATCTGAGATGATCTGTTTGATCCACTCATGCCAGGTTCCTCCTCTGTAAGTATATCAGAGGGTAACAACTGGTGCAGATCACCATGTTTTATATTGATGAAACCATATCCCTGTCCTGCCTTATTACACATCTTCCCCACCTCCTCCACATTGACTGCTGCATCACCTGACCATGCAAAGATTGGAATGTAGTCGTACTCACTTGGTGATAATATCTTAGTCCCTTCATATGAACTGCCTCTTCTGATAATACTGTTAGATTCAAGTGTTGGATTAGGTTTTCCTTTGTTGGAAAAATATTCATATGCACCCCAAGTATGATTTCCAAAATCTATACAGAAATCTTTCACAAACTTCTCAACATATTCAGTGTGTTCCTTCAGCTGCTCTGGTGTGTATCTGTTCTTTACATTAACTTTTGATGCAATATATTTCACAAATTCTGTTAAACGTTCTGCTCCATCAGTGGTAGAAGTTGGTATTTTGTAGTCTTTTAAAGTGTCATAGTCCTTAGTCCTAGGAAAAGGTCCAGTTAACTCAATGTTGTGAATAGGTCTCTTTGAAGATTTAGTTAGGTACGGTTTCAAGCTAAGTTGTGAAGCTGCCATTTTCTTCAATTTCAATGATTTTTTACTTCTATTTTGTTCTTTACTAGTTCATTCATGTATACATATATATTATGTGTGCCGATTTGTCTTGAGTATAATATTGCATGCAGAATAAGATTTTCTGTTTTAAAGTAAACTGTTCCAAGTATATTAACCTACTTGAGACTAACATTCTGGAGTAAGGGCTGGGCGTTTTTAATATTTACACCTTAAAAGAAAACCAAATAGTTCATTTTGAGATTCTCAGCATAAAAGAGCTATAATAGAGTGAAAGGTTTTAATCAAATAAATGCCTCGCGTAAAGGTTAAACCAATTTGATTAACATTGTACAAGAGAGGTTTTTGAAAGAGTGTAGTGCCACATTAGATATGGCATTTATCATTCAAAAACTGTGTCTTTGTTCAATATTCACAATGATTTTAAAAAGATAATGATGTCTTATGCACTGTATAGTGGAACATTTCATGATTTGAAAATTTTAACTTTTATTTAAAAATGGAGGAAATTTGAATATTTGAGAAATACCAACCCAACAATTCTTTTGACAAATCTCTAAAGCAACTTTAAAGTCACGAAAAATAGTATAAATGAATAATGCTAGAGGAAATGCAGAAAATCTACCTGTAGTTAGCAGCATAAACGATACAGTTATTTTTACTTGAGTGGCTATCAGATTTGGTTGAAATTTTATATACTGATGTCTTGTGGTTGGCCACACTCAGGAAGGAATATAATATAATCTGGAAACTGTGAGGTCATATGAGTGTCGACTTTGTGAAAGGGAGATACATGTACATTAGTACCAACAAAACGTTCTAAAAAGCAAGTCCAAAGTCCTGTTGAAGAACCCCTATTCTAACTACTAGTATTGAAAATGGATTCTAGCAATACTCACTAACGGCTTTGTATAAAAAACCTCCTACCCACGTACCCTCGTACCCACGTACGTGGGTCCTGACCCAGTCTTTAAAGAGTTAAATCTTTAATATTTTTTAAACATTATTCTATCTCAATGTATGCTTAATTATGGATGAATTTATGTACCCATATGCCTTTATTTCTAGATCGGACATCTGTCTCGTCATAAAATAAAGCCGGCATTGCATAATGTTCATTTGAGCTATTTGAGTGTTGTTTTTATCGAAGCGATTTTTTGTTGATCGGGCAGTCTTACAGTGTACAACCAATCTATTGCTTGGCGCAAATTGGCCACATGGGGCATGTGTTGTAAAGTGCTGTAGTTTTTGACTCCATGAGCAGAAAATGGTCAAACTTTCACAACAAAATTCACATTGAATGACCTGAATGATTCTGGATTGACGAAGTTATTCAACTTTTCATCGGTCCTGTTTTTTAACACCCTGTAGTTTCGATTTTTATCACATATACTTTTTATTCTTTCAAACGATATTACAAGTATTCATTGTTTGCACGACAGATTTGAACTATACGTGTAATTTGTCTTATGTCTTTTATTTAATTAACATCAGAATTGGAGATACAAAGTGATAGAGTGATCAATTCACACGATCTCAAGGAATAATAAAGGCTGCATTTCTGTTTAACCGTGGCGCAATTGAATAACGAAATATTTGAAAAGTAGAAGGATTCGCTATATTCGTTTTTAATCGCTTTTTGGCACAATTTAAGGATAATTGTGCGCACTAGTTCAGTGAATCATTTAGATGGAATTAAAAGTTAGAGTTGCCAAACTTATGCAGGGGAGTGTAAGTTTGGTTTTGTAAACTTCGACATTATTCATGGCCGTTTGATCCATAATTAGGTAATATGAAGAGTAGAGTTTTATTTTGACAATGATTTGATGTAAAACTGGTTTGAATGATATTAGTTCAGCTTTGTAGTTTCTAGCTTTTTGCGCGTAAAACGTGAATACAATGGACAACAACGACACCAAATCTTTGACTAACATACGTTAATAACGTATAATATTCGTAAGAATGAATTCTTATAACATTTGAAATAAACATCTAATAAAATGTGGTGAATTTAATTGGTTGGAAACTCTAAGAAATATATTTTTAAAAAGATGTCAACTTTTGGACAAGGGTAAACTTCCCGGGACATTTACAATCTGCATGAGGTAACAGGAGGCACGGATTGCACTGAACGAAGGCTAGGAGATTGCTAATCAGCACTGATGTGTTATACAGGTAAGACTGCCCGATCAACAAAAAACATTTCGACATATCAAAAACATAAATCAAATAGCTCAAAAATAATGAACATTTATGCAATTCCGGCTTTATTTTATTTTACTAGAGAGATGTCAGACCTATAAATAAAGGCATATGGATGCATAAATTCATCTATAATTCAGGATAAACTGAGATTGAATAATGTTTTAAACATTTAAAAATTTAACTCTTTAAAGACTGGGTCAGGACCCACGTACGTGGGTACGAGGGTACGTGGGTAGGAGGTTTTTTATACAAAGCCCTCACTAACATGAATTTACTTGTTGAGACTCGATGAGGATTGCGTTCTTTAACAGGACATTAAAGCTTAAAGATACTCTATTGAGACTTCTCTGTGGCATTTTTTCTTTATTCCTTTTTGTTTTGAATTTTTAACACCATAACATTAACTAACTACTCAATATGCAACTTTTCACCACGTAGAATTTTAAAATATTAAGTTTAAAAATTCCATTTTTATAATGGAGCTCAATGGGAAAAACTACATAATTTGAATTATTTTCAAACGTAGCGGCGCGATTTTGATAAAATTGACAGATATAATAAATATTGGTAAGACGAAACGTTTGATGAGAAATGAAGAAAATTCACCGTCCTGGTTACGCAAACTATAGAAAAATCTGAAATAATCATAAAAACCTGTAAAAATAGATTGAAGGGGGTGATATTCATTTCTAATGTGCCTTTCACTACTACAGGGTAACCATAATTTTGGTACTGATTTGATTTTTCAATGAAAATCATTTCTATAGTGTATAGTCAGTTTAAATAATACAATTGCTATATTTCTTTACTGAACAGTGCAATCATTTATTTATTTATCAACAGTAATGCAAACTACATATTATACAGTTAGTAAAATATTAAAATAATTCTATTAAAATTAAAGCATTGAGATGATACTTAAATAATTACATATTATATTGATAGGCATATTATATTATAGGATTTAAGCCAATGACTCAATGCATTGTAGATGATTAAATTTAACATATGTCCTGATTCTAGACTATGAACGAGGATGGTAGTCCGAATTCAAAGCCTAGACTAGAAGACATAAGTGAATTGAAGCATCCACTATTCATTGAATCATGTGCTTTAATTCAATTTCACACATTGCAAAATATTTTTTACAATTTCACTTAACAGAATGATATTTTTTCAAAGATATGTTGTACTTTTAGAATCATTTGCTTCAAAGAATTGAACTATGGCGGCCTTTACTCGTTATTTTACGATTTTTGCTGTAACTCGAAAAGTAGTCGAGCGATTTTGTTCATATTTGGTATATGAATACTATAAGCTATAGTACTATAATACTATTAATTCCTAAATGTTCCGTAATAAGTATCTTTATACCTTGCAGTGAAGGAGTTAAATCATTGGGATATGAATAAATCATGCAAAACATATTTTGTACATATTTCTCATCATTTAGGGTTACCCAGTAGTTTACAAGCTGACCTTTGCAAAATATATTTCACTTACTACCCTCATTCGCTATCACGCTATCTAGTTTCTTTCCAAATTGGCCTGAATTGCCTGGTTTATTGGTTTTAGCGAACCGTCCATTTCGTCGAACCATCATTTTGCTAATGTTGTTTGTGATGAATATACAATATTCAGTTACATATAACTGTACAGCAACTTTATGCAAGGGAAGGTAATTGTGTGAGAGCACATAAAGTACACGAAGTATTGACCCACTTGTCTCAGTGAATCTTATAAACAGTGCATAAAGTTTTTTCTATGCAATGATTGGCTCACAGTTACTTATAGTGTAAGTTATTTTATTTCTATACAGTGTGGAATAGAGTGTATAAACTTTTACAGATTCAAGCAGATTTAGTGTTTTCTGACCAATGATATATTCAGACTTATTCATTTCACGATTATGTAATACTGACCTACATATCTGTATAGCATATCTTTAACTGAGGCCTTTTTGAAATTTTTGTTTGGTACTACATATAGAACTACTGCATTCATGCATGCCTTGTTGTTTCTATCATATTGTGTTATGACAAGTGATTTTGACAAAATATGTTTTCGATGGGAATTTGCTACTGTCTCTGGTTACTTTCTATGTACTTATTCCTTGAAAATGTTACATGTTGTAACATCCCCCTAACTTTCATCCACATCTACAAATGTGATGGAATGTGTATTTATGTGTTCAAGTCAGTGAAGCATTATATGATTTGTTATTCGAAATGGATACAAATTTGTAACAATTGTTACAGATGCTAAACACTAAAATCAAATGCCAACCAATGGTCACAAAAAATGCAACTACATGTACATGTACTTCTTGGTAGCAACCAAATAATGAAAATGTACAACAATCATTTGATTATGTAAAATCTTGTATTTATCAGTTTATTATCCCATCGAACGAAGTTCGGAGGGATATAGGGAACGCCTCCGTCCGTCCGTCCGTCCGGGCAATAACTCAAATACCGTTGGCCCGATTTTGTTCATATTTTGTACACATATACCCTATGGAGGTAGAAGTTCTGCTCGAAAGCCGATTTTCAAAATGGCCGCTCATTTCAAAATGGCGGCCATTTAAGTGCCGAATTTACAGTAATTTAGGTGCAATATGTAAAACTGTAATAGCAATATGTTTTAGATGTAAAAAAATTATATAGGACATTAATAAAGCTAGAAATGTAGATATTAAAGAAGCACATGGCAGCCATCTTGAAAAATGGCGGCCTTTACTCGTTATTTTACGATTTTTGCTGTAACTTGAAAAGTATTGGAGCGATTTTGTTCATATTTGGTATGTGAATACTATAAACATTGCACACTGTCTAAAGACACTTTTGGTAGAAGGCGGCCATTTTAAGAAATGGCCACCATTTTGAAAAATGGCCACCATTTTAACCTATTTTGCTATAACTCAAAAAGTAGTGAAGCGATTTTGTTCATATTTGGCATGTGAATACTATAAGCATGGCACACTGTCTAATGACACTTTTGGTAGAAGGCGGCCATTTTTCAAAATGGCCGCCATTTTAACGTATTTTACTATAACTCGAAAAGTAGTGGAGCGATTTTGTTCATATTTGGTATGTGAATATTAAAAGCATGACACACTGTCCTATGACACTTTTAGTAGAAGGTGGCCATTTTGAAAAAAATTTTGAAAAATCGCCGCCATTTTAACGTATTTTATAATAATTCGAAAAGTAGTGAAGCAATTTTGTTCATATTTGGTATGTGAATACTATAAGCATGGCACACTGTCTAATGACACTTTTGGTAGAAGGCGGCCATTTTTCAAAATGGCCGCCATTTTAACATATTTTACTATAACTCGAAAAGTAGTGGAGTGATTTTGTTCATATTTGGTATGTGAATACTATAAGTATGGCAAATGGTCTAATGACACTTTTGGTAGAAGGCGGTCATTTTGAAAAATGCCTGCCATTTTTGCTATATACTTTGTTTGTAAAAATGCCATCCATGGCTGTTCGATGGGATTCGCTACGCTTTGGCGTTGCCGTTGTTCTGGTTTAAATAGAATATCAAATCATCATCTGTTTATTTTAGGATCTATATTTTTCGGAAAAATCATTTTGAATTCTACCGTTGCTGTCATCTTTACATCACCCCAAAACCTATGACTGCATTAGCCCAAATTTCTTTTTTTGTCAATCTGAAATGTTTCATGGGCTTTAAATTCCACTATTTGAAGAAATATCAAATTGAATTTAATGTTATATCAAATTTTCACTGTGCCTTTAATTTCACAGTGTCGCCTCTTCAGCGAAAATAGTGAACATTAGTAGATATAACTAACCAATTTGAGTCAGTGGGTCACTGGACTTTGATACCTGAGTGTACCACTTATGATGGGCGTTCCACGTACATGGGCATTCCACTTACAAATGTGTTCCACTAACATGGGTGTTCCACTTGACAAATTGGATATACATGTATTGTCATACGCCATTGCAAGAATGAACATTATTGAAGTGTCTTTCTTCAGAATAGAATATTTTATGAACTTAATATTTTTATAATGTTTAACATGGATTGCATTGTATAATGTAGAAAGAAACAGAATTTTGTAGAAAATTATAAGCTGTCTTTTGTTGGAATTGATTATGATTTTCATGTGAAAAGAATTACTGCACATTGAAACATTGAATTCTATATTCTTTATATGAATATGTTGTTCCGTCTCACTCAAATCTAAACATTGGCATTTACATGGTGGCATGTCAACATCTTTCAAGTCAATATAACCATAAATTCTCACGTTGTCAATTCAAAATTGCCTTATCTTTGTTAAAACATAATTGTTGCTAACTTAAGTACCAGTTGACAGATTTAGTTCGATTTTATTTGCTCATAAATAAATAAAGAACAAGGAGGATTGGCAACCATGATTCAAACACAATCGTCCGCTGACTGGCATGAATCATTTTTGTAATAAAGTAACCCATATGTTGAAGACTCGCACTGCCACGGGAGTTTGAATTGCACAATTGCTTCACATTTGCTTCTGGGGCAACCCTCGTATTATATTGCCTCAACTCAATTTTTTGTTCTCCCTTACTTTTTATTAGATTCAGATCCTGCCTTATGATGCCACTGGTCAGTGCCCCTGGTCAATTCACATTTATCCCATCCCATTATAAAACCTGCTCTTAAACAAAAAATACATTGAAATGTGAATGTATCTTACATATAATATTCAGAACTGTTTATGTGAAAACTTTGAATTATGAACACTTTTAATCAGTTCTAGTGGTGTTCACATTAGATATGTTAGTTAGATTTATAGAGTTTGTTGTTTTATCCTAGCTATTCAGAATCAGAATGAAGTGCTACATCTGAGAGGGAATCTGAATCTTAATCTGTATCCCACTCCTTAATCCATCTATATACTGTCTTGGTGTTATCCTCATGCAACCACTGTACCTCAAGCACTGAACCTTTCTTGAGATCTCTATTCCTTAGGAAATTATTCACCTGTTGTAGTGTGTCAAGCAAGGAATGAATCATATCACCCTCTTTGATATCATCTGGTTTGAGGTCTTCCTGCAACAACATGTCCCACCAGGATGTGTCAGTGGTGTGCTTCACATGCTGCATGATCCACAGTAGGGCAGCACATTCATCAGCGTTAATATTAAGTTTTATCATCCTCTTAGGGTAATTTATGTCTGGTACTTTTAGGTGATTATAATTGTATATATTGGTTTCAATCCCATCAATACATTGTTTCTCATGTGGGAGGAACTGGTCCACTATGTCCTCAAGGCACTGTCCAACATTCTCGTTCTGACAACCTCTTTGGTGATGGTGAAGTAACATTTTGTATGAATATGAAGAAGAAATTGTTTTTACTTTGAAATTGGTTTCAATCAGATGTTTGATATATTTGAATGTCAGGAATAAATAATGGTGATTTGTTGATAATGTGTGTGTATTTGTATCATCCTGGAGTCCTGCATGTACAAGTGACTCGGTCCAGTGAGTAAAACGATTATTACACTTGTCACAGTCCACAAGGTACCTACCCACCATAACACACCTTCTCTGGGTGTCACTCATATTCTCCACTCCAAAAGAGAGATCTATGTCTGTTGTGCACATAGGGGCACCAATCCGTAACCATACACTGGTTCCATGACTTCCCTCATGTAGACTGATGGTTCCCAGTGGGTATGGAGACTCTGGATCATCATGATGATTTTTATCACCAATGTACTCATACTTGTCACTGTCACTCAGGTAGTGTTGAATGGCAAAATGCAATGTTTCAAGAAAGAATGTAGTCAGTTTACTTGAAACAGGTTGACTCTGAGGAATAGTCCCATCAGGTGATGATATCTGAGGTAATCTATTAATTGATCCACTCATACCAGGTTGATTCTCTTCAAGTCCATGTTGTGCAAACGACTGCTGCAGTTCAATGACCAAATGCAATATTGCGAGAAAGGTTGTAGCCATTTTACTTGAACCAGGTAGACTCTGAGGAATAGTCCCAAGTGCTGATATAGTCTCAAGTGATGATATCTGAGGTGATCTATCAATGGATCCACTCATACCAGGTTGATTCTCTACAAGATGAAGTCTAAGTTGTGAAAACAACTGGTGCAGTTCACCATGTTGTATATTGATGAAACCATAACCCTGTCCTGCCCTATTACACATCTCCCCCACCTCTTCCACATTGACTGCTGCATCAAATGACCATGCAAAGATCGGAATGTAGTCATACTCACTTGGTGATAAAATCTTAGTTTCTTCATATGAACTGCCTCTTCTGATGATATTGCTAGATTGTAATATTGGATTAGGTTTTCCTTTGTTGGACAAATCATCTTTAGGACTGTGCATTCCAAAACCTATACATAATTCTTTCACAAACTTCTCAACATATTCAGTGTGTTCATTAAGCTGCTCTGGTGTGTATCTGTTCTTGACATTAACTTTTGATGCAATGTACTTCACAAATTCTGTTAAACGTTCTACTCCATCAGATGTAGAAGTTGGTATTTTGTAGCCTTTTAAAGTGTCATAGTCCTTAGGCTTAGGAAAAGGTCCAGTTAACTCAATGTTGTGAATAGGTCTCTTTGAAGATTTAGTAAGGTACGGTTTCAAGCTAAGTTGTGAAGCTGCCATTTTCTTCAATTTCAATGATTTTTTACTTCTATTTTGTTCTTTACTAGTTCACTCAAGTATAATTATGTATGCTGAAATAGTTTTGGGTATAATATTGCATACAATTGATAAGATTTTCTGTTTTAAAGTAAACTGTTCAAGTATCTTAACCTATTTGAGATAAGCATTTTTGAGTAAAGGGGTAAGCATTTTTATTAATATTTAACTGCTCAAAGTCTGAGCTGAGACTAACATATGATGGTCTCAGGTCTAAGTACAGTATGTGGTTTATAAAAATCTAAACATTTAAAAGAAAACCACATAGTTCATTTTGCCATTCTCTGCATAAAAGAAATAGAATAGGTTCTAGAAGAAGAGGTTCTCTTCTAGAAGAGGTTCTCTTCTAGATGAGCTAGTGAAAGGTTCTAATCAAATAAATGCCCCGCATAAAGGCTACACCTCTTTGATTAACATTGTACCTTTTTTAATTTCAAAAGTGTTTTTTGAAAGAGTTTAGTGCCACATTAGATATCGCACTTATCATTGAAAAAGTGTGTCATTTGTTCAATATTCACAATGGTTTTACAAAGATAATAGGGAGTTTAAGCTTGCATGTAAAGTCGAAACGCCAACCTATACATATGACCAATCACCCATACAAATGCATCGCTTTAATATTTGTAACAATTCTTACAGATGCCAAACACTAAAATCAGACACCAACCAATGGTCACAAAAAATGCAACTACATTTACATGTACTTCTTGGTAGCAACCAAATAATGAAAATGTATATGCAACAATCATTTGATTATTCAAAATCTCGTATTTATTTAGATAAAATATCAAATCGTCATCACTATATATTTTAGAATCCACATTTTTCTGAAAATCATTTTGAATTCTACCACTGCTGCCATCTTTATATCAACCCAAAACTTATTACTGCATTAGCCCAAATTTCATTATTTTGTCAATCTGAAATGTTTCATGGACTTTAAATTCCACTGTTTGAAGAAATATCCAATTGAACTTAATGTTAAATCAAATTTTCACTGTTCCTTTCATTTCAGAGTGTAGCCTCTTCAGCGAAAATAGTGAAAATTAGGGCACCTTGAAAATTTGGGCTTTAACAGTATGACTTCCATCGAAAGTTAAGAATAACCTAATGCATTAAAATAGCTTGCTGTCAAGTAAGTGTTAGAATGTTCAGTTAGAATAATGCAGGCCCATACGGGGAGGGGAATTTGGGTGTTCATTGTTTTTTTAAAGGGGATTTTTTTCAAAGTTGGGGCCCAAAATGTTTTTCTTTGCAAGTGCAGACATTTTTTGGCCCTCCCGTCTTTTGTTATGTCCCCACCACATAGTGTGGGGCCATATTGTCGGCCTAGGCGCGTCTGTATGTCCGTCTGTCCGTATGTCCGTCTGTCCGTCCGTCCGTACGTCCGGCAGTTTTCTCTAAAACCGCTACAGATATCACCTTCAAATTTTCAGGGTTAACTTATGAGTGCATCTAGATGTGGATGAAAAAAATTTAACTCGATACCTACTTCCTGTCGGCCATTTTGAAGTCAAATGCTAAAATCCTTGTCTGCAAACTTTAAGAAAAATGGCTTCACCATACCTGCCAACCTAAGACCAAAATTTTGCGGTAGATTTCTTTAAAATTGCTGTATTTTTGCGGTAGATTCTTTCAAAATACGGCAGTTTTTGCGGTATTTTTCAACAAAATTGCGGTAGTTTTTGCGGTAGATTTTAGAAAAAACGGTAGTTTTTGCGGTAGATTTTTTAAAAAACGGTAGTTTTTGCGACAGATTTAAAAAATACGGTAGTTTTTGCGGTAGATTTTAAAAAATACTGTAGTTTCAGAGGTTTGGGGTAGATTTTTGAAAAAAGTGTAATTTTGCGGTAGAATTTTGAGAAAAGCGGTAGTTTTGCGGAAGATTTAGAATAAATGCGGTAGTTTTAAGGTAGATTTTTAAAAATGCGGTAGTTTTTACGGTAGTTTTTTGAAAAACCGGTAGTTTTGCGAAAGATTCTGAAAAAAATGCGGTAGTTTTACGGTAGATTTTAAAAAAATGCGGTAGTTTTTACGGAAGCTTTTTGAAAAACTGGTAGTTTTGCGGAAAATTTTGAAAAATGCGGTAGTTTTACGGTAGATTTTGAAAATTGCGGTAGTTTTTACGGTAATTTTTTGAAAAACCGGTACTTTTGCGGAAGATTTCGAAAAAATACGGTAGTTTTACGGTAGATTTTGAAAATTGCAGTAGTTTTTACGGTAATTTTTTGAAAAACGGGTACTTTTGCGGAAGATTTGCCAAAATGCGGTATTTTTCGGTAGATTTTGAAAAATGCGTTAGTTAAACCTTTATACAATGCGGTTTTCTATATTAATACAATGTTTACGTGGTCATATTGTTGTTGTTATTGTGATTACATATTTTACTGCAAGAGTGCTTTTGATAATAACAGTTTGTAAAGCAGAACTACCACCTGAGAATTATACGAAACTATTATTATCAAGAAATAATAGATACACTATTTTCAAGAATGAATAGAGACTAAACACTTTTTATTCTTCATTTACCATGCCTACAATGGACTGACAGCAACTTTGGATTTTAATGTTTCAGCAACTCTTTTACAATAAATCTAGATTGATTCAAAATACGAACACAATATTCATATCTCCACTTTTGTTCACCTTCTAACCATTTTTTTTAGATATCAGGATGTTTGGAAATACCATGAATGAAACATTTACTGAAATACAAAATATGGATTTTACACATTTTTACTCACCATCTTAGATGATCTATCACTTTTACGAATTGACAGACATAATGTTCATATAACATTGGAATCATATGGTATTAAATATTGATTTGTTCACTCGCAAGTCTCTAATGATATCAATGTGTTTGTCTGGCACAAATAGAAAATAAGTACAGGTCAATTGTCTTTCAAAAATAATCTGTTATGAGCATTTGCTGAAACCTTTCCCCTGAGACATCGTTCAGATTCGGATATCACAATACTTTTATAATAAACCAGAACTCAATGCTTTATTTTTCAATTATGTATTTGTTTACTGATAATGTGTTCTGATGAAAAATACATTTTATCGTTCTGTAAACAAATTGATTAAACTATGTATAATGTATATGTGGCGTTCATTACTGATCATAACAAATCAAACTACGCATATTTCATACGCTAAATATGCATACGCATTTCACTCATTTATTTAGATGAAGCGCATTTAAAATCATATTTTTGTTGCATTCGGAATAAAGATCTGTGTACAAAAGGGTTTGGTTAACTACAAAAATCATGGCAGAAAGAATTCTTTCTAGCAAGTGGTAGTTGGTGTTTGGACTGATTACACGCAAGCTTACTTAGATAAATGCGCAATAACCTGATAACCACAGACCTGCCGATACCTATTTATATTTGGGTTGGTGAAGGAATATTACAGGGACAGTACAGGAAGACTTCAATTTTTCAGCATTTCTCAATAACAATAACGGGAAATTTTACGGTAGTATAAAACAAAAATACTGTTGATTTTAGCAGAAATACGGTAGATTTTCGAAAATTTACGGTAGATTTTCAAAAATTTACGGTAGATTTTACGGCCGTTCTCATGGAATAAACAAGTTTTTTAAAAAGAAAATTTACGGTAGATTACGAAAAAAATACGGTAGATTTTTTTACGGGCGTTTTTACGGGAAAAAAATGGTATTTTTTTACGGCAGTTTGTCATTTTTTACGGAAAAACGAAAAATTTACGGTAGATTCCCGTAAAAATACGGTAGGTTGGCAGGTATGCTTCACAGTTGCTTTTGAAACTTTAACAACTTGTTCAGCTCACTTCATTCTAGATCTGATTAGGTTTTGGACCTGTTAGCTCAGTCATGTCAGCCATTTTGAATGTTTTAAGAAAAGTTAGCGTGCGATAATACTTTGTATCATATTGAATGGTGTTTTTCAGTTTTCATACTTTAACTATTTTGTAGCTTTATAAATAATTGCAGGTGTACTTTGTTGTAAAAGCCTATGTTATTGTTAACAGTAGTTATATGTGATAATTTTGTAAAAAGAAATGGGCAAAAACTCATAATCACTTTTTTATTGTTGGCCATTTTGGATTTTCCGTCCTAAAATCTTGTCTGTAAAGTCTTGTCTATGCATTTTCAGGTGAACCGTTTGGTAGATCAATTTCAAATTTTCAGGGATGATTCTTAGTATGAAAATCTAGATCTGATTAGTTTTTGGGCATTCTGGGTAAATGTCAAGGCAGCCATTTTGGATTTTCCGTCCTAAAATCTTGTCTGTAAAGTCTTGTTTACGCATTTCCAGGTGAACTGTTTGGTAGATCAATTTCAAATTTTCAGGGATGATTCTTAGTATGAAAATCTAGATCTGATTAGTTTTTTGGCATTCTGGGTAAATGTCAAGGCAGCCATTTTGGATTTTCTGTCCTAAAATCTTGCCCGTAAAGTCTTGTCTACGCATTTTTAGGTGAACTGTTTGGTAGATCAATTTCAAATTTTTAGGGATGATTCTTAGTATGAAAATCTAGATCTTATCAGTTTTTGGGCATTCTGGGTAAATGTCAAGGCAGCCATTTTGGATTTTCTGTCCTAAAATCTTGTCTGTTATGTTTTGTCTACGTATTTCCAGGTGAACCGTTTGGTAGATCAATTTCAAATTTTCAGGGATGATTCTTAGTATGAAAATCTAGAAGAGAATAGCTTTTTGGCATTCTGGATAAATGTCAAGGCACCCATTTTGGATTTTCCGTCCTAAAATCTTGTTTGTAAAGCCTTGTTTACATGTTTTCTGGTTAACTGTGTGAGGGATCAATATCAAATTTTCAGGGGTGGTTCTTAGTATGAAAATCTAGAACTGACTAATTTTTTGGCATTCTGGGTAAATTTTAAAGTGGCCATTTTTGAAATTCCGTCCTCAAATTGTGTCGGTAAAGTCTTGTCTACTCATTTTTAGGATAACCATTTGACGGGATCACCCATAGGTGGGGACATTTTGTACACATTTGTGTTCTTGTTTTGTATTTAACATACCCTTTACACAGCCAATATAATTCGGCACTGTTTCGGCATCGAAAAAATTTGGGGCTGTTCCGGCACCATTTCCACACAGTTCCAGCACCGAAACCTTTCGACATCAAAATTTGCCACAGACAGGACTAGTCAGTCCATTTGGTGCCGAAATGGCGTCGAAAATCAGATGGCATTTTGGGGATGTAAATTACGAAGGGACTTGGTTGAGCATGGGAAAAATGTATGTGTGAGAGTGGGTTAGAGCCATCCCCCTATCAAAAGCTGGGCATGCAATGCACTACCATGGAAATATGTCACCACTTGTTAATTTACGGCTGCAAAAATGTAACAATTTGTTACAAACATCAAACAACAGCTACAAGAATGGTGACTTTAGCAGTACATGTAACAATTGCAACTCCTCACTTCTTGGTTGTGAAACACAACAATAACGTTACATTTAATGTATAACTTTGTTTAAGTTTGCAACCAAATGTTAATTTGAGCATTTGCTCAGTTTAGAATGATATACTGTATTTTAAAACTGTCATATATCAAAAATATATATTTCAGCTAAATTTCAGTAAAAAATTGCACTAAAATAAAGCATTTCGGCACCACTTAGTTTTCATTATTGGAATAGAAATCCTTTTGTGCAACTCTATCTCTATTGATTTTCCTTATCTCTAAAGTGCTATATACCCTATCTCTAGTGCTATAAACCCTGTGCCTAACTGCCTAGACCTATAAACCCTGTGCCTAGTGCTATATACTAGTAGTACCTGTCTATAGGTACTGAGGAAGAGGATAATATCATTTTCAAGTACTAAACTAGTATATACCAGTATATACAGGGAGATATGCCAAGTACAAAAATAGTACTCATTGCATTTTAACACTAACTGAGTACTCATTTCATTAGGTATTAGTACTAAATGAGCACTCATGACATGAGTACTGATTAATTGCATGTTTTAGTACTAAATGAGTACTCATATGATGAGTGATAAAATAGTACTAATTAAATTGATTTTCCAACGTCTTGTATCATGAATTTGTACTAAATTAGCACTCGTGACATGAGTGCTCATGAGTGGACTTTTGCCAGTGGCTAATTTAGTACTAATTTTGTACTAATTGAGTAATCAGCATATCTCCCTGTGTATACACTGTTCAGGTATTTTCTCTATTTCTATCCTTTCTCTAGTTCTTTACATCCACGATGACATGAATGATCATATGACACCAAACACTGACTCATCTCATTCTACTTCAACGATTGGAAAATTAATTCCTCAAACTTTTCCTGGTTCATTTTCACAATGACTTTACAGTTTGGTGGTTTCTCCAGCATTTTATCATAATCTACGATACATTGTCCCCGTGTGTACTGGCCAGTCAATTCAATTGTGACATAGGCTTCAAAACTGTCTTCTACAGTGCTGACATCTATTGCAGCTGCTACCGCACATTCATCATAAACAATCATCCTGAAATTATGAAAAATTAATACATGTGTTATATCTCTATGATTATATGAAATAGAGTTGCTAGGAAGGAAAATTACAATTTTAAAATGAGACTGAAAAATGATAAAATGAATGTTTTACATGTACATGTGCGGCAAATTGAATCTAACAGAGGTATATTACTATATTCCGACCCCATATCTAGGGTTTTTCTTTCAAAAAAAGACCCACTTCAAGGTAATTTTTAAAAAACAAGACCCACTTCCGGCAATTATTGAATATTCAAAAACAGTACCTACATGTAGTTTTAGGATTTTTCAAAAAGTAGACGCAGTTCTAGAGGTTTTCATCAAAATGGGACCCATATCTAGGGATTTTCAGGGAAAGTGACCCACTTTAGCGGCACGTCCCCATATAGCCAATATATGGGAGGGCCCCCCCCCCCTTGATTTCCGACTTCTTCCCATCATTTTAATTTAAAAAATGTCTGAATAAATATATTTCTTAAAATGTTTGTTGAGGCAAATGCCTCACCTTTGCCTCACCTGGCTCTTTTCCCTGATACTGTATAAGTTGGTAATTTTGCCTAATCATTTAATTTGCCTATTTCCTAATTTTTGCCAGGTTCGGAAAATTAAATGTCGGAAATTTTGTCTTTATAACATTATCCAATGGGAGGTTTCTTGTCATGAGGAAAATTAAAATTAGGAAAATTATGAAATTTGACCATTCAGAAAATAAACCACTCGGATTAAATACCACTTATACAGTATGCCAATGATATGGAAAAAATGTGTACCTTTCCCCTGCTTTCCTCCTTTCACCAGCAGTATAGGCATCAATTTGTTGAGTAAAGTTATTCTTCTTGGATCCAATCTTGTTTAGTCTTTCATACACATCCTGAAACATCATAGTTTAGTTTTGTGTTAGTGCCCTTTACAGTAAAACCTGTCAAATCTAACGACCAAAAATGTTCTGATTGGCAAGGGTTCACATTTTGAGGTTTTTAACATGGGAGTATGTTGGAAATTAAATGGACCGAAGGGTGTTCACATTGAGAGGTTTTCACATAAGAGAGCTGTTCATATATACAGGTCTTTCTATACAGACACCCGCCCCCCCCCCCCATCCAATCCCTGAGTGGGGACGGGGTAGGTGTGCACATATTCAATCCATCCTGAGTACATGTGTTTCCCATAGCAATTAAAAAAATATTTTGTTGGCTGGGCACAGGGGTTGTTGGATGGGCATAGGGGTACATATGGCTTATGAAATTAAAATTCACTCAAGTGAAGTTTTTAATGAGAATTTTAAACCTGGAAGCGTATAAAAGTTCAAGAATGAACGTTTTTAGTATCTATCATTTTTTAAATGTGACGCACCTATTTTAGTGTGCCATCGATTCTAAGGCATCTGTCAAATAAAATCTGTCAGATTCAATAGGAAGTTTGACATGGGCTAAATGGTATTCATCAATAATTATTCAAGCACAATGTAGACCACTAATGCCATCTATATAGCAAGTCTTAACTTACCCACTAGTGCCATCTATATAGCAAGTCTTAACTTACCCACTAGTGCCATCTATATAGCAAGTCCTAACTTACCCACTAGTGCCATCTATATAGCAAATCTTAACTTACCAACTAGTGCCATCTATGTAGCAAGTCTTAACTTACCCACTAGTGTCATCTATATAGCAAGTCTTAACTTACCCACTAGTGCCATCTATATAGCATGTCTTAACTTACCCACAAGTGCCATCTATATAGCAAGTCTTAACTTACCCACTAGTGCCATCTATATGGCAAGTTTTAACTCACCCGCTAGTGCCATCTATATAGCAAGTCTTAACTTACCCACTAGAGCCATCTATATAGCAAGTCTAAACTTACCCACTAGTGCCATCTATATAGCAAGTCTTAACTTACCCATGAGTGCCATCTATATAGCAAGTCTTAACTTACCCACTAGTGCCATCTATATAGCAAGTCTTAACTTACCCACTAGTGCCATCTATATAGCAAATCTTAACTTACCAACTAGTGCCATCTATATAGCAAGTCTTAACTTACCCACTAGTGCCATCTATATAGCAAGTCTTAACTTACCCACTAGTGCCATCTATATAGCAAATCTTAACTTACCAACTAGTGCCATCTATATAGCAAGTCTTAACTTACCCACTAGTGTCATCCATATAGCAAGTCTTAACTTACCCACTAGTGCCATCTATATAGCAAGTCTTAACTTACTCACTAGTGCCATCTATATAGCAAATCTTAACTTACCCACTAGTGCCATCTATATAGCAAGTCTTAACTTATCCACTAGTGCCATCTATATAGCAAGTCTTAACTTACCCACTAGTGTCATCTATATAGCAAGTCTTAACTTACCCACTAGTGCCATCTATATAGCAAGTCTTAACTTTCGCACTAGTGCCATCTATATAGCAAGTCTTAACTTACCCACTAGTGCCATCTATATAGCAAGTCTTAACTTACCCACTAGTGCCATCTATATAGCAAGTCTTATAACTTACCTACTAGTGCCATCTATATAGCAAGTCTTAACTTACCCACTAGTGCCATCTATATAGCAAGTCTTATCTTACCCACTAGTGCCATCTATATAGCAAGTCTTAACTTACCCAGTTGAGATGTGAAATCCTACAGGATTCTAAGGGTGCTATGGTAATGGGAGATGTTGTCTTCAGCTCATTTAATACAATGTATGCTGATTCAGGATCACATGCAAAGTTGAATTCTGCACTTGTAGTTCTGTTACCACGTCCTATAAAAATACAAAATGTTCTATTTCGTTCCAAAAAATTTTTTTCGACAAAAATCTGAGGTAAGACAAAGACTAGCAAGCTATTTATACTTCTTTTTCGAGCAAGACTTGTAAATTGTTCATCAAGTGAATGTTTTTCAACCCATTTCCAATATGCCGGTTTGCTAGGTAGTGAGATATGCAACAAACGAAATGAATTTTGAGAATGAGGTAGGTTCGGACAACCTCCGCCATATTGGAATTTGGCAGAAAAACATTCACTCGACTAACAATTACAAGTCTTGATCGAAAAGGAAGTACTTCAGCGCTCGGATACTTGCAAGGATGGATGATACTGATGTAGGACATAGTTAGAGAACAAAAGTAAGGAGCTGATCACATCATTTCGTGTATTAAAGGTCACTATTATTCAGCTGTCCATAGCTCCAATGGAGAGTTTCAAAAGTTTCAAAATCTAACATGGCTCCTGAAGTAAGTAAACTAGAACAAGTTACTAGTATTTGCCATCAGGTAAAGGTTTAAAACATTCCTTGGAAATCGAAAAAACATTGGGAATATGAAAATGGAATATCTTGATAGTAAGTTAGAAATCAATTATATGACTTATTGATCTTTCTGAAGCAATGATAATTACCATGAATATTTCCTCCCATCATGAAACAGTCTTTTAATTGGCTGCCAAGAGATGGGTTTAAACGTATCGCCATAGCAACATTTGTCAGAGGACCAATGGTTATCAAGGTCACTTCACCTGAAAGCACAGAAACAACTCAATTTTATCTTCAAGATAGAGGGTCTTCATCGTCCCAAGTACGGTGAATCCTGTAAAGTGGAACACCTCTGTTTAGTGGAACACTTTTCAGAGAGTTCCAAGACCAACTGACTTAAAGGCCCACATTGCATATTTCCAATGTTTTGGGGCAAAATGGAGACTTTTATTTGAATTTTATAGAATATCCAATGTATTGATAAGAACCTTATCTTTCATTTGACACCAACAACAGCTCAAACGGACCACATCAAAGCTTACAATAAATTATCAAAAAATATGTTCGATCTGTCAAGCTTTATATATCAAGTTTTTATCAATGTCATTGAAAGATGGCGAAGTTGTTTGTATTACATGATACCTTCATTTTTATAGAAGTATCGCCATCTTTTAAATCAAAAGTAATTTAAAACATGTACTTTGTTTAGCATGTGCATGCACTACTAATGATCTCTGAACTTCAAATGCTTTTTTCTATGTGAGTTTTTTTTCTTGGTTGAATATTAAAGCAAATCAAGCTTTGTTTCATACTTGAGTGAGTGTGTGAGTAGCATGTTTTAAGTACAGCGGGCCTTTTAATGTTAAACAAACCTCTATAAATGTAAGTGGAAGACCTCCCAAGTCGAGCATTTTTAGAGGTATCACAGGTGTTCAACTTAGACAATTTTTACAGTACCTATTTTAAGTTGATTTGAATTCTCTGCCACATACAGTATAGAAATTACCTGGATATTTTTGGACAAGGTCATTGATAGCAATGGCAGCATTTTCTTCTTTGACCATACTTTTGTCAACATCATATGTAAATACATCTCCAAATCCATCAACACCATGGTAACCAGTTTGTAGATCGTGATTGCCTAGCAACGAGCATTCTGAACCTTTGTACACTGGAATCTGAAATGAGAAAGTAAATGTATGAATATGTATGCAGTGGTCTCCCCAGCATTAAAGCAAGTGGGCACAGTACCCAGCTGAGATTTTGAAAACAGCCTTGCATCCACCTGAAAATCCATTTGCACCCACTTAAAATGTGAATAATCATGAAAAATGGGCATATTTTCACCAAATTTGGTCTGATTTGTGAATAAGAGAATTTTGCAAGCATCTGAAAAAAAATCCTGGGGAGAACACCGGGATGTATGATGAATCAATGTGGTGTGTCCATCTTCTATGAAGAATTAGTCATACTGATTAGGATTCTCTTTAACTTTTCAATGGTTATTCTCTGTATATTGAAATTACTATGTTATCTTACTTAAAAGAGGCCAAATATGATCTAATTTTGAAAGTACAGGTACATATACATTGATAGAAAGTAACAACTGTTGATTGAAAAAACCAAACCTCAATTCAAAAAGAATGCAACGGGCACCAACAAACATGTATTCGGAAAAGATATGTCTTATCAATTACCTTATTTACTTTACTCCACCTTTTGGAAGCCTCAAATTTGATGATTCTGTCCCAAAATGGTGAAAACTGCATGATTCTGAAAGTACCCCCCCCCCACCCACACCCCTTGAACCCTGGATATGAACCTGATCCAAATAACAATTAAGCAAATACTGGTAATCACAATCAAAATACATTTCTCACCTCTGTTCTTTCGCAGATATGCAACAATCGAGCGATATTGTCAACTTGGTGTTTAATTTTGCAGTTCCCCGCAACAAGCGTGATTGCGAGAATTTCCCAGTCGGGTTGGGCAAGGGCCATTATAATTGCTCTAGCATCGTCCGTGCCAGGATCAGTGTCTATAATCACCTTCCTCTTCATGTCTGCTCGATCAACCTATTAAACATAACAGATACCGTGTACATACATGTATTGAGCTCAGAAGGCACTTTTCTATGAAGCATGAATTTACTTTAACATTCAACCTGACCTCTTTTTTTCATCATGATCATCAACATTTGTTTTACTGAGTACATTTAATCATAGGTTCAGGGCCGATATAAAGATGGCAGCACCAATAGTAGGTTTAATTATCTTTTTCTTTTAGGGCGGAAATGTGGATTTTAACGGTTCCCGTTGATCACCTGAAAGAGAAACATAAGATAAACACAGATCGATTACCATGCCGTCTTTATTTGAAAATGATTTCTTTGCCCTAATTAGCCTATGCATTAAATAACTGTATTCAAAAGCTATAATTATACAAAGATAAAAGTTATAAGATTTTAAGTATGGATGTCAGGTAGTGAGCCCTTGGGTCTGTTAGTAGACAAGCCTTGGACTGGTCAAAGCTCTCTGCCACTATAATACTGTCAGGGAGACTGTTCCACTCAGGTACATGTTTGGTTTGTGGGAAAAGGGAGTTGCATGAGAAGAACTACCCCCATAAATGTGGGGTCGATTTGGCGTTTTTCTTATATTTTATCATTCTTGTGCCAAGGAGTATTGGCACTAATATATTAAAAAATAAGAAAAAACGCCAATTCGACCCCACATTTATGGGGGTAGAGAAGAACATGCGTGTACATGCATCCTTCCTACAGCTCCTGTAACGCTGAAAACTCACACTATTTGTGGTTCTTGATCTTCGCTGGAGAGGGTGAAGGTATTCTGGTGGAATTGCAATAAAATGCTGCTTGGTCTTGAACATCTTAGCTAGCTGTTGGTGCAGTCCAGACACTGCAGCGGCATACTCAAGTCTCGGCCTCATTAGAGTGAAGTAAGCCATCTGCTTTGTATGACGCGGGGCCTTCCTCAGATGTCTTCTAAGCATGCCACTGAGCTGGTTTGCAAAACGAACCCCCATTTTGATCATGAGAGAGCAGGCCCGTAAGACACTTTTCTCCAAGGGGGGTGCGGTTTTAACTTAAGAGAAAAAAATTGTCAATTATTTGCCGTGTAAATCAAATTGCGTAAGTTAAAGGGGGGGGGGGTCGGTTACTCCCTATATTGGGGCCACTCTGCCTATTTTGTAGTATTTTATTGTTTTCGTATTGTTTTTAGACTAAATATAGTGTGAGCAATTTGGAGAAACACTGGAATAGGGGGAGGGTGTACTAGAAGGGCATAAATGCCCGAGAACTTTTACCAGTTCAAGATCACATTCAGTGATTTCTGGACCCTTTAAAAAATTCAGATTTTTCAATCATTTTCTTCTTAGCTTAGGGGAGTGAGGGGGCAGCAAGGAAAATTTTACTTATTCAAGATGCTGTCTGGTTAATTCTGAGCACTTTTAATGTGTTTGAGTAAATGAATGCTTTAGTTTTTGGGGTGGGCTGCCAGAAATTTTTATGTTTTTATTATGTCACTTAGTGACTTCTAGGCACTTTTAAAGTGTTTGAAATTAACAAATGCGACTTCCAAACTTGTGAGGAGTGACCCACTCCCCCTAGAAAATTTTACACTTTTGAGATGCCATTTGGTGCTTTCTGGGTACTTTTAAAGTGAATATCAAATTCTTTTTGGGGATGTCAAAGAGAATGAGAGGATGAAGTTGGGTGGAGTGCCAGAGAGGGAGGGGGCAAGGGGTTGTCCCCAAGAAACAATGACCATATCAAGGTGCCATTTAATGATGTCTGGGCACTTTAAAAACGTCCGAGACAATACATGAAATTCAGAATTTTCTCAATTGTTTTGTGGGGGATGAGGGGTGGCCAACTCTTCTAGAAAATTTTACAATTTTAAGATGATATTTGGTGCTTCTGGGCACTTTTTTTCAATTTTTGGGGGCTGTCAAAGGGGGGTGCCAGAGGGGGATGTGGGACTAGGGTGCCAGAGGGGGAGCAAGTGTTTGTCCCCCATATCTGCCCCCAGAAACATTGACCATATCAAGGTGCTATTTGATGAAGTCTGGGCACTTTGAAAGTGTCTGAGACAATGCATTAAATAAATTCAGAGTTTTTGTCAATTGTTTTGTTGGGGATGTGAGGGGTGGCCTACTTCCCTGGAAAATTTTACAATTTTAAGATGCTATTTGGTGCTGGCTCTGGGCACTTTCGAAGTGTATGACTCCATAAAAAATTTGAAAAAATCACAATATTTTGGGGGATGTCAAAGGGGGAGGGGGTGCCAGAGGGGAAGGTGGGGTAGGGATGCAAGAGGGCGAGTAAGTGTTAGTCTCCCAGAATCATTGACTATATCAAGGAGCTATTTGATGATGTCTGGGCACTTTACATGTGTCTGAGATGATACATAAAATAAATTCAGAACTTTTCAATTGGTTTGTTTTGGGTGTGAGGGGTGGCCCACTCCCTCTAGAAAATTTTACAATTTTAAAACGCTATTTAGTGCTCTCTGGGCACTTTCAAAGTGTATGAGTCTAGAAAATTTTACCATTTTAAGATGCTATTTGATGCTTTCTGGGCACTTAAAAGTGTATGAGATGATGAAAAAAAATTTCAAAAAAAATATTTTTCAAAAAAAAATAAAATCTTTTTTTGGGGGTGTCAAAGGGGGGTGCGGTCGCACCCATCGCACCCCCCCCCCCCCCATCTGACGGCCCTGGAGAGTCAGAATTTGTAACACGAGATCACAAAATGCCACGCCCCCTTTTCATACTGATGAAAATGGACATCGTAACTCGTAAGGTAAACTGATTTGATTTGCCGATCTAGTAGTTTGATGTGATCTTGGATACGTAATGTTGAAATTTTGGTGTGATCATTAATTAGTTCATTCAATCTGATTCGACAAGAAGCAATAACAGATTGATAATGTAAACTCTCTTACTTTTGACGTTCGAAGTGAAAGTGCTGGGCCTATCTAAATTTAAAACTTGAATCGAAACAACAGTTGAACAGTTGAGTTGCTAGCAAGGTAATCACGAAGTCTCATTATGTTCAGTGTAAAATAACCTCTAGAACCGATTTATACCATTATATCAATGAAACCAATTGCCATTTATTCAATCGTATAAGGTTATTTTCTGATTTCGTCTGACGAGTTGTAATTTTAGAAAATGCTTTCAAAATGGAGGACGTGATTATAAACAATTTCTTGACGACGCATTAATTTTGGATTTTCACTACCCAATCTTTCTTTCAAATATATAAAAATAATGGAAATTAGATTACTGAATGCTGTTGAAACTGGAAATATTTCCACTGTGATTAAACTTCTGCGAAATAAAGTATCTGCCAATGTGAAAAATGATTTGGGAGTCAGTGCTTTGGCACTGGCATGCAAAGGTAAGCCAGGCTAAATGATTAATATCTACATGATGATTGCTTCCACAGGCCCTCCAGGGAGTAGGGAGGGGGGTGTCACCCAAGTTAGTCAGATAGTTTATTTGGATAGTCTATCCCTTATCTCTACCCCCCCCCCCCCCCCACAGTAGTAAAGGTTTATCCCGTTCCCGGATAAGTAAAGGTCACCTCCCCCGCAATCTGATCCCCACTGAAGCCTATGGTTGTATGTTAGGCAAGTTAGGAGATGTACAGTTAGGATCTGATCTGCAGGACTCTTGCCTATATATACAGGCCTGTCAACTTGGGAACACCTAACATGAGTGATATGCAAATGTTGAACACCAGCAAATGCGTGACAAATACGCAAATTGCGGGACATTTGGAAGGCCTGTATATAGTTGATTTTTGCACCATGAAAAGCAGCATGTACACGAAGTTAATAATCAGAAATTGAGTTAGATCATTTAACCCTTGCCCTTACATGTATCTATCTGTATTTATTTTTTGTATAAAGGTGGACATACTGAGATAGTTCGGCAGTTAATCGAAGCTGGGGCTGATGTGAACGCCTACAATGGAGATTTGGTCACTCCTCTACATATAGCATCATCTGGTGAGACTTAATTAATCGGCTTTGTATAAAAAACCTTCTATCTCATACACACCTACCCACCTACGTTGAACATGATACAGTCATTGAAGGGTTCAATTTTAAAGATTTTTAAATCTCAAAATAGCTCTAATTATAACATTTCTACAATTCCTGCTCTTTAAAATTGAACCCTTGAAAGACTGTATCATGTCCAACGTATGTGGGTAGGTGGGTATGAGGTAGGAGGTTTTTTATACAAAGCCTAATTAAACAAACCTGTCTGGTCCAGTTACAGGTAAACACTCCCTGAGTCTGAAATGTCGAACATGTAGATCTGCGACACAGGGAGTACATAAAAATAACTAAGCCATACAGGTTTGATTAAAAGTGTTGAATGACTTGAAATAGATTTGACTTTAAACAGAGAAACCTGTCAAGTGGAACACCTCTAGAAGTGGAACACCTCTGTTGTGAAACAATTCAAAATCCCAGGACTAACTGGGTGACTTACAAATGTTAAATGTACTTGTATAAGTGGAACACCTACCAAGTGGAACACTATTTTAGAAGAACCAACAGTGTTCCACGTAGATAGGTTCTACTGTACTTCCTAATTTTGGTGTGGAAATGCATGAATAAAGGAAGAACGGGGTTTGTCCAAAAAGAATAATCAAGAAAGTTTGAGCAAAAATTTCAAAACATTTTGGGCAACCCTCGTAGATGGAAAAGACTGAGAACTGCAAAATGTAGGAAACAATCTTCAAAAAGCATGCCCTTTAATATTTCGATTACAACACCAATGTTATTGTCTCAAAATGAAGTGACACATCTGATCAAATATCAATTCAACAAGTTAAACCCGATTCTGGCTTAACTTATTAATCTGAATTTTTAAATTGAAATGTTAGATAATGAATGACGCCAGACTATGGTTTTACTTGTTGAAGTTATCAAATATAGGCCTAGAAGTTATTGAAAATTTAAGATTTTGGAGGATTGTCCTGAAGTAAAGTTATAACTGTTGGACCTTTTAGAAAATAAGCATGATATTAACTGATGAGAACAAAATGTATTTGTAAAATTGTGACTTGCATTGAAATTGTGACTTGCATTGAAATTGTGACTTGCATTGAAGTTGTAACTTGCATTGAAATTGTGACTTGCATTGGAATTGTGACTTGCATTGAAATTGTGACTTGCATTGAAATTGTGACTTGCATTGGAATTGTGACTTGCATTGAAATTGTGACTTGCGAACTCAAATTGTGTCTAAATGAGCTATTATTTTGATCATTCCACGGTTCTAGTTGAAACAGTGTCAGAAAAATACATTTTCTTAGTGAGGCAAATGCCTATGCTGACTTGAATATATCATTTTAATGTCACCACCAAAACTTTTTTGTGGATTGTGTTTGGCATTTGGTGGGCGGTGGTTGGAGGATGGCATTCAGTGACTACAACAAATGGCAGGTGGTGATATTTTGCATGTTAATGCCTTGTTAATCTCTGTATTTGATTTTAAATGTTATAATTCACCTTCCAGGTAACCATGTAGAATGCATGAAGCATCTGATCCTCGCCAATGCAAAACAAGACTGTAAATCCAAACAAGGCCTGACACCTATTGACGTAACAGAGTATGAGTCTGATATTTGGGATATACTACACAGTGCTCAAAAAGGGGAAATGCCTGAACTTGAGGAAATAAATGACATCGCTGAAGTGCCTGCATTTGCAATTGAAGGTGCAACTAAGACTAAAAAGAAAGGAAAGAAAAAGAAAGGCAAGGGAAAGAAAGGCAAAAAGGGGAAAAAAGGAGGAAAAAAGAAAAAAAAGAAATAAACTCAAAATATGATAGAATATTTTTAAAGCAGTATCATATTAAAATGGAACACTTTTGTAAGTTGAACACCTCTATTTATCAGTGGGACATTTTTCAGAATCCCATGACTAAATGAACCTCTGTAAGTGAAACACCTCTATTTATCAGTGGGACACTTTTCAGGTTCCCATGACTAAATGAACCTCTGTAAGTGAAACACCTCTATTTATCAGTGGGACACTTGTCAGGTTCCCATGACTAAATGAACCTCTGTAAGTGAAACACCTCTATTTATCAGTGGGACACTTTTCAGGTTCCCATGACTAAATGAACCTCTGTAAGTGGAACACCTCTATTTATCAATGGGACACTTTTCAGAATCTCATGACTAAATGAACCTCTGTAAGTCATGTAAGTGGAACACCTCCTGTCTCCCCATTAAGTGGAATACTTTTTAAAGGCACCATAGTTGTTTCACTTACACAGGTTTTATAGAACATAGTACATTACCTCTCAAAGACAATCATAGTTTTATGTAAATTGACACTTTGGCGTGTCTTTTATTTGCTAAATATACATTACAATCTCATTAGCGCAATTAAAACTAAAAGGAAACACATACTTGGATTGTTTTGTTTTTCTGACATTTTCTCTTAAAGTGACTTCATCATCTTTATCAATGGACAAGATTTGTTATCAGTTAGCCGCATCCTTACATTCAAATTTTTGTACTTCCCGTCTTGACTTGTCTGTGAGCCTGATAGTGTGTATCTCTTTCCGTTATAATTAATTGTACAAAATATTGAAAATGTAATTAACAGTTTCATCTTTATTTTTTGGGTAAGATTATATGAGATGAATGCTACTTGAACTTAAGACTTCTCTTGTTATTTATAGCATAGAAGCCACAGTTAATATAGTATTAGTTAGTTTGGCAGTATCTTTTATTTCAATCAAGCTTATGTCTGTATGTCATATTAATATTGCTCAATTTTTACGCATTTTCATTTCATAATAATTTTGAGATTATATTGAACAGTCATTGCCACATTACATTGGTTTCATACCTATCGACAAACAAAGTGTATTCAGACATTCCATATACAGGGAAATCTGTTAAGTGGAACACTTCAGACCAACTGACTTAATGTTAAATGAAATTTCAGTGATCTCCCCAGATTAAAGCAAGTGGGCGCAGCACCCACCTGCGATTTTGAAAATAGGCCTGCACCCACCTGAAAATCCATTTGCACCCACTTGAAAATGTGAAAAATCATGAAAAATTGGCATATTTTGACCAATTTTTGTCTGACTTGTGAAAATGAGAATTTTGCAATCACCTGAGAATAAATCCTGGGGAAATCACTGAAGTGGAACACCTCCCAAGCAGTGGGAGTGGAACACATTTTGAAGGTACCAAAGGTGTTCCACTTACACAGGTTTTACTGTATATCAACATATAAAAAGTGTTTGTCTTATAATCTATCAAACATTGCATATATAAGCTTTTTGGTAGCTTATTCTGATAAGATATACAGAGCAGATAAGTAATGGAAGCACAAAATGCCTGAGAATTGCCAAGTTGATTATATGTACTTTTGGTAACTTTGGCATTATCATATACATTTTTTGTATATAACATACATGTATTTATATTTACATTGTTGAAATGTACATCATCTGTGATTAAAATGTACATATTGTGTTGGTTAATTTTTTCAAAGCCTTATACACCATTCGACAGTTTGTATGAGGAACCCCTCCCCCATGTGGAGACTTTTGAAATCCAAATATTTTTATAATATGAGTTATTAGTATATTTGACCAGCTATTATTTTTCAAGGTCAGAAAATTGATTAGGTCACTTCCAGGTTGGGGATTTTGACAACCCGGCTTTTATTTTGTCAAGAATCCCTACCCCTTCCCACGTGGAGTTTCTCAAGACAAACCTTTGAATGATGCATTTTATTATGGACTTGAAGAAACTTAAAAGTGCAATGCTCACATCAAATCACTTATATCCCCAACTTGTTTTGTTTGAGGAATGTTATAGGATTAAGGATCACATAAAAACAATAATGTTCGCCATTATTTTTTAATTGGTCCAGCATTGAAAACCTCTACCTCCCTTCAAAGAAATAATGTTCATGGACGGTTTATTGGACATTTTTGTTCTAATGTGATCCTAACACAGGGACTTGATTTAGTAAGGCTGTTTTCTTCTACATGAAGAAACATATACACACAATTAGTTAAAGTCTTTATAAGTTTCTTGAATCAGTTCTTGGAATCAACCAGCTTAATCACTGTATTCTTAATGATTCATGTTAATAGCTCTCAAGGGCATTGCCAGAATCTAGAAAAGGTGAGGCAAATTAAAAAAAGGTGAGACAAATTTAAGTTAAAAGCAATATAAAATGCTATCATTAGTCTTACTGCAAGACCCTGTGTTGTGTTGGTGAAGTAGAAAAGGGGGGGGGGTCCACACTCAACAGTCTTCAAACAAGACTATGATGTGCTCTCATTAGAATTCAGTTGTTCAGAATGTCTGAATTAATATTTTCTATAAATTTTTGGCGAGGCAATAGCCTCTTTTGCCTCATGCCTGGCCTCACCTATGGTTTGGCAGTGAATGTATCAGTGTGTACATGAAGACTAAAAATATTTACACATTTCCCTTTGAGGTTACACAGTGCCTTAAATGAAATGAGTCGAAGGAATGTTGTCGAGAAATAGATTTTTATAATAATATCCATGCATGACTTGGTCGAGAAAGAATTTCAAGTCTGTCTTGAAAATCCAAAAAGATATTTCTAAATATCTTTATCAAGCTATCTCTTAATCCTTTACTCTGTATGATTTCATAATCTTGCAGTTATTACAAACATTCCATTTTGTGTGAATTTTCACACTTCTCTAATCCAGTTCTGAGCCATAACTCCTCCATTCAACCTTTAATATTCCTCCATTTACAGTGTATTGTAATGAATTTTAATCCATTTTTATGCATAGTTTTCATATTTGGTTTTGGAATATATTCTCCAACCTTATTCAATACTGTTTTATATATTATAATCCTTTGATTCCTGATTATAATCTCTGTATTCCTTTCACTGGTTGGTCACTAGTGAATGTGATCACAATAAAATGGATGTGATCCCACTAAAATGCATATGATCTGAATAAAATGCACGTTATTGTGATAAAATGCATGTGTGTCTCATCAAAGATGTTTTAATCTCCAAAAACTGCATACAAGCAGTGATAATATTGTTGCTATGGTGACTATGTTTATGTTGCTATGTACTGCTTGGCAACCTGATGTGTCATTGTTCTTGGTTGTGGTTGCTGAAGGTTCTGTTGCAGGAGCTGGAAAAGGAACATTTTGTTATTATTTGTTCAAATAATCCCTTACTAAATGATCACCCCTCGTATATATCGATTTTTATGTCAATTTTATTTAGTCGCATGTACACATTTTAAGTTTTATTTCAAATTCTCTTCAATTTGTTTTAATTTATACACTCGGTACTATGTTTCCATCCATGAAATATAGTATAAAGAAAACTAAAAATAAACTTTAAATACGTTAAATAAATATACTCCTGTATCTCAGTTTATATGTGTTACTCGGTACTCAATACTAAAAATAAACTTGGTTTTTACACAATGTAGAATAAATTGTCTTTTAAATTATTTTAAAACACAACCTACTCAGCAGACAACACAAAGGAAAGAGATTTTAGTAATGAAATTATTGAGACACATGCAGACATATTAATCTAAATATTTCTTTTAAAATTATTTTAAGATGTTGGTATGTTTTAGAAATCAAATGACATGAAGATAGAAGAGAAAATAAGAAATAAAGTTAGCAAAATTAAGATTAGTGCATAGGGCCTTTTATTAATATTATTGCAAAAGGCCTTTAATTAAGAGTATTGCAAGGCCTTTAATTAGAATTATTGCATAGGGTCTTTAATTAAGATTATTGTACACTACACAGGGCCTTTAATTAAGATTATTGGACAGGTCCTTTAATTAGGATTTTTGCATAGGACCTTTAATTAAGATTAACGAGCTGCTTACAGTCTGTACCTGGGAGAATGTTTATCTTAACAGTGTATCCTGAGTAGTTGTCTTTATTCCTACAGGTCCACTCTCCTTGGTCTGATGACGTCACTTTATAACGTGTCATTGTGCTGGAAATAAAAATGGAATTATTTAGTAAAACTGCCAGATTTTCTCTAAATAAACCCATGGGCCATTAGTTGGGTGCTATGGCTGCACATGTAAGACCTAGGTTGCTGTTAGGTTGTAATAATTGCCCATGGTTGTTATTGTGAAAGTAATTTTAATTCATCCCCCATGGGCTATACTGGTATCGAACACAGTGGTATATTATTTAATTGAATTGAAATTGAGTTGTAGTTAAGGTATACAACATTATTTATAGGGTCAGTCTCAGAGAATATATCCAAGTGATATAAAATCATGGGCTTTCAAGATACTCTTATAAAACGACAAATAAATTATACATTCATAGTCATACACACAAACATGCGGGAACATGATTCTTGAATGTCTTTTTGTTGTAAGACAATGGGATATATTTAAATGTAACTGCATCACAGCAATGTGTCATTTGACCGCATAGTAAATAAGTTAAAGGTGTCAATCAGTTTTTTGAATCCCCTGCATGCAGAGTCTATAGTTATGAAGACGAAGCTCTCTTTTAAGAAGCAAACTCAATGAATGCAAAACGTATTTTTGAATGGATACAAAGTATTACTTATGTATTATGTAAGATTATTCCTACATATACCTATGACAAACATTTTTTATCAATCAACAACCTTATTTAGGTTACGACCCCCAAAAAATAAAATTTAATGGGAATAGCCTGGTTAACATTAATTTTCCAATGTAAAATCGCCATATTAGACTATATTCAGGAGCGGATCCGGGAACCAACAAGGGGGGGGGGCAAAATTCAGGTTAGAGAAAAAACTTTTGGGCCCCTAAAACCGAAAAGCGAGCCCAAATTTGAGGCCCATTTTCTTCAAAATTTGGCCTGAAATTATGAAAAATGCTCTCCCCCCCCCCCTGGATCCGCCACTGACATTAACACTTTTAACAAAACATGAAATACAGTGCCCAAAATAAAGTATATTAAAACCAATGCTGCCATCTTTAAATCAGCCTAAAACCTATTATGCAATAAAGACCAACCTGTGATAAGTTCTTGATTCTTCATCAATATGATCTTCTATTTCTGTAACACTGTCTGCTTGTACTACACCTGCTCCATGAACCCATTCCAACATCTCCAGTTGTGTTCCCTGGCATTTCATTATCAATGTACCCCCCGTGGTCACGACTGAAGGGTAGTCAGTGATCATTACAACTCCTGAAAAATAGGATTATAATATTATAATCCATTAGGTATTTGTGTTCCCTGGCATTTCAAAATCAATGTACCCCCGTGGTCACGACTGGAGGGTAGTCAGTGATCATTACAACTCCTGAAAAATAGGATTATAATATTATAATCAATTAGGTATTTGTGTTCCCTGACATTTCATTATCAATGTACCCCCCGTGGTCACGACTGAAGGGTAGTCAGTGATCATTACCACTCCTGAAAAATAGGGTTATACTCCATTAGGTATCTGTGTTCCCTGGCATTTCATTATCAATGTACCACCCGTGGTCACGACTGGAGGGTAGTCAGTGATCATTACAACTCCTGAAAAATAGGATTATAATATTATAATCAATTAGGTATTTGTGTTCCCTGACATTTCATTATCAATGTACCCCCGTGGTCACGACTGAAGGGTAGTCAGTGATCATTACCACTCCTGAAAACAGAATTTTATTGAAAATAGGATTTTTTAGATGGCTTATATTGGGCATATTAACATTAGTACCCTGTAACCCCATCCCCTCCCGTGGGGGAGGGCTTTTAGCCAGACAAGCTGTGAAACTTGCAATGGGAAAATAGTCTTACATCCATCCCTGTGGCCCATCTCTTAGCTTCTTGGGGTATAAACATGGGGAATCGGAATGATTCTAAATACAGGGTATTGAATATTGATACAAGACGAGGCATATGTTTTGTTTAAAATGTGTACCCTGGGCACATAATCTAAAACATGTGTGTAGATGAAGCTCTCTTTTAGGAAGCAAAGTCAAACTCACACCTTACAAATGTGCGGATGAGATCCGTTTTTTCAGTACAAGATCACTCATATACCTAATGATAACCCTGCTTTTGCACGGTGCTTGTCGTTAATTCTCACTGGCATGTAGCGGCCCTGATATCGATAAATTCTACACGCAATATAACCCGAGACTACATGCTTGGTTAAAACTTTACACGAAAAAGCTTCGATATCCGGGCATTTACTCTTACACTGAACTGAAAATAGCATCGTCTAAACGTGTATGTGTTGGCTTCCGGGTAAGTTTATCAACATTTATACTCAATTGAAAGAGCAGTCGTGCTTATATCGTGTACCAGTTTGATTTATTTATATGTGTGTGTATTTATAACATGATAGCCTAGTAATACCGTGTCGTTAGAACAACTGCTAGATATCGAACTGATGACCTGAAATTACATTATTCGACTGATCACGCATCTGATATTAAATGATTAATTTGCATTGAATCTGATATTAACTTGCAACACAATACCATGACTTTACATTTGAATGACAACACGGCCTCATATTCTAATCCATTATACGTCCATTGCAGGCCAAAAATGTTTCAATGTGGATATTGTAATGCACACGAGAATACATTCGATTCGTATATTGATCATACATCAATTGAACATGGAGATTTTCCTGTACACTTTCCCAAACCTGTGGAATAGACAAGATGCGAGTAGAAATTATCTTGATTTACGTCATCAAATATTCAAAATTCATTTTTTGAAAAAATTCGAAACCATCGAATATCACTTTTTAAGACGTGATATTCGATAGTTTAAAAGTGATATTCGATGGTTTGTAAATCGTTTGCTAAAATATGATATCTTGGTCCACATATCAAATATATCATCATGTGATATTCGATCTATATCATTGCAACCATGGGATATAGAGGATATCCTATGATTTATGAGAGATATGATTTTTATCCACGAATGCATATGATATCTGCACGAGCGAGCGTAGCGAGTGGGTTTGGGGTAGATATAACCTTTACCACCTTTTCCAAATGACAAGATAGGCCTATACTGTAAAAGCACAATTTATATTTAACATTTTCATAATATTCCTTCTGTTCAATACAATAGAATTGTAACATTTAAACTTTTTGAAAAATTTTAAACTCCTGAAATTTAAATTTTTCAAGTTTTTAAACTTTTGAAAAAATTCCCGGGAGTGGGATGGATATAGTATATCTGCCCGCATTTGGCCTAGAGCGGGACATATACAATATATCCTGCCCGCTCCTCAGATATAATATATATTCCCGGGTGATATCTACCCCAAACCCACTAAAGTATGAAATACATATAGGTTATTTACTGGGAGGGGTTGAATATGGGTTTTATTCCGAGGGACAATATGATATTGACTGAAGGGTAATATAATATTGACCGAGAGCGCAGCGACCGAGTGTCAATATCATATTGCCCAAGGTCAATATCATATTTTCCAAGGAATAAAACCCATATTCAATCCTGACCAGAAATAACCTATTTATTCCATAATACATCCCCCTAGAATGTTACATTTGGATAATGCAAACGTTATATTAAAGCAGATATGAAATGGTATTCTTAACCTTGAGGAATCAATATAATTTTTTGATAAATGTATTTGGACATGTTTTCTCATCAGAAGTGTGAACATTATTTCACTCTAACTATCGTTATAGCTGCTTAATAAGCAATATTCAAATTGGTTGTGACGTTATTGGCCCCCACGTGATCTCTCACTGGTCCCCACGTGGCCTGCTTTTGGTCCATTAGATCATGACGTCATAATGCCAAAATGTTTTATTCTTTGTTTACACAACAATCCTATGGTTGCCGTGACGTTATGATTACTAAGGAACCAATAAACCAAAGCTAATTTTTTATATGACGATACGTGGGGGCCAATTTGATTGATCAGTTAGTTTTATTTCGTTATCTATGACCGTTAGCAGTGATAACATTTATTTTATAATGGCTATCGCAAGAACTCTACGTTGGGCTTACAATGGAGCAAACCGCATTTTTGTAGCTGCAAGTTGAGAAAAGCTATTTCAGTTGTCCTTTAATAAATGCACATTGTTTCAAAAATAAAATAAATAAATAAAATAACCGGGAAACTAAAAAATAGGTCAATACGCTCCAATACGATTTTTCACGGGGACAACACGATTTTTTCATGTAATACGCTCCAATACGATTTTTCCCGGGGACAATACGATTTTTTCATGTAATACGATTCAATACGATTTTAATTCCTTCATATTTCCCTGGAAAAACAGTAGTATTATGGAATAAAATATATTTTCCCTCGGGACCTGCGGTCTTCGGACAGATATATTATATTTGCCTCGGGGTAATCCCAATATCCTGAACCTCATATAGGATAATCTCTATATCTACCTGATGGACCATAGGGACCGAAGGTAGACGTGCATATCTCACGAGGGATAAACCCCATATCCAAACTGACCGCACATATCTGCTTTATCATATACCAAGTAGTTTTCTAAAAAATTAATCTTATTTCCTTTTTTAAATTTTTAAATTTTTCATTTTTATTCTCTACTCTACTTGTCAAAGGATAATAGACGATAAATATATGCATATAGTTTAGCATGATATGTACTTCTTTCTGTAACTGGGATACGAATCTAATATAAAGCAACACATCCGTATTCCCGGGGAACCATAAATATTTTGTGTAGGGTGTGGACATTTTTCTTTTCATTTCTCTAAAATCAGATTATTTTCATAAAATCCATACAAAGTTGGGCCTAAGCCTCTATTTTCGTATTCTGCATGTTAAGATATTTATAATGTAAAACCTAAGAGATTAATTCAATGTCTTCAGTTGAGAATAAGTATAAGGTAAATGTGTGAATTCTGCTTGTTGTTGCACTATTTTTATAATAAACAAGGTTCGATACGCAACACTGAATAGACTGCAGTCATAGCTTAGTTGTAAAGAAAACAAAAGAAGTTGGGACGTGGTCATGCTTGATTATGATTCTTTTATATATCACCGTTTGCATTCGTTGAAATCGGCCTGCATTGATTTCAAGAGGTGGTCGGTGTACAAGGTCATATGTTTGAGTTATTGGTTTAATGATAAATGTGACCCTTGAATGCGTTATGCTTTATGTATGCGTGAAACAAATACTCCAATGGCCTAATCTCAATTTGCCTACAAACAATATAACATTGAAATAATGGTCATCTGCATATTAACTTCCGCACCACACGTCTAACTTCGACACAATTCAGTAAAGTATCCAGTATCGCTATAATCGCTACATGCCAGTGAATTCTGGATTGCACCTAAAGCATAGTAGATCTACAGGGTGGTCCAAAAGGTTATTTACAAAATTAGAGGGTTGCAAGCATTTTCTTGGGTCACCCTATATTATGGCTCTATTAACAGGAAAAGTGTGTTATTGTGTAACCGAGCATAATAATTTGACCCTGCTACATTGGTCAATTTAAGATTCGTGTGTTGCATTAGTGAATTCCTACTTTTATTCATTTTATTCACTCAATTATTCAAACAATGCCTCCTTTTTGTTGGTCCAATATACGCCTTCTCTATAATAATATTCATATTTTTCTGAATCATAGTTTGTCTATCGTTTTCTATTGAACACTGTGTTATGCATGGTCATTTGATTTTAATATTTGATTCTAGTTGCAGTTTATTGTTATTTATCACTGACAATGGTTAAAGCCTTGTTGTAAAAACGATCGCCAGAAACAATGAATCCCTTTATCAAAAGCTTAAAAAAGATTTAGGACATAAAATGCCAAGGCTAAAGTGCGATAAAGATACCACACGGTATCACGAAGCAATTGATAGCCATGCATTCTCCGATGGTGAAACAGTTTTGGCTGATATGTCAGAGGTCCTGATTACTGTAGACATGTAGTTAACCCGGTGATTGATGACTTACAATGCTCTGGTGGTGGCTTGGGGGAACAGACCAGGGAATAAAATGTACATGTACTTAATAACAATATTCTGAGGAAGAACTTGAGTATACAGAAAATCGATCTCAGATGATGAAGTCCATTCTATGTGCACGAGATTTATCAGAACACAAGCATTTAACATGTTTTGTATTAAAAATATATTGGCCTGTGAACTGATATATCGTTGGAAAGCTAAATTTATTGTTGAAAGTGTAGAGCGAACATTGATTTTTTGAAGGGATATACCTTACAAAGATGACTTTATATATAATTAAATCATTCTTTTAAAAACGTATTTATTTAATCTATACCATTGGAAAGCGTAAAGTGATTTAGTGGGAAAAAGACGTGATTAATTCTGGGAAAATGTAATTGTTTCGTTCAAATTCTGATGGTGTTTGAAAGATAAGCTCGTTAAAAGGAAACGTTATCCAGAGATTTACAATAATTGGTTAATCGTGTTGATGTTTATTTGCAACACTGAACTAATCCCCACACACAAATATGTGGTTAGCTTTGGCTTGACAGAGATGGATTAGGCGTTAATACCAAGCTTCTACTCCCCCCCCCCACACACACTTGAAGCATAATTTTAGCCTTACTTTTGACGTAATTCAAGTGTTTTGTCTTACTTTTAATAGTAAATCGTGTGACCCACTAGATATTAGTTTAGTGTAAGCTAGTCTTGAAGTCTTGAGTGCCACTGTTTATAGTGTATATCCAAATAAAAAATATATATTAGTTAAAATTTTCAGCCTATACGAGTTAAATACATTTGTTTTTATGTTCAACTTTCAATTTTAATATGTTTAGTGTTGGAAGCATTTATCTCTTGTGTTCCCATACAAAATTGTTTTGATGTAGAAATGGACAAAAACGTTTCACGTATGTGACATTTATTACTGGTAGCCAGGGTGGTTAAATCTTAATTAAACAAGCATTTGAAGCTCTTAATATACCCTTTGCAATGGTGTAATTTTATTTCTTTAAAAGAGAGCGTCATCTACACTTAATTATTATTATATCTTTATTTTTCCATTATTCATGGATCATTTTTAACGTATTTACATATTAATAAAATTGCATAAAAATGCACGCAAAGTTTTTTTTACAAAAAGTAGTTATTTTACATCATTAATACATTCATGTTGAGCAGGGTGCTTTTATTTCATGAAATCAGTCATTGAGACTGAATAATGTTCAAAATCTTATAACTGGCAATAAAACTTAAAGGCAGAATCAGATATATAGGGGTGACAAAATTACAAGCAACTTTTATAATTGACCTACCAATCTATTCCTTACAATCAAATACAATATCTCCCAAAATATTCACAATATGTTATAAATTGGTGAAGTTATTATTTTATTAATGATTCAAAGTGCAAAAATGAGTGGAAAATGTTTAAATTCTCAACCATTCTTATAGAAGTATAATACATTATTGTAAAAAATCTTTAGTTTTCCTGGAATAAAGTATGCACTTTTGTGATTTTTAGAAAATAGGCATGACAAGGAATGACATGAGTCCAAAATAATCTAAAATTGAAACAATTTTTTGTTTATCCTGCTTGCTATATCTGATTCTCTCTTTAAGTAAATTGGTAAGTTTGTTTTCATACTCAAAGTGTAGCCTACAGTTGATTAAAGTGTAGTTATGTGTACTCTATAAATGTACATCGTAAATGTTAACCATCCATCTTCGTTGATCTATTTGCTCAAACCCAGTGCTAAACTTCTTAGGAAAATGAGCAAACACATTTTATTGACCAATGGGTCCATGAAGTAAACTACAAAGCGGGGGTTGTCACCGTACCATTAAGTGACGTTGTGACATTTATCCAACATGCGTTGACATTCTTAAACTATGAGCAGGACAAAAACAATTTAATTTTGAATTTAAAGTGAAATGTTTTGCCAATTTAGTCACATTCATTTATATTTGTTGCCAATAATATTTGTGGTTTTTAATCCATGCTCAAAAGGAAATAAATCGTTAAGTCGCCATTTATTTATTCATAATATGAAGTATACAATCGCAATCAACAGTATCCTTTCTTAAGCACAGTTCAACGCCATGCCACAAGAAAATATTGTTCAAATTAATAAATGATACTGACTTGCCCCCCCCCCCCCCCCTCTTGGTTTTACCCTAATTTTACTCTTACAAGTATACCATCTACTTGATAGGGAAGAGGAAGAAGTTATACGCGAATGGGACTCCATTTTCTTGGGTTGTGTGTTGGAACTGATACAACCCCTTGTACCATAGTGCTATACATGTGCAGAGGGGGATGGTATTGGGGGTCCAACCGAACGTGTTTTCACCCCCCCCCCCCCCACTTCCCCTTTATGCTATCCTCCCCGTTTTAGCCAACACACTGTATATTGCTTCAGATGTGAATTGCATACCAATTATGTTTTGTACTCTATGGGATGCCAAGTTAGTCAATTATACTTCGCTTAGTCATCAAACATGCCATTAACATTATATTAACATTCATATTATTGTTCCTTTATAATGTAGTACAGTAGTTCCGCTATTGGAATGCTTTGCATTATAAGGAAATTAAATATTGATATTTATATGTGTATATTCTTCTAATATTACCAATATTGTCGACGTTTACCTCCCGTATCTCAGATCTTTTATAGTTCATCTAAGGCTAGACTACATCGATCGTCCATTTACCCCTAAACCCTCCCCCCACCAATAATAACTCTGAGCTTGACATGAGTTTATCATCTACAACAGTAACTATGACTAGCCCGGGGCCTAGGCTTACATTGTGATACAACGATAACTGGTTTATTTTTAGAATTCGTCTAAGGCTACAGCCTATTTATAACGTCCGTTTATCCCTAAACTCTCCCCCGGGAACCCTCCCTCCCACCAATAACAACTCCCGGAACAACTCTGAGCTAGACATGTGTTTATCATCTATATAACAACTATGACTAACCTGGGACTTATTGTAATCAAAAAATTTATTTTGCCACTTACCTTGCACTAAATCCAATGCTAGGGCAAGCACCCCTGCCAGGCAGTATATCCCTAGAGAATCCATCATTACTTGATCCCGTCCCCGGGGCACGTCCCTAAAAAGTTACACTATCGTTGCCTTCGTCTATGCCTATGATTCAGCTCGATAAAGCTTTCCCAGCTGATGTTTTAACCCAGCATATTCGGAATGATTGAACACTTGGACGTCTTGAGCTTGTCAACTAAGCTATTCCCAATCTTATTGAACGTCGTCCTCTTGGCATGCAAAATCCTCCTAATAGCTTGCACTTGAATTTGTAACGCTATGTCCAAATGGTCATTTCCAGTGAACTTTGTCGGAACCACTGACTCACTATATATTTCGCTCCTATTATGCACAGTTCCTAAAAGCAATATGAACGCTTTATTGTGACTGTGCGATTGAATGGCAATGAAACTGTCAGATCGTTGAATATACTCCTTTGCCAAAAATCGATTTATGAAAGCCTTAAGTTGATTTTAGGTCACTCTGTTCTAATCCGAATCATACACAATTTATTAGTAATGTTGTCTAAAAGGAACTGGTCCAAATCTCAACCACTTGTGTTAACAATAACATTGGATAAGTGTCATTACTTTTTGATGACCCTCGTATATCAATTTATGTATACACATGGCTCTACATGTTTTTATTCGTGAACTTTTTTAAGTTTAACTTTCTTAACGATATTAACCAGCGTAAACTTTTAATATGTACTTAAAGCTATTCCAAATGATTTACTTACCGTATTATGTATTATGTACAATCACGTTTAGCACCCCTTGGCGTCTTATAGGTTAATGGCAGGTAATATGTCGCATGTGTTACCCGTTTAACTTTAATAAAATGGAAATATTCATAACAAAATGTCACCACTTATTAATAGCACGTGTCACCGTGTCCACAGTCGTGTCCAGACTTATATCCATCATTGCATAGGAATGCTTAGCCGCTCTTTTGTTGTTGATGTCATCGGTATTTGTCAATGATGATGCTGTCATCGATTTTCCAACTTTTTGAACTTCTTTACTGTTCTTCATTAGGCGTTTCAATCACCATTGAATCATCAAGTTACGTGACATTTGTTGGTATTACCATGGACCTCTATCCTGTATCCCCCAATTTTAAGCAACTCCTCACGATTGTAACATCTACTGTCCCTGCCTTGTGAATACCCTTTCCAGTTCATTCACCTTATGTACTAGGCTCTAATTCGGGCTCTAATGTCTCTAATTCTCAGGGTACTTCGTGAACCAACATTGCCTGATGGTGATTTCGAATTACTCTCTTAATGTAATTGATAGCTGTCTGCCATCAAATGCCTGTATTAATCGCGTTCAGCATGTTATAACATCATTCAGGTGTATGACAGTGAGAATGGTAAAGCAGCAGACCGAACTCCCGTGCAGTGATATATCACTGCGGCGGGCAGGTATCTCACCGTAAGCATGGTAACATCGTAATAAACAACTGACGTGATTGGTTCTAGTCCCATGCTCAGGTCGCGTGATTGTAAAATTTAAACAATTTCATTGGTTGAATTGCGCGTATTAACTAATAAACAACATGTGCGGTAAACTTTTATCAACACAACTTTTACTCAGAATTCCTTCCGCGGGGATTTCCTCTTATTTCCTCTTGATTTTGGAATATTTTGACAAAATAATTATTGGTGAACATAAAAGAACATATAATTTATAAGTTGTGTGAAAAACAAGTACATCTGTGACAAAAAAGGGGGACTATCTTCCCCAAATTTTGGGGATTCCATAATCTGCCCGCCGCAGTGTCTATACCGAGACACTGCATAGGAGTTCGGCAGCAGACGATAAGTTGCTAACCCATCTGATCACCGAACCTGAACGCCCTCGTCGCTTCATATATCACGGTGATAAGTGACGAAAACAAGCACACTGCGGTGACTTGAAGGCCGCAAGATCGAAGATCACACAATCATCCTGACATGTTTAAGTTTCTTAAAAGATGGGCATTGGCTTCGTTACTTTAGAACTAACCTACACGCGTTACTCGGGAGAAGAAATATCGTGAGTTGCGAGGAATCGCAAAACTTTGATCGTAACACACGTCCGAAATGGAAGGTGCAAAATTGCTAGACATTTAATGAAAACACATTTTTGTTTTCCGACTGGGACAGGGCGATAGAAATAGTTTTTAAATAAAGGTGGCAGTTATATGCTTTATATGTAGAAGGAAGATACATAGGATAAATTAGGATTCCTGCCTCAATACCTGCTGACATCTTTACATCGGCCTAACACCTATCGCAAATTTAACGTCTAAAGAAGGTTACTTGTGACATCTAATGTGTTACAGTGTAACATGTGGACCACTTTTTGTTAGTTGTAAGTCATTAATTCATGTGTTGTTTCACTGCATGTTGAATTTGTTCAGCGTAATGTACATGTATGTGTTTTTGTGGACGGCGGCTGGGGTTCGGCGGTCAGTATCTGCAGCAAATGGCAGGGGGTGATATTTTACGTTGCGTAAATAGGAATTACTTTTACAATATCCTGCTTTTACGATTTTATTAAAATATTAACTTCCAACAAAATTTCAAATTGCGTACGGTTTTTTGAATTTGATTTCGGCCCGATCTTCGTGGTATAACATCTTCAGCCATCTTGGTGATATAGGCCTAAATATCTTTGACTACCTCGTGAAATAAACATCTTCGGCTGCGGTGCATCGATGCTCTCCCATTCATTATTTGAAAGCAAATACTCTAAAATCCTAACTCATCGACTGTAGAAGTACCAGCTGAAACTCTCTTTTCATGAACTGAATCGAAACGGGTAGCTGGAAATATCCAAGGCAAAATTGCACATCCTTCGATCGCAGAGCTTTATGACCCAGAACATCTTTCTCAAAGAGGAATGACTGAGTTTGGACTGTAGCCTTGTGTTTGGAGGATGGCATAGCAAGCCCGTAGCCTGCAGGGGGGGTTCGATGGAACCAAAAAAATCTTTCAAAATCATGCAGTTTTTTACCATTCTGATCACTTTTTAAGTGATTTTGGCCATTTCTGAGCCATAATTACCCCCTCTGGAATTTTTCAAAAAGTGAACTCCCCTTGGCAAATACTGGCTACGGGCCTGCATGGCATCTGAGGCGTTTCCAGGATTTTAAAGTAAGCGAGGCAAAACTCAAAAGGTGAGGCAAATCTGAACTAAAGAGCCATCTATTACCAACTTTACAATTCATTTCCAGTTTTTCCTGACAAACGCCTGAGAAATATATCTCTGTACGATTTTGGTGAGGCTGTTAAATGTGTAAAATGATTCGCTAGTGTACGGCGTTGTTAATTAATGCGTGGTGTATAGTGTACATGTATACATGTATATTACACTGATTTTATTAGAGATTACTTACATGTATAAGAATAAGACTGATTTCTATAAGCTCAATGGATAAGAATTACAGTGTTTTTTAATAATGGCAGTAAACCCGGGCCCCAGCATGGTGTTTTCTTGATGTGTTCTTCAAAGAATGGTTTATCTTATCAATGTTTGCTCTAGTAGCGCATCTTGTTACTTTTAATTATCTTTTGTTCAAATAAGTCTTATTCTGAAATTACCCTGCGTGCAGAGTCTAGTTAAACTACACTCTGCCAAGGAGAGACCATATTACAGTTTAGTAGCCCCGCCCCCACGACGGGTACCAGTGACAGTTTGGGTAATAAATCACTTTTGACGTACGCGCTGACCTTTCTTTCACCAATCAGCAAGCTTGAAAAACATACGCCAAATGCGTTCTAATTAAATATGCGCATGACATTGGTCAATTCTGGGCGCAACGATGACGTCAGAAGGAATGACCATATATAGAACGTCGGTCAAATTTGGCCGACGAACACTGATTGGCGCGGTGAGTTCACAGGTTTATTTTAGTTTGAAAGAGTGAAGACGAAGCTCTCTTTTAAGAAGTGAAGTCAAACGAATGCAAAGGGTATTCTGAAATCGAAATCAACGTTGATTTGGCACATAAGGAGAAGTTCAAGGTTCAAATACTACATATCAGTTGACAATTCAAATCGGGAAGAAATGTCTTATTTCATATCATTACTCCTTATTTTTGGAACAATTGCGTTGACTAACGCCGATGATGATGTTCGTACTTTGAGTAACCCCGTGATACAAACGTCCCATGGGAAAATTCGGGGAGCAACGCGCAGCAAGTCAATCCGACCAGGTATAAAGCCTAATGACACTTTAACATTCACAGAATATCTAGGGGTACCATATGCCAAAGCGCCCCTGGGTTCTCTAAGATGGAAACTACCTGAGACCCCATCACCTTGGAATGAGACAAAAGACGCGGTTGGATATAGCGATAATTGTTACCAGGCTCCGTTAGATACTAAATTCGGAAACATTTCGGAAGATTGTCTTTATTTGAACATCTGGAGCACGCTTGATTACACCCAGGACTCGGCTGTTATTGAAAATCAGAACCTGAGTGTGATGTTTTTTGTCCACGGGGGTGGCTTCAAAACAGGCTTTGCCAGGTTCTTCGGCGGATATCTCGCCGATGCGGAGAATGTGATTGTCGTGGCGGCCAACTACAGATTGGGTTTGTTTGGATTCATGACGACAGAGGACGCCACTATACCTGGTAACTATGGCATGCACGACTTGATTAAAGCCCTGGAATGGGTAAAGGCTAACATTCGAATGTTCGGCGGAGATCCAGACTCCGTGACAATCTTTGGTGAATCAACTGGTGCAGGCGCTGTATCACATTTGATGCTCTCTCCATTGACCAAAGGCTTGTTCAAAAGAGGGATCGCAGAGAGCGGCGAGGCTACATCTCCTTTTGCGTTTGGCGTGAACTATCAACGTCTCGTAACAATGGAGCTGTCAAATAGGGTCGGATGCGGGGAGATAGTTAACGAAGCGATGAGGACCTGCATGGAGTTGGTTCAAGCCGAGACACTTCAGACAACACTAAGCGCTATACAACAAGAGATGCAGCCGAGGAATGACAGCAAGGCTGATTTCTACCCGACCATTGATGGTTTTTTCATGAAAGACACGCCTTTGAATGTCCTTAAAAGTGGGGACTTTGAGCCACGAGACTATATCACTGGATTTAACAGTCACGAAAGTTACTTTCTATGGTTCATACAGTTTTCCGCAGGTTTCACAACCTCTTTGAAGGCTGGTTTAACTGAAGCGCAAATGGACACAATGCTTAAGGGCAACGTTAAATACTTGGACAATAATGACATAACGACAGGAAATAACTTTTTTAAAACGGTCAAGCAGTTTTATGGGGATTTTGAAAGCCCTCCAGAAATGCTATCCCAGAAACGCAGCGTTGGTTTTTATAACTTCTTAACTGATTTCCTTTATGGTGCGCAAAGTCAGCGTTTTGCCGATTACTTCTCGAGGAAATCCAGGGTGTATAGTTATTACCTTAGTGCCAAGGTCTCCCCGGATATGCGCATTCTCCCCGGGGATCCTAGTGGGCCGCCCGATTACGTTCTCTCAAGTCATGGGGATGATTTGGCGTTTGTATTTGGTGGCGCAAAGTATATTTCGTCCTTGAATGCCACATTGGAGGAACAGAATCTAAGTACAAAGATGATGCGTGCTTGGGCGAATTTTGCCAAAACTGGGTTTGTATGTTTTGAAGAAAATATTGATGTTTGATTACCCGATGGTTTCTATAATGTTTACATTCATAATTTTCGTGTGACGCACGTGTAGGAGCCTTTCCGAGTTCCGACTGAATATCTAGCTATGAGGTCAAGGTCGTTCAAAAGGCAAAATCCAATTTGTAAATAGGACATTTAACATTTTTCGAAAACACGAACACCGTGTCTTTAAACAGATAAAGACATTCATATTTTATTAAACTTTGTTATTTACTATAGTTTTTTAACTATTTTTTTTAAGGAATCCGAATCCAACAAACACCAGCAGCGCCCCCTTTGCTGCCCAAGATGACTGGCCGGCCTACAATGAGACACATAGGTGGTATTACTCATTAACGACACCTAGTGTGAACAATAAAGCTTTGAATGGAGTCATACCTGGAAGAATGGCTCTCTGGAAGGACTTTATATGGGAGGTCATAGATCGACCACAAGCGGAATGTCAAGGTCAGTGCATCCACTCATAGTATTTGATATGGTATCTAAAACATATTGTATGATACGTCTATTTATGAAGTGTATTGTTTAATGTCCGGTTGGTCAAAACGTATAACCATTAAAAACAAAAACATTATTATTATGTACTAGTATCAGGTTCCCAAATATCAACCGTTTTCAGGTTCCCACTGTTCTCTACCGAGTAGTTTCATTAGTAGCCATTTATGATTGCAGCTCCCTCGACACCATCTTCACCGTTTACATCATCTGCATCATCTTTAACGACGCCAACAGTATCTAGCGCATCCACATCAAACTGTGAGAGCGCCTGCACGGCACAGCTACGGAAGGGTGCCGGAGTATCAATTCAGCCCAGTCAAGTTGGAGCAGTGATATGGTCGCTCACAGGTACAGAGATAATACGATTTAGATATTCATTCTTGCTCTGAAGCCTCTGTCTCCTCAATATAGTTCGTAAAGTGCTATGAAAAGATTTGTTCAAGTTAATTAAAAGACATCGGCAGAACAAGTTTTGTTTCAAATCTCTAATTTCTGATTTCATTCGGGGCCACCCTACCTCCAAGAATACTTAGCTTCATTGGCCATTTAAAATCATTTTTTTCAATTTTTATTTTTTGAAAATTGAGTTCTCAACCATATAGCATAAAGGCGAGACGACTCATTTGTTATGGGCACCAAAACGTTAATAACCAAAAACAAAATCATATTTTTTTCATTTCAGGTCTTAGCGGCGTCCTGTTAATCACGTGTATTATATTGCTGACCCGGGTATGCTCTAAGAAGACATCTCAGATTAGAAACATTGACTATGAGGAAGAACTCAGAGAACGTCGATAATTGACCACTTTTCATAGGAGCCATATATGAGGCAGGCGAGGCAATAGCCTCATCAAAATTTTAAAGAAAATATTTTCAGACATTTTTAGCTCACATGCTGAACTTTTGCAATCACTCACTTGTCCGTCTGTCTATCCGTCCGTCCGTTCGTTCGTCTGTTTCTGCATTAATTCAACCAACCAACCAACGAACGAACCAAACGAACCAACGGACCAACCAACCATCGAACCAACCAACCACTGTATTAGGTCTCATTTTGTATCCATTCTCGAGCATGTACTGTTATGGTCTTCAGTAAAAATAGTGAGGTTTCATTTCATGTTAGATAACATTTTGGGATATTTGGGGTTTGCATTTCTTATGACTATCTGGTTATACTAAAATGTTTTATTTTCTTGCTCTCTTTTAATAAATTAATATTAGTATTTTCCCGTTGGCACGTGTGTATACATAAAAATATATATGTAAACCTTGAAAAGAAATGAACAAAGTACTAATTTGTGAGTGTTCAAATTGCCTTAAAAATATGTGAATGTTGACCTATTTAATGTTTTTAGTGCAAACTTATTCCTCAGAGGTTGTTCATACCATGACATTGAAATATTCATACTTTCATCTAATGCAGGTACAGCGTTCTTCGACTAAAGTGTCACATTAATTAGTTATATATAGATTATTTGTGTGTTAAGCATCAGGTGGAAGTGACAAATTAAACAGCTTACACGATATACAATAGATTTCAAAGTAACTATGGAATATATTTTACAAAGTAAATGTGCAACGTCTAGCCTAGTTTGATTATATTTCTAAACATTCATCACCTATAATGGTACACTTCAAATAGCAAACGAAATAAAGAGAAGTTTAACAGTTTAATTTGGAATTTTTTTTTATTCTCATCAACCATGGCCTATTTCCCAATTATTACGTGTCGATAAATTAATATTACTGTCGAGCAACTCGATAATTGCGAGTAACGAAATGGATAGAATTACAAAAATGGCTCCATTTTCAAAAAAATGGCGCAGCCATAGACCGGAGAATTCGACAAGTTTTTCCCTTTTCATGATCTTACAAGATATAGTTAGATTCTCGACTACCATTGGACAATCACGTGTAAGCACCGTTCGGTTCAGAAAAGCTAAGCTTTGACGAGACGCCAGAATCAGCAATCGCTCTTGCCCGACGCAAATGATTCACCAAAATATGAAAACGGCTTGATATCTTTCTTCATCGATTACCGAGCAGTTAAATTCCCAACGTATTGAACTCACTAGCACACTACAGTAAAATTTTAAATGTTTGGAACTACAAAAAATAAGCAATCAAATGAATATTTTGCATCAGTATATGAAACAATGGAAACATATGTACATGTACAAGTTCTAACTTTTATTTATTTCAGATAGTTATGTATAATATGCAGCAAAGCTGTGGCCTTTTGTAATTCAGGGAGTTTCATCCATGTTAATTTTTTCGAAAATAACATGGCAGAGAAGCATCAAAATATAAGAGGCCACAGATATGATAGCTAAACTACAAAACAAATTAAAATATACAAAAGTTAGGACATGCATAAATCTTTCTATTTTTACATATTCTGTTTCAATGTGGTCTTTTAATTGCTTATTTTTTAGATTCAACGTAGTTCCAAAGTCCAAACATTTAAAATTTTACTGTACACGCGAAATTCCAAGACGTTTTGGCTTAAATGATTTCGAAAAGTATGAGTTTACACCACCATTTTCAAGACGTCTTACGAAATATGATTGAGTTGTTGAACGTTTTTCTACCACGTCTTAGACATATGTAGGTAAGCTTATACGATGCAGTTCAGTACTGGTCGGAAGGACGGTTTGGGTCAATATAGCTATTCCTTCCCGCACTTCTATACTTTGTGCGAAATAATGCATCGGTTTCATAAAATATATCCTACAGTAAAGACAGTAGGCCAATTGTTAAAAGCATGAAAGAGGGCAGAAAGATTTTGTGCATATATTAGGGTTAATATGGTAGATCGCCAGGCAAATTGGTTCTTCTCGAATGTTGATATTTTTTGGATAATATTGGGAACAAGGGAGAAGAGAAAAGAAAATACCATATGACACATGTAAACAGAAAGTTTCAAATTTTTCGTTGATTTTGCCTTTTAATTTAATTTGGCCTCTTTTTGGTTTATTTTTTTGGCTCAAAATTTGCCCCCCCCCCCCCGTTAGCTTCTGGATCCGCCGTAAAGGTACTATATAGTCATTGTATTCAAGTAGTTTTTAGTTTTATTTTCCTCTCCTAATTTTCTTCATTTTTATGTAATAGACCACCGACCTCCGGGCACCGACCACGTGTCCCGCCACGTCCGGCGCCACGTGCACCAAAGTGTGGAGAAGTAATGACTGGTCGGTGGTCGGCGGTCGGTCTGGGTTTGTAGTCGGTCGAAAAAACCGGGTACCCAAAAAACGAAAAATACAAATATATTATATAATTAGATCATTAGAAAACGTGTAAGATTTGTTTTGAATTTACAAAAATGTATGTAACTTCCTTCAAAATTGAGCTAGAAGCTTCAAATAAAAAGCATTTTAAGGCTCTTTTCTTTTTCTATCATCATGGTCATATTTCCATTGGTTATGGGGGGGGGGGGTGCGATCGCACCATCAAACCCCCTCCAGGCTACGCCTATGACATTGTTACGATTGTAAGACGATTTGAAAAACATGACAAATCAATCTTACTCTATTTTCAATAGTTCGTTCATGTATGCTGGTACGTGAATTAATCTGTAAATGCTATCGTTACTTTAGCAGACAGGTGACGTGTGTTAATTTACATGATGTAACGTGTAAGATTTTGATTATTAATCATAATTTAAGTTATCCCAATTTTCGACGAAACGAAATTGTTACGTCTTAGATGTAGTCATGGGCGTAGCCAGGAGGGTGCGATCGCACCCCCCCCCCCTATAACTTCATTTTTGTAAATTCAAAACAAATCTTACACGTTTTCTAATGATCTAATTATGTTATATATTCGTATTTTTCGTTTTTTGGGGTACCCGGTTTTTTCGACCGGGTACCAAGTTTGAACCCATCATGGAGGATTTACTACCCGGTACCCGGTACCCGGTTTTTTCTACAAACCCGGTCGGTCTCGTCCCTCTGGTACAGTAGCACTGTAGGTCTAAAATTTAAACTAGATAATGGCAACTCCGCGGAGTAGCAAATCCCAACGAACAAAATATCAATTACTGAATTCCAATCAATTATACTCATTACTTTGGTTAAAATTGAAAAATTTAGATTTTAGAATTGCGAACTCATGCAAAGCAGCCATTTTGAATTTTCTGAGGTACAAATCTGAAAAATAATACCATAATTGTGATCTACTCCAAAATTCCTTCAATTTGAGTATTATATAGCCATACTTTGAAGGGATCGAAAAATTATTGCGAAATCGTACATTAGACCGCCATTTTGAATTTTACGAGGCTCGAATCAGAAAAAGATCTACTCTTAATTGCCTTTCATTTGAATATAATAAAGCTATACTTCAGAAAGATCTAAAAATTAGCGAAAATTTCTGTTTTCCTGACCCCCCATACACGGCCCCCTGGGGGTCAGGATGAAAAACACGGAATATATGTGAAATAGATAGATGTTGAATATACCACCAAAATTTCAAACAATAATATTAATTACTTTGGTTTAGAATGAAAAATTTATGATTTTTGCGAAAAAGTCCCGTCATTTTTAAAGTGGCGGCCATCTTGAAAAAAATCTTTCCACCAGATATGAAGAAAATCCGTCAACTAATATTTGAGTTATCTTCCGGACGGACGGACGGACTGACTGACTGACGGACTGACGGACTGACGGACGGACGGAGGGCTTCACTATATCCCTACCGAACTTCGTTCGTTGGGATAATTAACGGTTGGACCCCGTGATTCTTCATACAAATTGGACCCCAGTCCTCAGTCATTAAAAATCAGATTCTTATCCATTTAGCTTATAAAAATCAGTGATAATCCAAATTAAAAGTAAAAGAGTATATACATGTATACACCACGCAATGTACAATAGCGGACTTTTTAAACATTTTTAACGTATTCCTGGACCTCAGGATTAGACCCACTGGCGGATCTGAGGGGGGCTTTGTTTATCAATACATGGTTTGACTGTACCTCATTGTGATGATCCTCCCTTGCTTAATACAATGTTATGTGATTATTCTGGAGGATAATCACTTTGTTTGAATTGCTCTTACCTTTATTTATCAATTATGTTTGTAGATACTTCATAATTCAGGAGTTTGTTCAGAATTTTCTTATTTCACTACTTCCTTGTTTGTTGATAGTCTCATTAAAACGTTTATATGTGAATTTCCAACACTAGGCACATTATGTCAACTTTATATCAAATGTTGGTCATGTTATTGTTTATTTTAGCAATATTTAATGTTTATTATGTGTGATTAATTATAGGGGCCAAACTAAAGCGATTACATTTTATTTTGAGACTATATAATTTTGGCTAGATTTGCATGAATCATCAGTTCTTCAGTGAGACTTTGAATCACCGGCAAGTAACAGGAATTAACTTTCTCTCTGCATTTTGGAATTAATACACATACATATTGGATATATAACATCTTATTAGATACACTAACCTAGGTGAACGGGTTAGTAAGGTAATGGAATTACTTTTACTCTAAAACAGAGAAACTGTTTATACTTTTTCCTTGTTGGTGAATCTTCTGATTTCTCTCACTCATTTAGCTTCATTTACATTAGCATGAATTCATTTAAACCTTGTTGAGGGTTATTGTATCAGGTTCAAAAAGAATATTCAGGGCCATTTTGTATGATTACGACTTTGATTTCAATCTGCCTGGTCACGCCTTGAATCAAACTGTGGCTGTACGTATTTATATAGCAGATTAATTTGAACTCTCAGAATTTTATTTCTAATTAACCTTATAAGCATTGAGCGAGCTACGTGTACATTATTGTGAGAAGCATTTCTGATTCATTTGAAATTTACAGATTGACCTACATGTATATTTAAGATTCAATCGCCAACTTGGTATTTTTGGCTTTATCTTATATAATTTGAGGGTAATATCTGTTTGCCAGTGTCAATTATTTGTGTCACTGAAAATGTCCACACTTTAAAGCTAGATTACTTTAGAAACTTTCAACTTGTGAGAAACATTGGCTATATTTGTTCCCAAAGTTTTACTATTATTGCATGTAGTATTATTTCACATTTTATTCTAAATATTCCCGAGACGAGTTGGTTTGGGGTGATCAAGGCAATCTTCATATTTGCTGACACTCTTTAGGGGATCTGTGTTGCACCTGGTTAGTATCATCAGGCATGGACTAGTTACGATTTTTTAGTTGTAAAACAGCTTCACAGCATAACCATCTTTTGAGCGCTCCATTCATTTCACTGGGCATATTTTATTTATCTTAATCGTGATTGCACGAATACTGAAATTCTGAAAGAATCTAGCAATTGTTATATTTTTCACTTCATTACAGAGTTATTTAAATATTTCCGGGGTAAGGTCATTATACAGAGTAGGAAGGGCAATTAATTGGCTGCTACTTTTGTTTGTCCCAGGGAACTAAGCATAGCCAGTGTTGGTATTAATTTGCTCATATAAAGCCTCACAGCATTTTAAATCTTTGTGTGCCTTTGTAATTACTGTGAGAAGATCCTATTTGGAATTTTGCATAACTGTCTTAAGTTTTTGTCCCATTTGCTACACAGTGACTATCCGACCACCTTTATATTTTCATTGCACTAATCAAACCCCTAGTCTTAGTCAGCTCCCATGTGGCCACATTATCTGTATTACATGTAAACACCTTCTGAAAACATTTGATCATTATCACTATCCCGAACAGGAGATACAATTAGCCTGTACTCATTGTATTGATGCGTATCTGGCTATTTTAGCCCGTTCAGAACCCTTCTAAGAATTTATCTTGTATTGTTTTTATGATGACAATACAACCCCCCTTTTGCCTGTATTGAACTAATTAGACAGGTCATTTTACCAAGTGAGGAAAACTGGCAAGCAGAATTCAGAGTATCAAGTTACGTTAATAGTTTGCATTGAATTTCCTAGATACACTGAATTTCATAAGTGTATTTGACTGAAAAGAACGTTACTTTCTGTTTTATTGCATAACTGATGGTAAATCTATGTAGAATTGTATAACCAAACAAATGTATATATCTTGAAATAGAGTTGAATTATATTCATTTTATATAATTTCCCATTACATTCTCTGTTGTGTTGAATGATTGTGTAAAGTGAATGTGGATATAGATCAGTGTTTGAAAAGACCCCCATTCCCATATATTTTACAATCTATTGTCAAGCTAGACCATTAAAAATCCAAATACTTGATAGCTGGGTAACCCAGGACCACGCTACCCAACACCCTGGGTTGCCACAGATGGTGCCAGCGGCTGGGGTCTAGATACTTTACGTATTGACTCACGCATTGGATTACGTCATTATTTGATTCGATATAGATTGTTATTATACTGAAGTCTTTAACACTGTTTTATCAATTTATTTGAACATTCCCACTACTGCACATCATGTCAGACACATCAGAACCTTTTTATGTAGCTAGACACGGGTCATTGCCTACACCCGAATCTGGAGAAAGTTGTTCATCCCGTCCAGAGTTGAAAACGAACAATGCTGAGGGGATAACATCGGCATTCAATGACTCTGAGATGGTTTTAAGCCATCAGGAGTGCAGTGAGAAACAATTGGAATTGACAGTGGATGATGCAATACCCTTTGAGAAAACTGCTTCAAGCTTTTCGCCAATTAAAGGGAAGTCTCAATCCAAACATTTGTTGTCACATCTGAAATTGACCAAAATGCCTAAAATCCAGGAAACTGTACCCGAATCATTCCATACAGTTGACCTGACATTGAAACCATTCATCAGATCTGTTAAACCAGAAATAGCAAATCATGATTTGAGTCCAACACAAATTTCTGGTAGTAAAATTAAAAACTCATCAGTAGTATATAGTGAGCATTTCGATCCCCTTGATCCACATTCCACTGAGGTGGATCCCGGGAAGAGGAAACCATTAAGGGATATGCATGGTTGCAAACATGCAAATTTAGCTTTTGGGAAAACTATATCCTTGTATGGGGCAGTAGAAAAGGCTTCTGTTCAACAACGGGTGTTAACCTTGCAAGCCTCCCCAGATGAAAAACCAGACAGTGGCTACCATTCACAAGAACTTGTAAGGCCAAAGTATGAATTGAAATACAGGCCAAAGTCTACCGTGTCCCATTCATTAGTCATTGAAACTAACAATATGACTAGTATGTTCTCTGATATCAGCCAGAGTGAACATTACAAATCCCATACTCCTCAATTACCAGATTTAGAACATTCTTACATGTGTAATGAATCCAATGTATCTGGTGAAACTCATCCCTTAGAAGGTGATGGTTATTTCAGTGCTAGTAAGCATGAACAGAACATATCCAAAAGTCCTAAAGATACTTGGTATTACACAGAATGTCCAGACAAAGCCATGGGGATCTTTTCTGAAAGAATGAATGCCAAGGCAGTGGATAGAGGACGTCCAATTACCAGACAAACTAGAGCCCGTCCTCAATTTTCCTTGTTCCCAAAGAGAGTATATTCAGGTAGTAACCCTGTGTCCCAGCGGGTTCAGTTATCGAGCAACTCTCTTCTGGATGACCCATCTGTTGTTGATGCAGATGTTGACAGCTGTGACAGCTCTGACTATGCAACAGCTGGTGAATTATTAGAACCTGGCAAGTGTAAAATGAAATCCAATTCTCTTCATTTCCCCAGGAAGGTAAAGCAATTTTCTGCTTTGCCTAGATTGCCAAATTCAGACTCTTCTGATGAAGACTTACTGACAAGGTATGGCAATAAGCCTACCCAAACCAAATTGAGTCAGAGAGAAGTATATCCTTGTATCTCAGAGGCTGTAATTACTAAGTTAGTTCAGCAACAGATGATGATACTTGGTCAAAATCTGACAAAGGTTATAAAAAAGACCCTGAAAAGGAATTCCAATTCCAAGCCAAAGTCAAAGCGATATGCGTCATATTGCCAAATATGTGAAACAAGAAGCCATTCCATCTTTGACTGTGCCCAAAGACACCCCAACTCTAGGGTTACTGGTGTCAGAGCTTGTTTTAAATGTGGAAATGACCATCGTATAACTGATTGTCCTTCTCTAAAAGAAGGACCAGATCAGTTCGAACACTAAATCATGATAGTGTTAGTGTGTGTCTAGAATCAGGCCAGAAATATGCACCTCATTTACCATAGTACTAAAGAGTGGCCTTTATAACCATGCTACCTTAATTTTCCATGTTTCTGATGTTGATGTAAAACTATTATCCAATCAGAAGATTTATACTTAGGTATGCATTACTTTGTTTAACGTTGAAAACACTTTATTTGATTTTCAACACATGTGTTATATTTTATTCCCTTTTTTGCTTGTGTCTTTGTCTGCCATGAATTGCGGGCTGTTTTGAACTTGATGTTGTTTAAAACCTATGGCAGTGGGCTAGGTGGTAATGCAAGAACCTCGACACATGTAAGGGAACTTTATTTATTTTTTATTGACCATTATTGTCATTGATTGCCATGCCAGAGCCTTACTTTACCCGAGCATTAGTGTTAATTGACAGCATTGGCCTGATCAACCAATGTTTGTACACATGTATACTGTTTGCTCTGGGAGGAACTAAGTAGTGAATAAAGTTTGTGAGGGCATGGTAATATGACAGTTGAACCCAGAAAACTGCTTTTGTTGAACTCCTGAGGTGGATTCATTTGCAGTGGATAACAGCTTTTGATTGACTGGGATTGAGTGACACCGTGGATAGGGCCCATCCATTGTCTTTGTTGAAGTGACATACCTGGTTTTCTGGCAGGTTGGTGATAGGTGTCTCTCATCTTGCCCACCCAGTCATGTTACCCATTTTGCCTTTTTTGGTGTACTGTAGCGTCTCCAGGAATATGACATGGTGATGCTTTCACCCGACAGAATTCCACCTCAACTTCCTTTGTATTGAAAGGGTCATTGTGACTGAATTTGAATCATTCCCAGTACAAATGTTATGAGATATTATCTGAAAACTGCCAATCCGAAACTGATTGAGAAAGGATAAATCTTGATCATACGTTTGATTGATTCAATCTCATTTGACAACCCTTTATTTTGGCCAATTTATATCACGTGTGTGATATTCAAGATTTAAATTTGTATTGTGTGAATAACAAGCCTTATTTCCAGGACTGTGATGATTTCTTTCCAGTCCTATATGAACAATCGTTATGACCTTCCACCTAATGAACATTTGAACACGATGATGATAATCTTTCCGGTTCAAGTTACTATTACTTATTTGGTGTACCCATGAGGTGACATGGGGAACCAGTGACAATATTGATAACCAGTGATGATTATGAACAAAGACAAAAACTTTATATTTATAAACTCGTCTATGTGATACATCTGCACTATGAGAAGCCACATGAGGAGTATCACAATCTGAACATTACCGGTATGTACTGGAATTATATCTGAGAAACATGAAGCTGACAAGTATAACATTAATATCTGATATGATTTTGTTAGTGCACCCCATGCAGATATGGGGAACCAATGACACTTACAGCAAGCAGCCTATATTCTCAGCAAAAACATTGATGTCTTGCTTTGGGCACTTTGATCTTATATTGCAAAACATGATATGGCATGGACAACCATAGACAATTGCCATACTATGAACAATACTTCACATGATATGATGTTTGTAACTCCAATGACTACAACGTATATAATGGAGAATAGACTCAAGGATTACTACTGCCAACAACAATAATGATGAACTCTAGCAGCTTATGAACACTTATTGTGTAAAAATTGTATGCAAGTTATCAAGCTTTTGCATGTTTTAGTACAAATTGGTAGATGGTGACTTTAGTAACATGTGTATTTGTATCTTTATATTTTCAGAGTTCGGGGTCGAACTGTTTTAAAAGGGGGAGCAGTGTGATGATCCTCCCTTGCTTAATACAATGTTATGTGATTATTCTGGAGGATAATCACTTTGTTTGAATTGCTCTTACCTTTATTTATCAATTATGTTTGTAGATACTTCATAATTCAGGAGTTTGTTCAGAATTTTCTTATTTCACTACTTCCTTGTTTGTTGATAGTCTCATTAAAACGTTTATATGTGAATTTCCAACACTAGGCACATTATGTCAACTTTATATCAAATGTTGGTCATGTTATTGTTTATTTTAGCAATATTTAATGTTTATTATGTGTGATTAATTATAGGGGCCAAACTAAAGCGATTACATTTTATTTTGAGACTATATAATTTTGGCTAGATTTGCATGAATCATCAGTTCTTCAGTGAGACTTTGAATCACCGGCAAGTAACAGGAATTAACTTTCTCTCTGCATTTTGGAATTAATACACATACATATTGGATATATAACATCTTATTAGATACACTAACCTAGGTGAACGGGTTAGTAAGGTAATGGAATTACTTTTACTCTAAAACAGAGAAACTGTTTATACTTTTTCCTTGTTGGTGAATCTTCTGATTTCTCTCACTCATTTAGCTTCATTTACATTAGCATGAATTCATTTAAACCTTGTTGAGGGTTATTGTATCAGGTTCAAAAAGAATATTCAGGGCCATTTTGTATGATTACGACTTTGATTTCAATCTGCCTGGTCACGCCTTGAATCAAACTGTGGCTGTACGTATTTATATAGCAGATTAATTTGAACTCTCAGAATTTTATTTCTAATTAACCTTATAAGCATTGAGCGAGCTACGTGTACATTATTGTGAGAAGCATTTCTGATTCATTTGAAATTTACAGATTGACCTACATGTATATTTAAGATTCAATCGCCAACTTGGTATTTTTGGCTTTATCTTATATAATTTGAGGGTAATATCTGTTTGCCAGTGTCAATTATTTGTGTCACTGAAAATGTCCACACTTTAAAGCTAGATTACTTTAGAAACTTTCAACTTGTGAGAAACATTGGCTATATTTGTTCCCAAAGTTTTACTATTATTGCATGTAGTATTATTTCACATTTTATTCTAAATATTCCCGAGACGAGTTGGTTTGGGGTGATCAAGGCAATCTTCATATTTGCTGACACTCTTTAGGGGATCTGTGTTGCACCTGGTTAGTATCATCAGGCATGGACTAGTTACGATTTTTTAGTTGTAAAACAGCTTCACAGCATAACCATCTTTTGAGCGCTCCATTCATTTCACTGGGCATATTTTATTTATCTTAATCGTGATTGCACGAATACTGAAATTCTGAAAGAATCTAGCAATTGTTATATTTTTCACTTCATTACAGAGTTATTTAAATATTTCCGGGGTAAGGTCATTATACAGAGTAGGAAGGGCAATTAATTGGCTGCTACTTTTGTTTGTCCCAGGGAACTAAGCATAGCCAGTGTTGGTATTAATTTGCTCATATAAAGCCTCACAGCATTTTAAATCTTTGTGTGCCTTTGTAATTACTGTGAGAAGATCCTATTTGGAATTTTGCATAACTGTCTTAAGTTTTTGTCCCATTTGCTACACAGTGACTATCCGACCACCTTTATATTTTCATTGCACTAATCAAACCCCTAGTCTTAGTCAGCTCCCATGTGGCCACATTATCTGTATTACATGTAAACACCTTCTGAAAACATTTGATCATTATCACTATCCCGAACAGGAGATACAATTAGCCTGTACTCATTGTATTGATGCGTATCTGGCTATTTTAGCCCGTTCAGAACCCTTCTAAGAATTTATCTTGTATTGTTTTTATGATGACAATACAACCCCCCTTTTGCCTGTATTGAACTAATTAGACAGGTCATTTTACCAAGTGAGGAAAACTGGCAAGCAGAATTCAGAGTATCAAGTTACGTTAATAGTTTGCATTGAATTTCCTAGATACACTGAATTTCATAAGTGTATTTGACTGAAAAGAACGTTACTTTCTGTTTTATTGCATAACTGATGGTAAATCTATGTAGAATTGTATAACCAAACAAATGTATATATCTTGAAATAGAGTTGAATTATATTCATTTTATATAATTTCCCATTACATTCTCTGTTGTGTTGAATGATTGTGTAAAGTGAATGTGGATATAGATCAGTGTTTGAAAAGACCCCCATTCCCATATATTTTACAATCTATTGTCAAGCTAGACCATTAAAAATCCAAATACTTGATAGCTGGGTAACCCAGGACCACGCTACCCAACACCCTGGGTTGCCACATCATCACATGACAGTCACGTGACTTCCATCAATCAAAATGGATGACAGATGAATTCAACAAAATCAGGTAAGTCGTTTACAAATGCTTCTAAGTCGGCTGACATGGACATTGAAACATACTAGTAATTGGTTTACAAGATAGAAAGAGGCAGTCTAGAGTAGAAGTGAACATCAGTGAATTCCTAGATCATGCCCCAGTTCTATTTAGTCCACAGGAATTCGTCCATTGAAAAATTGATTTGGAATTGAAAATTATGAAATTGGAAAAAATCCCTGTCTGAATCGTCAAACAGGAAATTATATAATGCCTTTTGTAGCTACATAAGACAAACCAGAAGATTATAATGAGCACATTATAAAACTGTGTAATTATAAAAGTATAAGTGATTTTAGACTTTATGAAAATATAAGCACAAGTGAGAAGCACAAGTGTAAGCACAGGTGAAAAACAAGTAACACGAGACCACTTAGCGGAAGAGGGGGAGAAACCCCAGGGTTCAAAGATGACATACGCTTATAATGTAAATCTGTATTGAGATGACATTGTTGCCCATGGTTTAGCGAGTCGATCGTTGATTGGTTTAAAACTAGGTCAATGTTTTTTCCTTTATGAAAGTCGCCATTTTGTAAACAAATATACGTACTGTCGTGAAAGGAGGTGCGCGAAGGAGGAAATCGTACGTCATCAACTGAATCATGTGGTTTTCCCTCCTCTTACTTAGCGGCATTACAGCGCATAAAAGGATACAAACATCTCTGGCATTTTCTATACATGAAGTCTCGTCCAGTTTGTTAACTTCTTTACAGAATATGATAGAACACATCAAAGAAATAATATATACCCAATCTTGATGTCATTGAAATGAGCATAATGTGTTTTTTGTATAACTTTTTAGTAACAAATAAAGTTTATTTTTTATACCACAGGAATCTAGCCTATCACCTAAAGTGCTCACCATATAAATGACACCTGGATTTTCTATCACCATTTCTCGACCATAGTGATTTGAGACTTCATACTTTTCAATAATGTCTAGATACACATCCCTTAAGGTTTTGTATATTTTACATTTTGTATACTCTCATTCACTGATGTACATTGTATAGCCTCTTGAAAATTCTCTTCTTTTTAACATGGGAAATCCTCACTTCAGCAAATCCAGGTATCATTTATTTATAGTGACCACTGTATCAACCTTTTTGGTCCTTCAGTTCACAGAGGTTTTAGCTCATCCTCATTCTCATTATAGGTACTATTGAGAGTGAAGACAAGCAAAAACCTTTGTAAAGAACCCAAATGGACTTGATACAACTCCTGGGAAATAGATTTTCTGATTAGTCATGCCAAGTCATGTTGTCAAGTGTAATGCACTATTGAGCTTTTATCTGTAGTTATACTGTACTACTAAGCTCGGTTAGTTTAACCTTTGAAACATATGACAAACAAAACAACATTTGATACTTTGTAGATTGGAGTAATAACTGAAATCATATTGCGATTCCCTGTCAAACTCAACAGAACAGTCTTGGGCATATAACAAATTGCTTGTGTCCTCGCACAAGATGGCGAAACTACTGAACACTCTTACGCTCGTTAAACCACAGTTAAACTCAAAGCTGTTTGATTTAACATTGAGAACATTTTCAAATTCAAAAGTTCTGGTATCAAAACAGCCTGCTTTGCCGGACTACAACACATCTGTGAACATTCATGAACACAAGCTGAAAAGACCCGATAAACCACCTCCGAAATGGACTGGATTGAAAGGCTTGGAAAAGAGAGCTAAGGTTTGGAAAACGCGACAGTAAAACATGTTAAATTGAACACCTCTAGTACAGTACCTCAAAAAAGTGTTTCATTTGGAAAAAATGTTTATGTTCAAATCTAGGCGGTATAACATGTATAACTTGTATAACATGTATAAAAATGTTCCACTTAGAGAGGTTGTTTTACATTTAACTGCTTGAATCCAAGGCTCTAAAATCTGTTGAAACCAGAGAACTTTTTGCCAGCTTTTGGCTTTTTATTACATCACATAAAACAATTAGATGGCATAGATCATTTCTACACATTATTTTTGTGTGAATTGAATAAAAATTGTTCAAATAAGAGCAATTTTCAGTTCAGTGTTCTCCACAGAATCTTTTCTAAGGTGGGTGCAAAATTCCCATTTTCACTATTCAGGCCAAAATTGGTCAAAATATGCCAATATTTCATGATTTTTTTCATTTTTCAAGTGGGTGCAAATGGCTTTTCAGATGGGTGCAAGTCTGTTTTTAAAATCTCAGGTGGGTGCTGTGCCTACTTGCTTTAATGCTGGGGAGATCACTGGTTTTAATATATTTTGTATATTTCATAGGGGTCTCTCATACCAGACACTCTTAAAGAAATGGAGGAAAGTGAAGAGTTTAAATTGACAGCTGCCAGATTGAAAGAACTTGGTCAGAAAAAACTAACGAGGGAGGAACGAAAACAACGTCAAAGAGCTTTAGATAATCTTGGAATCCCAAGTTTTGTAGAGTTTTGGCAAAAAGCAAAGCTTGAATTTGGAATTGATGGTAAGTTTTGACCCATCTTTTCAGCCTATTTAGTACTGTACTCACTTTCTATTTGAGTGTTTTCATTCACTTTCTATTTAAGGGTTTACACTTACTAAAAAGTTAATCAATACTAATTTTGTCATCTTATAGATCCCGCAACGGAGATAAGAAAACAACCAATCAACATTTTCCAGATCAACGTTGGTTTATATTGCAATCAGGCGTGTAACCATTGCCATGTGGAGTCATCCCCAAAACGCAAGGAGATGATGGACAGAAAGACGGCAGACAAATGCCTTGAGGTCCTGGCGAATAGTCCCTCTGTACACACTCTGGATCTGACTGGTGAGTGGGAGTGAAAATGTGCAGTTGTTTATGTGAGTGGGAGTGAAAATGTGCAGTTGTTTATGTGAGTGGGAGTGAAAATGTGCAGTTGTTTATGTGAGTGGGAGTGAAATGTGCAGTTGTTTATGTGAGTGGGAGTGAAAATGTGCAGTTGTATATGTGAGTGGGAGTGAAAATGTGCAGTTGTTTATGTGAGTGGGAGTGAAATGTGCAGTTGTTTATGTGAGTAGGAGTGAAATGTGCAGTTGTTTATGTGAGTGGGAGTGAAATGTGCAGTTGTTTATGTGAGTGGGAGTGAAATGTGCAGTTGTTTATGTGAGTGGGAGTGAAATGTGCAGTTGTTTATGTGAGTGGGAATGAAATGTGCAGTTGTTTATGTTAGTGGGAGTGAAAATGTGCAGTTGTTTATGTTAGTGGGAGTGAAAATGTGCAGTTGTTTATGTTAGTGGGAGTGAAAATGTGCAGTTGTTTATGTTACTGGGAGTGAAAATGTGCAGTTGTTTATGTGGCATAAAACTTAAGATTGGAGAGAGGACTTTTTTTACATGACTGGGGAGAAGTGCTACTCTAAATCTCTTAAAACTCTAAGAATTGAGGGCATACAATTGAGCAAACTGTGGTGTACTTAGACTTGTATTTATATTGCATTTAGGGTTTACAGATTAAATTATACAGTAAATCCTGTTTTATTGAACACCTCTCTCTAATGAACACCAGTGTCTAGTGGACACCCTTTTCCCGCACTTACTAACTTCTGTTTAAATTATCCTCTCTTTAATGAATACTAACACACTGAACATTGGCTAGATTGATGATGTCATAGGTTGTAGATAGCAATCTGTCCAGGCAAAAATAGTCATGTTTTCTTATTTTGAAAAAGTACAGTCTATGATTCTTTTAATCAATCTGGACAATATATAGATGTTATTTAATGGGAGGTTTTTGATTCAGGGATATCATATGAGGATATCATTCTGAGGGAAATACAATATATCTACCCGAGGGACCGTATGTTATTTACCTATAACACTACTAAGTATGGGATATATCATAGCTTCTTTGATGTACAATAAGGGGCCAGGGTTTATTGGTAAGGTCTATTATGTTCTTCCTCCAATCACAGGGCTTCAAAATCCAGAATATATTCTTTCTTTTTACCCCCTGCGATAAGCAGTTAGCATTTCCCCGATTAAGAACTCGCAATCTGATTGGCTGTCGCAACACTGATAGAAATCATGTATAAGTCATTACGCATAATAAGATCAAGTGATTCAGTTTAATCATGTGTTTCAAATTGGTTATAGCAGGGGGAAGAAGGAGGTACAGATTCTGGATACCTGCTTAGGAGGATGATTATGTTGGAATCGTGTATTGATCCTTGTAGACAGAACACTCAACTGAGCAAAAGTTTATACATATCTCCAATATGTCACCTTCAAGTGGTGACATATTGTCATAGTATCCAATTTTGTGACGGCGTTCAATGAGTGGCAGTTGATGTTCAGTGTTCAGCATCTGTAACAAATAGCAGGTGATGACATTTTGCATGTTTACTAATGCTACATATATGAATTGCATATTTAGAGAAATCTAATTTTTTTGTTTCCATCTGTTGCAGGTGGGGCTCCAGAACTGTGTGATCAGTTCCGTCATCTAGCGAAGGGTGCTAGGGAGTTGGGCAAGACAGTCATCGATCGTTGCAACTTAACAGTTCTCGAGGAACCGGGTTAGTTTATTTAATCAATTATCATTACCCCCACAGCTTTGAATGATAATTAGCTCCATTCTGATTGGTCTTGTTTCTAAAACTAAGTTCACACCAACGGCGCTTTAATGGCGCTTTAAAGCGGCGTGCATAGCCAGAGCTGTCAAGTGTCCCGCGAATGGCGGGATTATCCCGCGAATTCGATCAAAATTAGGCTAATTCACGTGTCCCGCAATGTCCCGCGAAGTCCCGCAAATGTGGCTTTCGACCTCCGCGAATTTCCGAAATTGTTGCAATCCCCTATATGGTGATTATCTTATCTTATATAAGAAGCTAAGTTTTTGCACTTTTGAGGAGTAAAGTTTACCTAATTTTAAGTACCTAGCATGCTGTTGTTTGGTATCAAAATAAAGAGGAAGGGTTCAACTTTCATTTTAATTACGACAATAATGTAGGTCACAAATAGTTCCAACGTTGGCCTTTTTACTATCCGTGTGGCCTTCATCTCAGGACTGAGCAAATGTTAGCAAACGCGAGTTACAATAAATGGACGCTGATATCTAGAAAGGGTTTGTAGAAAAAACCGGGTACCGGGTAGTAAATCCTCCATGCTGGGTTCAAACTTGGTACCCGGTACCCGGTCAAAAAACGGGTACCCAAAAAATGAAAAATACAAATATACGAGTATAACATAATTAGATTATCAGAAAACGTGTAAGATTTGTTTTGAATTTACAAAAATGTATGTAACATCCTTCAAAATTGAGCTAGAAGCTTCAAATAAAAAGCATATTTTAAGGCTCTTTTCTTCCTCTATCGTCATGACCATATTTTCATTGGTTATGTTCACGTACCAACATACGAATTATTGAAAATAGAGTAAAATTGATTTGTCTTGTTATTCAAATCGTCTTACAATGTCATTGGCGTAGCCAGGAGAGGGTGTGATGGTGCGATCGCACCCCCCCCCCTTCATTACCAATGGAAATATGACAATGATGATACTGAGAGGAAGAAAAGAGGCTTAAATGCTTTTTATTTGAAGCTTCTAGCTCAATTTTGAAGGAAGTTACATTTTTGTAAATTCAAAACAAATCTTACACGTTTTCTGATAATCTAATTATGTTATACTCGTATATTCGTATTTTTCATTTTTTGGGTACCCGTTTTTTGACCGGGTACCGGTTACCAAGTTTGAACCCAGCATGGAGGATTTACTACCCGGTACCCGGTTTTTTCTACAAACCCTTTCTAGAAAAGTAACCTCATTCCCTATAATTTGATGTAGATTAATCGAACCCCTATATCATGGGCTTTCAATTGAAATCCCGCAAATTTAGGGCACTTTTTCTAGAAAATCTGTCCCTCTATGAAGTTTTTGCTGGTAAACCTGTTAACTGTCCCGCAATTAGGGTGTTTGTCCCTCGAATGGTCCCGCGAAATCCCGCGAATTTGATAAAAAAAATTGGCCTATAAGCGCAATCACGCAAATCCCTTAAATGTCCCGCGAAATCCCGCGAATTTAGTAGATGTCCCGCAAAATCCCGCGAATTTTGGGCACTGGGTCTAAAAAATCTGTCCCGCGAGAAAATCTTTGGGGGTTGACAGTACTGGCATAGCACAATATATAAGCTAATCTGAACACATTTGGTCAATCTCATTGATGTTCAGTATAGACAGGTTTTACCGTATTAAATTGACAATTTCATTGTTACACAGGTCAAGAAGATTTGGGAGAATTCCTCGCTGAAAACAAAATCCAAGTGATCGCCTCTCTGCCTTGTTACACGGCGAAGAATGTCAACACACAGCGAGGAAGTGGCGTGTTTGACAAGAGTATATCTGCCCTTAGGAAGCTTAACTCACTTGGATTTGGTGTTGAGGGAAGTGACTTGCATCTTGATCTTGTGTATAACCCATTGGGTAAGGGCATACATTATTTTCGTAGACTTGCTTTCATTAAACACATATTTTGGTTATCTGCCTCTAGTTATGCGCCATTCGTAGGTTTGCATTAGACCCCCCACGTGGGAAGGGTCAGGAATTTGGCAGTCCCCAGGGTGAGAGTAATAGTCCCAAGAGTAAGGGTTGGAGTCATTTAAGGTATTTTCACAATTGTTGATTGACAATTATGGTACCAATGGTCCTCCTTTGTTTTATAGGTAATTACTTACCTCCTCCACAGGAGGAATTGGCCCATCAGTATAAGACTGAGATGATGGAGAACTTTGGAGTTGAGTTCAATATGTTATTTACCATGACGAACATGCCTATTAAGAGATTTGCTGACTTTCTATACAGAAGGTAGGATTTGGTACATCTTATTCTTATTCAGTCATTCTTGCAATCCAAATGTCTATCTTATCTGAACACGTCTCAATGTGAACACTTTTTTTCTTGGTATCAACCGTATCATTGGCTTAGATGTTTATAAACCTTGAAACAGAGGGGGAGAAACACCAGGGTTCAAAGATGACATACGCTTATAATGTAAATCTGTATTGAGATGACATCGTCACTGATTGGTCAAAAGTCGACAAACAAATGACGTCATCAATGGTTCAAATAATATTATGTTCATTTCTGGCGTGTTAACCAATATCATAGCTTCTCATTTCACATCAAGATAAGGAAAGGTGTACAGAATATGCCTATGTCAATTAAAACATCCCATCGAAGTGTAATATTTGATAACTAGCCGATGAAAATTCAAACGAACGAAGGTGGTAAGCAAGAGAGGTAATTATGTCTGTCATCTTTAAACTCTGGGGCTTTCCCTCCTCTTACCTTGAAATGTAAACACCTACTGATCCAAACACATTGGGCTGTCCCAGAGGCGATAGGATTAGTCAGGTTTTACTGGATAACTCGAGGTTTTGAGCAAAAGTTGAGTTTCTCTTGTTTCGCTTATTATTTTAAGGAAATTTTCAATTGGTTCCATATTAATATCTCCAATTATTTTCATTGATGTTTTCATTAGTTTTGCCTGTCATGAAGTGATGACATGTTGTAATAGTCTCCAACTTTCTTCAGTGGACAGCGGTCAATGTTTGCCATCTGTAACAAATGGCAGGTGGTGGCATTTTGCATGTTGATGCCTTGTTATCATTTATTTTTGCCTGTAAATTGGAACACCTCTCTAAGCTAAGTGGAACCCCTCAAGACCAGTTTTCAAAGTCTAGTTTCTAATTAAGATATTGTTAAATGAACACCTTCCAAGTGGATCACTATTTTCCAAGTGGATCACTATTTTCCAAGTGGATCACTATTTTCCAAGTGGATCGCTATTTTACAAGTGGATCACTATTTTCCAACTGGATCACTATTTTCCAAGTGAATCACTATTTTCCAAGTGGATCACTCCAAGTGGATCACTATTTTCCAAGTGGATCAATCCAAGTGGATCACTATTTTCCAAGTGGATCACTATTTTCCAAGTGGATCGCTATTTTGATGTACGAATGTTGTTCTACTTACACAGGTTTTACTGTACAGGAAAATCTGTCTTATATGAATGCTTCTGGACCGACCAAAAGTGTTCAGATTAGCAGGTGTTCACATTTCAATGTTTTATAAACATATAAGTCAATGTGAGATAACAAATTGCAGATAGAGAAAAAGTGTTCACATGGAGACTCAGTGTTCGGATTAATTAATAATAAGTGTCCGGATATACAGGTTTCACTGTACATAATTTGTTTTCCTACTTTCTACTGTAGGAATGAACTCCAGGAATATCTTGAGCTGCTAGTGCGCAACTACAACATTGCGACAATTGATAACCTGATGTGCCGCAATCACCTTAATGTAAGCTGGACTGGAGAACTATTTGATTGCGACTTCAATCAGCAGATGAGCCTTGGAATACATAAAGGTAAATTAAGAATCGTTTAAAACTTTCTGAAAACTAAGCTATTCAGGAATATTTTTAAGGCATCATTTCAGGCATCCTCCAAAGGATATTTTTCAAATTATGGTTGGACCTGCATTACTGTGAAATAGTTAAATTTTGTATTTTAATGATAAAGAGAAAAAATAGTTTATTGTGATCTTTCAAATGCTGTATTGTGTGAAATTTTTTAAATGAAACAACGATAAATATTTTTTAATTTCAGAGAATGATAAAAAAGGACTGTCCGTGTTTGATATCACTTCTACTAAAGACCTTGAAGGTCTCGTTGCAAATAACGACAACCACTGCTTTGGTTGTAGTGCTGGTATGGGGTCTAGCTGACAGGGAGTGACAGTCTAAAATGGCACTAGAAAGGGCCCCTTAGTAACTTAACAATTACGATATTAAAGGGGCTCGTCAGTTGCTGTTGAGGGCTGTTTAACATTTGAAATGTTTGCAAAATATTGTTTTCAGTTTTACGAGAGACAAAAATAGCCCTGTATGAGGTTATTTAATGTAAAGTGATAATGGAACACTATTTTGCAAGTCGGTGGAGAATTAATTGTTGTACATTGTGTATAATATCCAAGTGAATGATATAATGCACTGAAATCATGTAGTGCATTATTGATGTAGCTGGTAGCACAATGCACAACAATAAATAGAAAATTGCACACCATGTGCGTTTATACAGGGTGTACCAAAAAAACTTTACCCACCTAACCATGAATATCTCTTTAACCAAATAGAGTTTGATAAAAGAAAGTTTGCAGAATTAAAGTTAGTTCAATGTTCTTTAAGTTGACAGTTTCACCACCATTTGCCGGCCATTCAAATACTGTGCTCCAAATGTGCACAGCGTCTTTTGAGACAGACTTAAATTGTGCAGACTTTCTTTTATCGAACTCTATTGGTGGGTAACGTTTTTTGATACACCCTGTAAATGCACACCGTATGTGTTTTAAAACAGGTGATTTATCATTGTCAGCACAGTCTTTCTCTTACACATTGTACATTCAAATTTTGATTTTTAAGTGAGTGTTATTTTGATGTTTTTGGTTCATATTCTCCCTTTAATTTGAGTCTGCAGTTGTACCCAATACTGGACTCGGATCTCAAAATTAACCATTTATCACTGATTTCCTATATATCCATTTTCAGTTACAATATTGAAAGAAAGATGGTGCTAATATCTGATGTGCCATTTTAATGTACTGGTATATACATGAATACAACTTTTAAAAAAAGTAATTGCCATATTGATTTTAATTTTACAATATGTATGATAATATAGATATACACACACAACATAATTTGAATATGTTATAAGATACATGGTGTTCATGACTTTTTGAACAATCTGTATATGAATATGTGTCATAACGTTGAAAAAACTGAATGTGATAATCCATTTTTGTAATTATTTTCTGTCTGAAATTGTAAATTTATTAGACAGTATGTCATATCACCATATTTTGAGGAAAATATACATGCATTCAACGTAAACATTGCAAAATGATGTACTAGTTCAGAAATATTGATTTCAATTTCATTTCTTGCCTAGATACAACTATATATGAATCAAACACACAAAACTATATTTGATAATAATGTTTTAAATTGTATTATGTCCCATATATGATTATACCATAATTTATAGAAATTAAATATAAACATTGTATTTTGTCTGCTTAATGTTTATAGATGCAATAGCGAAATGTAATAGTCCAGACTATTGATCTTTATTTTATTTTACTTTATTGAATTACGCGCACAAAACTATTTGATAATAATGTTTAAAATTACATTGTATACCATATATATTATATTGTATAGCATATATGATCTTACCATAGTTGGTACAAATGAAATATAAAAGTTGTATTTTATTCTGCTTAATGTAAATAATACAGCTCTTATACGTAGATACAATCGCCATAGAAACATTGTATTTTTTTGTCTAGATACACATTATTTATAATAACAACTTAGAGCAAGATGGCTTTCAGTCAAAAAATGATCTAATACAACAGTAATGTTATAAAAAACATGAACTGCATCGCTATTTGTATATTTTGTATCTTTTAATTGTGATAATACTGTAAATGATATACTAACTCACTAATGTTGGGAAGAATATACTTATCTTATTTTACATAACATTGTCTTCATCAGTCAAGTTGCACAAGTTGGCTCACTTTTAAGATTTTTATAGTACTTTGAAAAAGTGCTATTTTGTCATCGTTTTGTAAATTCCAGGAAAACTGCTCATCCATTCAACCTCATTAGATGAGTTCAACAGACGAGTGTCAAAATCTAATTTGGTTTTGGGCATGCTGGGTAAATTACATGGCTGCCATTTCACTCTCTTCAAAGTGCAATGTTTATCACTACGTGTCCCGTTAGATTAGTTCGGACTGAGTATTTCTCTACACATGTCCTTATATTTTTCTAGTGGTTCAATTTCAACATTGGGATCCTTCGCCAGCTCATCCCATGTTCGCATTTTCAAAATGGCGTCCATTTCTGGGTCAGCCTCGAATTGAATCGCTTCCTCTTCTGTCATTGGTCCACCCTGATGTTCCAGTGTGGTTTTACTCGCAGATGATAAATCTGGAATGGTGAAATTCAATCTTATTTTGCAATATTGCTACAGGGTGGGCCAAAAATCGTCCATATTTTCTATTTCAATATACCTTTTTATGTCACCACCAGAAGTGGTGACATATTATTATGGTCTCCCGAACTCCAGTGCAGTGATATATATACCGAGACACTGCATAGGAGTTCGATGGTCTCCCACATTTTTGTGACGGCAGTCGGTGGTTGGTGTTTTGCTCTGTAACAAATGGCAGTTTGTGACATTTTGCATTCTTAATGCCTTGTTTGAAAATGCTTGGATTTTGATAAAACTTTTGCAGAGAATACAGTACAGGAATCACTTTTGCAAATGTCACTGACATGTTACCCTGGTAATATTACCCCAGCAAATTTAACAAAACTGTACTGGAGTAAACCTTACAGAATCTAAGATAAGTAACTTGCCCTAGCTTTACTACAAGGGCTTGCAGCAAGTCTTAAGAAATCCTTTGCATAATTTAATCTCAAATACACACGTACTAGTCATACAGTAAAACCTGTATATCTGAACACCTGTCTAATACAAGCACCTCTCAATGTAAACACTTTTTTCGATGCCCATGTTAAAAGAACCTCATAATGTGAGCACCTACCAAGCACCAATTCAAACACTTGGCCAGTCTCAGTGGTGTTTGAATAAGACAGGTGTTACTGTAGATGTACTTACTATTATAATATGTCTGATCTTTGTACACCTTGTATCGTTTGGCTTGCACATGACCTCTTACAAATTTTGTGATGGCAGTCGGAACACCAAGGTCCTCTAGGAATCTGGCCCCCACTTCATCATGGCCCTGGGTACCAAAATTCTGGCCATGGGTTATCATCTCAGGGAGGTGCATGTGTTCTCCAACCATATGGCCAACATCATGTAAGAATGCCCCTAGAATGGTCTGAAATATAACAACTTCACACATTCATGTACAGCTAGGCAAGGTGTGTCTGATTCCAGCCAATCTGAAAACAGTATTTCATATAACTGCACTGCATTATATAACCAATAACTCACCCAAGGTCACTCATTGAATGGTTGTCAAGGTGACAACTTAACCCTTGATTGAAATTGATGCTTTGCCAACTTGACCCTTGTAAAAAGTTTCATTGAAGTTCTTTTAGTGATTTCGTATCTTTTAGGTGATTTCATAGAATGTATTTTGCAATGTGTGAAAAGAAACTAAGTCAGGGCTTAAATCCTTAAATAACATCATGTTTAATTTGTTACCAGGCATTTTGCAAAAGATTTCATAATGAAGGATGCTCAAAATCCTTTGTTGCGATGCTTTTTGTCAAAATACTTCATGACAAAGCAGTTTAACCCTGCAGTGTAACAGATCAATATGCAAATAACATACACATCTTTCTTTACTGTATGACGTAAAGTGGGTCGTTCCTTTAATTCATTTAAGGATAACTCCTCACCTGTTTAGGATTAGCGCTAAACTCCATAGGATAACAAGTCACCTCCAAAGGATAAGCCCTTTCCCCTTAAGACCCCTCATATTCTTACGATAACCTCTTACATGTACCTCCTTAGGAAAACACTTATATATTTAGGATGATCACTCACCTCTTTAAGGATAACCACTCACCTCTCTATGATAACTACTTTCCTTTTCATGATAACCTCTTTAGGATAACCGCTCACCACTTTAGAATAACCACTCTCCCCTTTGGGATAATAGTTCACTTCTTTGGGATAACCACTCACCCCTTTATATCCTCAGGATAACCACTCAAATCTTTAGGAATGGATAACCACTCACCTCTTTAGGATAACCACTCACCTCTTTAGGATAACCGCTCACCTCTTGAGGATAACCACTCACCTCTTCATGGTCACCACTTACCACCTCTTTAAGGATAACCATTCACCTCTTTAGGTTAACCCCTCACCCCTTTATATCCTCAGGATACCCACTCAAATCTTTAGGAATGGATAACCACTCACCTCTTTCGGATAATTATTCACCTCTTTAGGATAACCACTCACCTCTTTAGGATAACCACCCACCTCTTTAGGATAACCGCTCACCTCTTTAGGATAACCACTCACCTCTTTAGGATATCCACTCACCTCTTTATATCCTCAGGATAACCACCAAAATCTTCAGGAATGAAAAACCACTCACCTCTTTAGGATAACCTTCTCTCTCAGCAATCATAGCACATTGTATGGAATGTTCCAGCTTTGATACAGGGTCACCCAAATAATCTGTTTTCCCATATTTTTCAAATAATTCAAATATTTTATTCAGTTTTTCTTCTCTAGATAGTACTGCGTTAGTGTTTGTCTCCATTTTCAACTGTATTTTAAAGTTCACTATTAAACATGTAGTGGTGCTGAATGTGAATGTCTGGTGATGAGATAAAGGTCACGCCAACCAAAACTTTCAGCCTTTCAATGGCATTGTATTTGAATACGTTCATCTAAACACGTTCAGATATCGACAGTGCGACATATTGTTTATATATCTCATCGAAATTGATTGTTTTCAAGAGATCAATAAACTACCGGGTGGGCCAAAAAGTGGCGTATTTTAGGTCCACCCTGTATAACAGGCCTGTGGCCAGGGGGTGAGGGTATGAGTTGTCAAATGCAACCCCATGGTCGTCCCCGTCAAAAGCTAGTTACGTACCTGTTTATATTATAGATGGTAAACATTTAGATATACTGGCAGGTGATATGTAGATATAGGGCTTAGTAAAATTAAAATAGGTCGTAGGGAAATCAATAATAATTCAGATACATGTGTGGAGATGCAGTAATGTGAATTAGAATCGTGTTGTTTGCATAATATAGTGGCGTGTCAGGGGCGTGGCCAGCTTTCAGTCAGGAGGGGTGCGATCGTCAAAAATATTTCGGTTTTCAGTCAGGCATAAACGTTAAACAAGCATAAAATTAAGATTTTTCTTGAATTTTACAAAAATTGATGCAACTTCCTTCAAAAATTGAGGCTTCAAATAAAAAAACATTTTAAAGCTCTGTTCTATCTCATGGTTATTATGTCACCACCAAAAGTGGTGACATATTGTTATGGTCTCCGTTTTTTTATGTCACCACCAAAAGTGGTGACATATTGTTATGGTCTCCGTTTTTTGCGACGGCGGTTGGTGGTTGGAGGTTGGAGGTTGGCGTCCGGCGTCTGTAACAATTTCTTACAACTTCCTATAACTTAACAAATACTGTTTAGACTGAGTTCAATTTTTTTCTAAATCATCTACATGTTCTCAGAAGTTCAAATCTGACTTTAGATTTGACATTTGACCTTCAATGACCTTCTCAAGGTCAAAAAGGTCTTTTTTCAACTTGCTTCACATTGACTAAATTTTTTTTCAAAATCATCTACATGTTCTCAGAAATTCAAATCTGACTTTAGATTTGACTTTAGATTTGACATTTGACCTTCAAATCTGACTTTAGATTTGACATTTGACCTTCAATGACCTTCTCAAGGTCAAAAAAAGGTCAAAAAGGTCTGTTTTCAACTTGCTTCAAATTGACTAAATTTTTTTTTCAAAATCATCTACGTGTTCTCAGAAATTCAAATCTGACTTAAGATTTGACTTAAGATTTGACATTTGACCTTCAATGACCTTCTCAAGGTCAAAAAGGTCTGTTTTCAACTTGCTTCAAATTGACTAAAAAAAATTTTCAAAATCATCTACGTGTTCTCAGAAATTCAAATCTGACTTAAGATTTGACTTAAGATTTGACATTTGACCTTCAATGACCTTCTCAAGGTCAAAAAGGTCTGTTTTCAACTTGCTTCAAATTGACTAAAAAAAATTTCAAAATCATCTACGTGTTCTCAGAAATTCAAATCTGACTTTAGATTTGACTTAAGATTTGACATTTGACCTTCAATGACCTTTTCAAAGTCAAAAAAGGTCAAAAAAGTCTTTTTTCAACTTGCTTCAAATTGACTAAATTTTTTTTTTCAAAATCATCTACATGTTCTCAGAAATTCAAATTTGACTTTAGATTTGACATTTGACCTTCAATGACCTTCTCAATGTCAAAAAAGGTCAAAAAGGTATTTTTTCATCTTGCTTCAAATTGACTAAATTTTTTTTCAAAATCATCTACATGTTCTCAGAAATTCAAATATGACTTTAGATTTGACTTTAGATTTGACATTTGACCTTCAATGACCTTCTCAATGTCAAAAAAGGTCAAAAAGGTCTTTTTTCAACTTGCTTCAAATTGACTAATTTTTTTTTCAAAATCATCTACATGTTCTCAGAAATTCAAATCTGACTTTAGATTTGACATTTGACCTTTAATGACCTTCTCAAGGTCAAAAAAGGTCAAAAAGGTCTGTTTTCAACTTGCTTCAAATTGACTAAAAAAAATTTCAAAATCATCTACGTGTTCTCAGAAGTTCAAATCTGACTTTAAATTTGACTTAAGATTTGACATTTGACCTTCAATGACCTAACTAGGTGGTGACATTTTGTCATGTTAATGCCTTGTATTTTTATTGGTTATGGTGGGTGCCCCTCAGGCTACGCCTATGCGTGTGTTCGGAAAATACGCAAATGCATACACTCGATCATTGGTATATGGTAATAGTATATGGATACTACAATACCAGAACTAAATTGAACAATGGGCGACGAAATAATCATAACAAGTTACTTTTTTTAAATCAACCAAACTTTCCTTTGTACAATTACAATATTGAGAGACCTAAGCATGGTGTGTTTATGTCATTTTGTTCCAATGAGGTTCGGATAGATGTTTCATTTCATTCCGAACATATGATACCAAGAACAAATGAAGTGTTTGATGTGTTTTCTAAAACAATATAGAGAAAAGTATATATATACATGTATATAAAAAAACGCCACTTTTTTGCATAATTTGCAAAAAGTTCCTGAACTGTTACGGCCTGATGATCGCCAAGCTGACAGCCCCGATGCAAACCCCAGTGAGTATAGGGTATGGGAAGGTCTCCAGGAGATTGTATGAAGGCACCCCATCTAGAAAATTGCTCAACTAAAGCTGGCAATTACGACAGGTTGAAAAAACTTAGTTAACACTTCATTGATACTGCAATATCAGCAAGGCGACTTAAACTAAAATATATCATTAATTAGGGCGGCGGACCAATTGAACTCCCCTTTTAGATCAAATATAATCCAAGTTGAAGGACTTGTTACATTATATTATTACTTAGAACCCTTGGCACTATATAACTGCAAAATTTGGGGTATGTACATGTAGGTTGGAAAATAAAAAAGTTGGAGTGTCTTGAAAAAAGTGGCGTTTTTTGGCCCACCCTGTATATATATTTCAAATTGTATTGTTACCATTCAAAATATGACTTTTAAATTGACGATGTGTAAAATTTTCTGAATGTTTCGATGACTGGGTTAAGAGTAACGTGTGTTCAAAAAGTTCATAACAATACCAATCCTTTCACAACCAATTGCAAGGAGCGATGATATTAGTTGTTACTGTCATATCCGGGCGTCTGTAACAAATTGTTACATTTATATGTAACCATGTAAGCGGTAACAGTTCCTCTTGTTAATGCCTTGTTTCTTATTTAGTTACATGACGTAACAGGTTACTGTAAACCATAGACCATCGTCATTGAAATGTCACTTTTACCAAAATAAAGAGCGACTTTCAATTTCAATAGAGAGATATTCTTACCTAATAGACGACACGTACACGCCTTGGACGACGTACAGAGCTGCGCAAATAACTGATGACGTAATCTAACGCTTCATAAATTATACGTTATACAGGAATTATAAACAATGCTACAAGTGAGTTGCAAAATCTCTCTATTGTCCAAGAAATCAACGTTGTGGCCTACATACACCCCCTCCATATGATTGGCAATAGGAGTACCTTTTCTGGATCGGGTGCTAAAGCTTGGTTATGTTTTGCGATTTGAAGAAACTCGTCACAGTTATTTCCGCACTTAGTGATAACGGAACAAAATAAAGTCCACCATTTCGCCTTCGCTTCTTAAAAGAGAGCTTTGCACACACGGTAATAAATATTCACCCATTAACAGACTTTAAAACGCTATTAATTGGAGGCTCTTGGTTGTCAAACTTATAGAGCGGAGTGTAGTTTAGAAATGCGATGTATTTTTGCAGAAAAACGTCTTACCATAGTAAGCTCTATCTTTCTCATTGCCAGCTAAGTACTTTCAAACTATCGGAGTAAAAATTAAATGAATCCGTCGTTTGATAAAGCGTTCTGATAAATCGTACAGGTAGTACAGATTGCACAAAATAAGCTCTTCGAAAAGATTTATGCGAAGAAGCCAATTACATGTTTTCAAGCGCGTTGTGATTGTCGTTGTTTATAATTAGTCATAAAATACAAGTAATTGAGAAAATAGGATTACTTTCGCTGCCTCAAAGTTCATTCAAGCAAAATATTGGAACAAATATTACATTTTGAGCAGTTTTGACACCTAAGCAGGGTAGCCTCGTGGCTTAGACTACTTTGTGGGTTGAACGTCCGATGGGATACGGAGGTCCCGCGTTCGAGCCCCAGGTACGGAGTTTTCGATCATTGCACTACGGACACCCGGTCCGAAGGTCCAACCGTATACTGGCCCTTGGCATGGGTTGGTTCTCTGGCCGCTCTTGTCGGAAATAGATTGTGAGACTGTGGTTGGTTCCTCCACTAACGTGCATTAGTAGACCCCGGGAGTCATACAGTATGGTAGCGGGCCCCCACCAAGGGCAGTAGTGGAACGACGCGATTCGGTCCCAGTATGGTTGCCTTGCAACTGAAGCGACTCGAGGAAATCATGCCATTCGCAGTGACCCAGAAAAGACTTTTGCTCTTTGATACAACAATCAATTTTTTTATTGAAACTAAAATGAGCATTTAATCCTCAGATAGTGAAATATATTCATAATGAGTCTCGTAAAATGAACTTGTATCTTAAACGACAGATAGCACTGGTAGATGTTTATCTTTTATATTCTTCAAACTATTTTTTTCATATTATTTTCAAATTTCATGAACCATCAAGGTCTAATTCAAATCAAATCAAGTAATATACGTATAATCTTTCTCGTCAGAATCTTTCACTAACATGATAGGAATTTCCCTTGGATGACTTTTGTAAGTCCACTGAATTCAGTGCCATCTATTGACAGTCCTAAACACCAGTAAATTCTTATCATCAATCCATCGTGAGTAATTAAATAATATTGGACATAAAACATACTTAACATGCAATCATATGATCATTTATTTGTAGAAAAATATCTTACATCTTAAAATATCTAGGTAAGACTAATTATTTAAAATGTTTGCAATATAAAGTATAATACAAGCATGCCATCGATCCTGAATATCATATCTATCAGTCTATCAACTTAACATTTTGAATATTTGAAATATGACCATATCAGGCCAGAATCGACCATGAAATCTATATATTCCTTAAAGTTCTCTCTAAAAGTAGCTTAATTTTCTTTATGACACATTTAATATAACACATTTTACAATGCACATTAACAATATCAAATTTTAGAAAAGGGATGGTACCGACAAGTCAGCAGTTGTAGAATAATTACATTGATTTTGATGGAGGGGAGGGGGAAAGAAAAATACATGAGTGAAAATGTCAATTTTCTTAAAATCTCAAGTGTAAGGAAATCAGCATCTTCAAGTTTCATTTCATTGAGGAGAGGGGGTGTATCAAAAACTTGATTTTCCTTGAAATTGTTAACATTTGGAGACCATCCCTGGAGTACAGTGAAACCTGTGAAGTGGAACACCTCTAGAAGTAGAACACCTCTGTAAGTGGAAAACTTTTCAGAGTCCCAAGACCAACTGATTTAATGTTAAATGAATCTCAATAAGTGGAACATCTCCCAAGTGGAACACTTTTTAGAGGCACCGAAGATGTTCTACTTAGACAGGTTTTACTGTACTACTGACTAAATGCTTGTTCTTAAACAGCAGCTTTGTTACTGTCATGTAACAATATATTCAAGTCCTTAGCCAGAGGGGCCCCCTTGCCAAAAATTCTTTCAAAATCATACATTTTTTCACCACTCTTAAGTGAATTGGGCCATTTTTGGGCCAACATTGTCAAAAGTGAACCCCCCTGGAATTTTTTAAAAAGTAAACCCCCTTGGCATATCCAGGCTACTGGCCTGGATGGTGTGTTGGGTTCTAAGACTCAATAACAGAAACTTTGTTAAGTTAAGAATTCTTTTATCAATTGTTGTAACCATGATATAATGATGTCACAGTAAAAGAACAAGAATTTCGGAATTTCCAACTTTCCAAAATTTCTGTTCTCTGACCCAAGATAATGAACCTAATGCATCTTTGCTATAAAGATACATAAACATCGTAATGTCTTCTAAAGTATCATCATTTTATCCTCAACTGGCCATAAAATTCTATGAAGATACAGGGTGAGCCAAAAAAGGTAACCAAAAGAAATTTTAATAACTAAGTCATATTTGGCAATTTAACCTTTTATGTTTTTTCATTCCACCGAGTTTCATTGGTCGAATTCCAAGTCACAATTTTATGGCCATTTTACAAAACATGCTCCAAATGCCAAACATTTGTTTGGGTTACCTTATTTGGCTCACCATGTACTTTCAGTGAACCTTATTGATCTAAGGCTCAGGAGACCAAATAATAGGGAGTTTAAGCTTGCAATGTTTTTCACAACCTAAACGTGAACAGAAAATATTTAAGCGATGCATTTGTATGACGTATAGGTTGGCGTTTCGAGTGTTTTGGTGTATGCAAGCTTAAACTCCCTATTATATGAACCAATACAATCGACCTAAAATTAACCTAACCATCGATACTAAATAATTTTTGTTTATATGATTTTATTATGTTAATATGTATAATATCAGATTTTAAAGCACTCATTTTTACCTGAAATTGTGATAAAACATCACAAACTTTGATATAAAATTTACAATAGTTGCGTAAAAATGAACAATATTTAAAAGTACAATACTATATATTTTCATCCAGATTTATTACTTTGATTAACAAACACAAACTAATTGTAATAAACTATATACTAAAACTAGACATTAGATAAATCTAAACTATGTCATTAACTTGCTTTAAAATCTTTACAATAACATTAAAACATGAAAGTAACTATATATATAATGGCCAACATCAAAATTCATCATTAAAATATAATTATGCAAAGTTCTGTTAGTGCAGCACCAAACTAAAATGTTATAACTTTACATTTTAATTGCACATTATCAACACTACCATATTTGGGCAATATAATAACACATCAACCTTTTGAACAGTAAAATAATGGGAACTCTCTTTTGAACAATAAGGGGGAACTATCTTTTGGACAATAAGGGGGAACTCTCTTTTTAACCTCAACAGGCACTCTCTTTTGAACAATAAGGGGGAACTCTCTTTTGGACAATAAGGGGGAACTCTCTTTTTAACCTCAACAGGCACTCTCTTTTGAACAATAAGGGGGAACTCTCTTTTGGACAATAAGGGGGAACTCTCTTTTTAACCTCAACAGGCACTCTCTTTTGAACAATAAGGGGGAACTCTCTTTTGGACAATAAGGGGGAACTCTCTCTTATGCACAATAAGGGGAACTCTCTTTTTAACAATAATGGGCAACTCTCTTTTTAACATCAACAGGCATTCTCTTAAGGGACAATAAGGGGGAGCTCTCCTTTGTACAATAATGGGCAACTCTCTTTTTAACATCAACAGTGACTCTCATTGGACAATAAGGGGAACTCTCTTTTTAATAACAATGATGGGCAAATCCCTCTCTTTAACACCAACAGGCACTCTCTTAAGGGACAATAAGGGGGAGCTCTCCTTTGTACAATAATGGGCAACTCTCATTTTAACATCAACAGGAACTCTCTTTTGGACAATAAGGGGGAACTCTCGTTTTAACAATAATGGGCAACTCTCTTTTTAACATCAACAGGGACTCTCTTTTGGACAATAAGGGCTAACTAAAATAAAACAATAAGGGTAAAGCTACAAATAACCAGGTCCATCAATCATCTCATTATGGGTGATATTGTTGACCCATCAAATTTAAAACAGATCATTCAACAGACAAAAAAATATCATTAGAGGATAAATTCAAGGATAACATATGAAAGCATGTAATCCAAAAATTACTTCCTTATTTGGTAAAAATGGCAAATTGATATGTGCCGAACTTTGAAACTCCATTTCTGAACCATTTAATTATTTTACCAAGGTACAAGTAGTTAGTTACCAGTTTCACCACCAGGTGGATATTTCTGGTCAAATAACATAGCAGATAATAGGAAAAAATTCTCTCTTCAAAATTCATAAAATATATTGGATCAGTTTCATATAACCTAACATGATCTAATATACTGGCACTTTACAATTTTATGAATAGGCCCACAAGTAATATTGTTTAAAATATCTTAAATATTTTTTTTAAATCTATAGAAAATACTGGCACATTTATCCAAACAAGCTTACATTTTCTTTCATGGTTAAATTCAAACATTCAACACAATATGGCTGCATAACAATCGTGAATAAATCACTAAGAAGATAAACGGCATTGTTCATAAACTGAGGTAAAATATCACTGTAAAATAACTGTCTAAGTACGAAGAACACTTTGGGTAAGGTCACTGTCTCACACTTCAGACTTTGGACACTTGCTAAACATGGATATCTTCTAAGCATAATGATTTCTTCAACAAAAATATGATATTTCGTGACAGACATGTCCTGACGGATAAATTATTTTTAATTCTGAACAAATTGACTGTTTCATTCCTCAATTCAAAATTTTATATTTCACTTGTGAAAAACACTGGAGGGACACTGCAACTTGCATTATGAAATATACATTTTTGCAGCCTATCTGTACATAACACCCAAATTATTCATTTTTTTACTTTGTGAATGTGTAAAAAACAGTAAATGATTTAACATGATAATTACAATGTACAGTGAAACCTGTTGAACGCCTGATCGCTTTTTAAGGTGCCAAAGGTGTTCCACATACACATGTTTTATTGTACTATCAATAGTTAAAATTCACTTGCATTGAACCCGTGTTATTTTCATATCGTGCTAAATGGTCTGTCTCGATTGGACTGGGCATTATTACTTCCAACTGCCGCCCAAGCTTCAGCCTACTATTCCTGCCATGCCTACAGTTAAAATTGTGTTATTTTCATACCATACTTAATGGTCTCTCTCGATTGGACTGTCCATTATTACTTCGATCTGCCGCCCGAGCTGCAGCCTCATGCAGACTACGTCTATTATTCCTTCCATGCCTACAGTGTCTACCACTTGGGCCTCTGTTAGCACTAGTGGTTGATGATAGATATTGTCGAATCATTTCTCGATTATGACGTCGTATTTCATTGAGTTCTTCTCGATTAATATCATGTGAGCCATTAGATGGCGCTGTAGTGTTTGTATGTGATGATGCTGCTGCTCTTCCGCTTCTGATTGGTCTAAAAAGTCCTCTAGAGCGAGTGTTTCTAGTTGACTCCCTCCCACTGGAGGCATTCTGTCTATTGCTGTGCCCCCCTCTATTATTATTACTATTACTTGTAGAAAGTATGTTTCTGATAGCTGATAACTCGAGCAATTGCCTGACTCTCTCTAATTCTGCCTGCTCATTACTAGGGCCAGTTTGTGCATTTGAGGCTCCTGGACCTGTAGCAGGTCTAGGGGGCTTATTTCTATCAATTGTGCTATACGGTGGTGGAGGCTCCTCAGGGGCTACCTCGACATACTCAGGGGGCTTTACCAACAGACTTTCAGTTAGAGCTTGATTATCTACATCAGCAACATTAAAATTAGTTGTCACATTTGTAGAAGCCGGACAACGATGCAGTTCATATGGTTCAACATCTGGATGTTGATAATGGGGAGTCGAGCGCTGCCATATGGGTCTAGGTGCTCGACCCCTGTGTGTGTGTGGATGAGATGCCCCTCGAGCTATGGAAAGCCTCCGTGCTGCTTTCTGTTTCATCTTCATGCTGCACACTACGACGACTAATATCGCGCCCAAGACTACAAGCCCAACTACTGAGCCTACGACGCCGTACACTGTTGTCTTAATTGTACTGAACTCAGAATGATCAAAGCCCCCTACTGGATGCGTATCAGGGATTGGGGTTGCAGCATCGGGATTGTTGATGTAGTACACTGTATCTGAAATGTTCAAAATAAGTATCAGTTAATAACAAAATACAAGGACACACCAATGGGTGATCTTAGATGTTTTACCCTCAATGCTCAACTCTAATCAATTGAAGAGACGAGATTTTAAGAATGGTCGTCTTAACATTTACCCAGAATGCCCATAAACTGAAATGTTCACAATAGATGTCAGTTTATAACAATATAAAAGGTCAGATAAACATGTTATCACAAAATATTAAAGTATTATAAAACCCTGCAAGATCACTTCCATAAGTGAATAACTTTTCAAATTCTTATTACTCATTTACCTGGGGGTTGTTCAATAAATATTGATACAAAAAAAGTTCTCATATTTATGTTTATGGATTTGAAATGTTCAATTTCTCAGTGGTTGAAGGTGATATGTATGTTTCAATACTCCTGAATTATTGGGATTACTGTCACGCTGTCCAACCCAAACGCTCTTACATGCACGACGGAGCGTTTCATTTACGCGGAAACACTCTGGAGCAAAATAAAATGGCGGCTAATGAGGATTCCACTATGACCGTAATGTTCTCGAGAACATTACTTGTTCTCGAGAAATCGCTTGTTTTCCTCGAAACGGTCCGTCGATTTAGGACACAATTTTAGAAACGCTCTAACCATTTTGTTTTGATATCATTTTCAGATTATTAGAGAATAGTTCGGAATCGAATCTATCTCTCAAAAACGTGTTGTACTTATTAGGCAAAACGTCCGAACCTGGTGGTGCTAAACGTACATCTTGCTGACTTAAGCCTACATTAGATGATGTCATGTCTACATGTGAACTAAAACAAAACTTTTGAAAAAAACGAAAAGTGAAATGTGAATTAATCTTTCTTCTTTTGATGCCAAGGGGTATAATAGATCTTTTCTTTCATCCTCAATGCCCAACACTAAGATTTTAGGAATGGCCATCTTAACATTTACCCAGAATGCCCATTGACTGAATGGATTTGTTTATGGATTTGAAATTTTCAATTTCTCAGTGGTTGAAGGTAATATGTATGGTTCAATACTCCTGAATTATTGGGATTACTGTATTTCTACTTAATTTGGTGCTACTTATTTTGGCAGATTTGCTGTTTTTAACATTTGGTAGATACTTAATTAAGCAAAAATGCAATATTGAAATGTACATACTGCACATATTTACAATTGAAATATCAAATATTGAATTTGGCTGCTACTTAATTTGGTTTAACAATCTAGTTGATCCAGCAAATTAAGAAGAAGTACAGTTCCTGGTACTTTTAAAGTTGCACTAGGTTTAATAAAAGACAATAACATGAAAAATGTCACCACCTGTCATTTGTTACAGACATCCACTACCAAATGCCAATAGAAAAACGCCGACAACAAAAAGAGTATAACAATAAGTCATCACTTCTGGAGGTAATACAATAAGAATGACAGTATCTGGAGTTTTTTTTCTTTTTATATATGACACAAACGTATTTTAGTCCAAATGTGCTTCAATGGCTGTGACCACTGACTATTTGTGCCTGATATAGCTCAAAGTTAAACTTAAAGTGGATGATAATAACAATTCCTTCTTTATCCCTATTCAAACTTAAGTGAGATAATACACCCAATACAATTTTTTTTGTCGTGAATTAACTGTCTGTAATAATCTGAAATGTATCTGTATCTTACCGCCACAATTAGTTTCATCTTTACAATCCGCATCATGGAGTTGGTCACACTTGTTTATGCAGCGCCCGGAACGACATCTAAACTTTCCCTTACATACATCTGGCCCTGAAATCATTAAATATTCTGATTCAGAAAAGAAGTGAACCACACACAATGAAAATACCATATATGAAAAGATCAAGCGCAACGCACAATGAAAATACCATATATAGAAAGATCAAGTACAACTCACAATGATGAAACACCATATATGGAAAGATGAAGTACAACTCACAATTATGAAAATACCATATATAGAAAGATCAAGTACAACTCACAATGATGAAACACCATATATGGAAAGATGAAGTACAACTCACAATTATGAAAATACCATATATAGAAAGATCAAGTACAACTCACAATGATGAAACACCATATATGGAAAGATGAAGTACAACTCACAATTATGAAAATATCATATATGGAAATATCAAGAGCAATACACAATGAAAATACCACATATAGAAAGATCAAATACAACTCACAATGATGAAACACCATATATGGAAAGATGAAGTACAACTCACAATGATGAAACATCATATATGGAAAGATGAAGTACAACTCACAATTATGAAAATGCCATATATGGAAAGATCAAGTACAACTCACAATGATAAAATACCATATATGGAAATATCAAGTACAACTCACAATGATGAAACATCATATATGGAAAGATGAAGTACAACTCACAATTATGAAAATGCCATATATGGAAAGATCAAGTACAACTCACAATGATAAAATACCATATATGAAAAGATCAAGTACAACTCACAATTGTGAAAATACCATATATGGAAATATCAAGTACAACTCACAATGATGAAACATCATATATGGAAAGATGAAGTACAACTCACAATTATGAAAATATCATATATGGAAATATCAAGAGCAATACACAATGAAAATACCACATATAGAAAGATCAAATACAACTCACAATGATGAAACACCATATATGGAAAGATGAAGTACAACTCACAATTATGAAAATATCATATATGGAAATATCAAGTACAACTCACAATGATGAAACATCATATATGGAAAGATGAAGTACAACACACAATTATGAAAATGCCATATATGGAAAGATCAAGTACAACTCACAATGATAAAATACCATATATGAAAAGATCAAGTACAACTCACAATTGTGAAAATACCATATATGGAAATATGAAGTACAACTCACAATGATGAAACATCATATATGGAAAGATGAAGTACAACTCACAATGATGAAACATCATATATGGAAAGATGAAGTACAACTCACAATTATGAAAATGCCATATATGGAAAGATCAAGTACAACTCACAATGATAAAATACCATATATGAAAAGATCAAGTACAACTCACAATTGTGAAAATACCATATATGGAAATATCAAGTACAACTCACAATGATGAAACATCATATATGGAAAGATGAAGTACAACTCACAATGATGAAACATCATATATGGAAAGATCAAGAGCAATACACAGTGAAAATACCATATATGGAAAGATCAAGTGAAAGACACAATGAAAATACCATATATGGAAAGATCAAGTACAACTCACAATGACGAAAATATCATATATGGAAAGACTGCATACAATTCAAAATGATGAAAATACCATATATGGAAAGATTAAGTGCAACTCATAATAATAAAAATACCATATATGGAAAAATCAAGAATAACTCAAAATGATGAAAATACCATACATGTATATGGAAAGATCAAGTGCAACACACAATGGAAATACCATATATGGATAGTATCAGTCATCATTGGAACATGACACATTAATTTAAGTACTTTTTCACAAATAAAGTCATAATCATGTTGATTCTGTCCCAAAAAATTCAAATATTACTTTTGGGCAGTTTTATCAAAGTTTTATATGCATACATGCCCTTATAAAAAATTCAACCTTGAAAGTCCGAATTTAAACCATTTCCATCAATCATTGAATACTGATTGTTTCAACTACTAAGATCAAAGGAAAAACCATTGTACGATGATAAGCAATCATTGTACAACCATTGCGTTCAACCAAGCAAAGTCAACTCTTTTTCAACGACTGCGCAACCATTTCTATACAATCATTGTAATCTGCAACCATTGTAAACTGCAACCATTTCACATTGAAATGTAAATGGTTGCAATATGTTTTGTTCAATGATTACATAGTTGCAACCATCCTGAATTAGTATTGTTCCAAAAAAATAATCATTTTACCTGAATTAAAACTATCTTTAAGTAAGGATTTGAATCTACCTCTTTTCAACAACAGTATCTTAGGATATTTAGGATATTTTTTCTGCAAGCATACATGCATGTTTATTATAGTAAATTACTAAATTCATGTTCATACTAGTATGTTTCTTTCTCCAGTACGGATTTAAGAATGCGATACCAGACGAGTTTTCCACTCAATGGCATATGGGTTTAGGCAAATCAAAATGCTTGAACAGCCAATTAAAACGGTTGAACAACTAATTAAAACAGTTGAACAGCTAATTAAAATGGTTGAAAGGCTAATTAAAATGCTTGACCAGAAATAGGGTTCATAGTCTTAGTTTCTGTTATATCTATTTTCATCTTGTGTTTGTGTTTTACCATGGGCATTCAATAGATTGAAAGTCCATGGTTTTACTGTATTCACTAGGGCAGAGCATTTGTACTGAAATAACATGTGTTAATGATTAAAAAATTATAACCAAAAACAGGAGGACAATATGGGAGATTTTCTTTGGCAAATTATTTATCAAGTTATGCTTCCTTTATAGCAGACTCTAATCAAACTGAGAATCTCTCTGTACTAAAGTTTGTTTTGCCTTGCCGAATTATTTTTGTTTTGTTTATGGATTAATGGATTAATAAAGTTTCTTGAGACACATCCTTCAAAGCAGACTCTAATCAAACTAGAGAGACTGAGTCTATCTGTAATCAGAGTTTTTTTAAGTTATGCCTATCGACTTAATTATTTAAAACACATCCTGTAATGTCTGATTGCATTTTCTCTATCAAATCAAAACTATCAAATCAATAAACAGATTATTTTCTTGATTGATTCCGATTTTCTTCCTTCCAGACACATCTTCCTCCCTTTATAATTGTGATGATTGCAAGGTGAAGTGTAAAATCCAAGACTTGTCACAATCAAATTTTTTCAAATGTTTTTGCAATAACTTAAAAAGTAGTGAAGGGATTTTGTAAAAAATGATAGTCATGACAGCAAGGGGATTTGCTATGCCTTAGCATTGCTGTTATCTAGATAATATACATGTGAGTGGGACAGTCACCATCCTTCAAAGTTAGATGAAAATTGGTTCAATATCTCAACTATTTCAATACTTTAAATATTTTTTTGATCAAACCATTTAAATTCTGACATGTATGCATGAAATACATACATTTGAAATATATTTTTTAAAGAGCAAGATAATTATTTTATGTTGTATTGAGATTATATTGCCATAGTTTTAAAGGGTTGCATTCGATTGAAACGGTTGCAAGAAATGCAACCAAAATTGTCAAGCGTTTACAATGGTTACATATGATTGAAACAATTTCAATGAGTTTACAACCAAAATTGTAATGGTTGCATCGTAACGGTTGGCATGGTTGCATAAATGATTGGATCAATGATTGTACAATGATTGTGCAACAGTTTAAATTCGGACTTTCAAGGTTGAATTTTTTATAAGGGTGTACTTAAATATTAACACCAAAACTAGTTTTTCAACAATTACATCAAATATGATTAAATTATGATCTGATTTGAGAATGTTCCTTTCTGAATCTGAAGGCAATAGATATCTGTAAAGTTTTTCGTTTCGTACCATCCCTAGTTGAAGTCAGCGAAAAAATATACTTTGACTGTATCTTTAGCACAAAGATAATTCAGAATATGATACGTTATCTTACCACAGTGATATTCATCTGATTCATCTGGGCAGTCTGGGACGAGGTCACACCTGTAGCGCTTGAATATACAAACACCAGTTCCACACTGGAACAACTGGTTAGATCCACACTGGAAAGTTTTGTTTCGCTGCTCTACAACTACAGAAATGATGGCCAACTTATATGAGTAACATCACATTGTATAAATTGCTTTAATTTTGCGGTACTTAATTTGGGGGATTGTGCAAATTTTAAAATTTTTGCTGTTATTTAATTTGGCGGATTGTGCAAATTTTTTAATTTTGGCCGCTATTTAATTTGGCGGATTGTGCACATTTTTAAATTTTGGCTGCTATTTAATTTGGCCGATTGTGCAAATTTTTTAATTTTGGCTGCTATTTAATTTGGTGGATTGTGCAAATTTTTAAATTTTGGCTGCTATTTAATTTAGCAGATTGACTATCATCAATCATACGAGGGTTGTCCCAGAAGTAATGCACTATTATGCTCTAACTTTCTTGAATATTCTTCATATTACTCACTTAACAGCTAGCCACCAATGATACAATTTTATCCTTCCTAGTATCAGATTATTTTGTGTGAACTAGCAGGGACTCTGTAGATCTTCAGAAAAAGTTTAAAATTGTCATTTTATCTGTGCTTTTTCCAGATTTTCACAAAAAGTTTAATTTTGCAAGGCAGCACATGGAAAAGGCACTGGACAAATAATGTCAATAACGAGAAATAACTTACGAATATTAGGATAAGATCGGAAGACCTTAATCATAGGGTGCTTCTGGACTGCGATCATAATCCCGCCTTGTTGACTTTCACCCTTACACGTAAACTTGTAACTGGAGGAGTTGCCTCCTTCATAACTATCATCATAGCCAATATTCTGTATCTCTAGTTGAAGAACCGTTTGCGATAATCGTCTTACAGATATTGGTCTATCTTTTGGGACATCCCAATATATGCTGATGGCATTGGTGATAGTACAGTTTATAATGATGTTGTCGCCTTCTTTTGCGATTGTGAGGAGAGGCTGAATCTGGATGAACGCATTTGCTAGAAAACCTGAAAAATATAGATATGTTAATGTTATGCATCATTTAATGGGATGGAGAGGATACTCAAGCAATCAACTCTATGAAATTTGTTGTAATATGTTATAATTGGAGATTGATATATAGATGCATATTTGGGGTCCCTTTTCAACAAACCCTGATCTCCACAGGAGGATTGGCTCCCAGAGTGCAACATCGATATTCTGTCCCATAAGGAGATGTTGTGATTCAAAATTCGGATTCAGACAGCCCCCATTTTGTTTACTTCAATATTTGAATAGTGAATTTTGGTCTTTTTTCTAAACGAAAAATTCCGAAACTCACAAGAAATGATAGAGATTGGTTCAAATATTCTTAACTGTTCATTTTGAATTTATAGTCAGCTAAACTACATTTCCATTATTCTATGTTTATTGCTCGAAAATATCGAGCTTCGATCCTTGGACCCACAGAGCTCTCACCAAGAAATATTTATGGTGTGGTGGAAACATCTTCAGCATAAACATTCAATTGTGATCATATTATTCATGTTATATTTTATCCATTTTCATGCTTATATTGTGTATTCAGTCAAGTTTAAACTGTGGGAACAGTCAATATTTGCCAATAGGCTGTGGTGGGAGCTAAATAGACTGTGGTGCTGCCCCACAGTCTAAAAGCCTAACGAGATGTATGTTGCCAAGATGAGGCTTATCTTGTTTTACCTCTTGAGAATATAGTACTGGTATAAAGATTATAAAGGGGTATATAGAAGTATTTAGAATATCTAGGGGTTTTCTCAGACACGGGGAATAGTTGAATGTTCTTCAAGTTTTTGGTTTACATGATTTCTTTAATGAAACTTCAAATTGGACGCATTGTTTAATCGATATATAGTGATATATATTGTAAAGGGTCTAACAATGCCCCAGATTTTCACCTGATGCCAAGGCTTTGTCCGGGAATGCTCCTAGGTCCTCTAGAAATGTTACAAACTAGAGCAAAGTTGTGGATTAACGTTGATGTGTGGGGTAAAGTCAACGTGAGAAATGGGATAATTTAGCTTGTACATGTATTTGCAAATGCAACTTTCAGCTATCGGATTAACCTACTTTTTTCTGGCAGACTCATAAAATATGAAGTGGCACATACTATTCATATTTCAATGAGTTGGTCATGAAATAGTAGGTTAATCCGGTAGGCGGAAGCCGTTCGTTGCATTCGCGAATACAAGCTAAGACAGTTACCTGTTAGAAACTAGAATTTCCATTTCCGTCATGTTGAATTTTAAAAAGATCTCTTGAGATCTCGATCAATGCGAGAAGAAAAACAGGCTTCCTCGATCCCCCTTCCGCTTAGACCTACCTACCTTAGCCCTGTAGATCGGAAACTAAGCAAATAAACAACAAGGTGTTGAAGTTACCCCATATATTGAGGATAGCCCCAACGTCAATGTTATAATTTTTTGCCATAGTCTATCATCCTCCGTAGGCAGGGCTTCAAAATAAAGAATATCTTCTTCCTCAGTGTGGAAGAAGGAGGTACAGATCTAGACACCTACTTAGGTGGATGAAGTCTATGCAAGTCTGGAGAAACGGACAACAAAACAAAATTTCCACTAAGAAATCAAAAATGCAGGTTGGATCAACAAAATTATTTTGAACTTTAGCCAAGGTAAATCCTCCCAGATTTTCGGTTTATAATTCATCAATACTGGATTATTGATACTTTATAACTTGCAGATATTTTCAAAGTAAAAATACGCCAGATTTAGTGTCTCTTACCTTTGATATGTGCCAAGAAAAGAACAACATAAATTTTTGTAAAAACAGAGGCGGCCATCTTTGTTTTCAATTACTCCATCTATCGTGGAAATTATGAACTAGAAACTAATAGTATTCACGAAATATTATTCCATCTCAGGACACCATATATAGTTCTTCATGATTAATTTGAATTAAAAACTTTGGCAAGTTGCTCAGATCATGTAAAAGCGTGATACAGTTAGACTACTTTTCTCAACAACTTTTCTTAGATCCATGGGCTCTACCACCGATAGAGCCCATGTTAGATCACACTTCCATTCAGAGTGGGCGTGGCTTACTCAAGTCTCTAACCAAATTACTTGATGTGGGCTTAGAATAAGATAAGTCATAACATCCTATTCTACTCCAACTAAAAAGAAGTTTCTCAGCCAAACAACCCATTTAGAATCCTCTGGGGTTCAGATCTCATTGTACTTTAGACCAAAAACCTTGAATACCTGTGATATATTGTACCAATAGAAGAGATTTGCTTTCAATGTGGAATCATATTCTCCGCTTGACCATGGTTAGAGGATAGTACATAGGCCAAGGGTAAAGTAATAGTAAGCCATATATAGAATATACAGCTTACTATTACTTTTCCCTCGGCCTATGGTCATGTGACACCAATCACTACTCCAGTCTCCTTTTTCTCTTGTTTTTAGTTTAGATAATGTACTCTAAAAGATATTCGAAGATTTATGTTACAAGGGGTACTGATTTATTAGATGAAGAATGAGATTCAGCCATTTTTGCAATATTGGTAGGTCGAGTACTTTCAGCCATTTTGATACAATGCTCTTAGAGTCACATGCCAAATATGGACTCCTCCTTCCCCACGATTTTGACAAAAAGTTTCATGATGAAAGATTTTGTGCCAGTTTAACACCTCAAAGTTATTTGGTGTATAACTCTAACCAATGGCACCTATACAATTTGATGTACACATGTATATTGCATTAATTAATCTATTGATGGAATATCAAACATAAAATGTCACCATTTGTTACGTACACCAGACACCATCCATCGAACACCATCCCGAAAAAGTTGGAGCCTATAACAATATGTTACCACTTGTGGTGGTGACATCAAAATGAAATATAAAATCAAGTGGTGAACTTATACATGCCCAATGGTTTCCAAGGATTTTAGTGGAATTATTTTCAAATTCACCAATTAAAATTGGGTGTCAATTCAATAACAAAGAAACAAAAATACCACCTGTAATATTCTGTTTTTTGTTACAGTAGAGTGATTCAGAATCAACAGCAGTTTATGATCAATTAACAGCAGTTTATGATCAATCAACAGCAGTTTAAGATCAATCAACAGAAGTTTACAATCAATCAACAGCAGTTTAAGATCAATCAACAGCAGTTTAAGATCAATCAACAGCAGTTTATGATAAATCAACAGCAGTTTATAATCAATCAACAGCAATTTAATATCAATCAACATAAGTTTACGATCAATCAATAAGAGTTTAAGATCAATCAACAGAAGTTTACGATCAATCAACATCAGTTTAAGATCAATCAGTAGAAGTTTACAATCAATCAACAGCAATTTAATATCAATCAATAGAAGTTTACGATCAATCAATAACAGTTTACGATCAATCAACAGCAGTTTAAGATCAATCAACAAAACATGTTTTATAATAGCAAGTATATTTATTTACACATTAATCAATATTTTCAATCATTATTAAATACAATATAGTTACATAGTCACCTTGGCTCAATGATAAACTTTACATACATGATAATATGACAATAAATGAGGGGAAGAGACAATTTCTGTCTGAACATTCCTTTCATTACAATGACAATATTCATTACAATGAAAATATTCAATACAATGACCTCCCAAGCATTAGAGCAAACGGGCGCAGCAGCACACAGTTGAAAATTTGAAAATTGCATGCCTCCAGTTAAAAATCTCTGCACTCTGCCAAAAATGTGAAATCTTGGGATATTTTGACCAAAAAACAGATAGAATGAAAATTTAGCACCAAGTTTTGAAAATATTCTGGGGAGATCACTGCATTAACATATAACACCAATCTTCTCAAATAAAGTCTCACGTAGCAATCGAGGATTGTTGTTTGAATGGCATAATAAAAACCTGAAAACTCAGTACATGAAACCCCAGATGAAATGACGTCACTCATATACAGTAAAATCTGTGGAAGTGGAACACATTTGGTACCACTTAACAGTGCTCCCCTTGGGATGTGTTTCACTTAACAGATCTTACTGTAGCAGTGAATATGGCATCCTCCGGACACAGGCCTTGAGAAATCGTACCTCGTTTCTCCAAGAAAAAGAAAGGAACTTAGTGGATGAAGTCCGGAGTCCTGCATTCGAAGGATGTGATGAATTGTATGAACATAAGTGATTTACATCTTTATCGTACCAATCTTCTATTTTGATCACAAAGTCTCTGTCTTTGGATGGTGATTACATATCGAGTTTCAAAGATTCAGTGAATACACAACCAGGCCTAGAATCGCAACAGACCGAAATGCACCATAAATATCATTAAATACTGTATAGTCATCACAATAACTGTGCCTCAATTTTCTTGATCTTTTGCAAATGACAGATAAGAGTCTGGTAAACCAGAACGCTGTACAGTCTAAAAATTTTTTAAAGCGTTCAAAGCTAAATTTCCCAAATTTCTGATTCATGCATAGATCCTTTACTTTCATCATTTGGAACTCAAAATTCATACTTAACTATTTCTTAGTTGATTGTTTGGTGAAGTGCACATCGTGCATGTACACTGATTGCTTAATGCTAAACTCATTATAAACTCATAATAATATAATTATATACATCATTAATTAAATGTGCACTAAAATATAAGGATTAGGATTCAAAGTGAGATTTCAAGTTTACCGCCTAATCTATGTTAGCATTCAAAACTTGGAGGTAAAATTTAACCATATTTGGCATGAATGTCAGGCTGACATTTTCACATGTGCTCTTGAGAATTCTCACATCTCAGACATAGGGCTTTCAATTTAAAGGCTCCATGTAAAGTTTGAAAATATAGTTTAATCAATCAACTATTTATTCCTCTACAATTTTCTCAACTATTTGAGAGATTTTTTTTCGAAAAATGTGACATTTGAAATTAAATTGAAATTAAAGTTTCACATAGTACACTTTGATTGGGTAAGACTAATAGTAGGCATTTAGAATTTTAAACTTTATAAGGGGCCTTTAACAACTACAATCATGTTACTTTATATATGAATATATGACCATATGTATTTTATATTCAATTAAAAATATCCAATTAAGCTGCATTTAATAATAAATATATACACCAGTGATTAACCCTCAATTTCAGCGTGTTTCGTCAGTGCCACCTATAGGGAGCCACTAAGCACACAAGAAGACTTTTCCTTCTATATTTCAAACTAAGTACAAAACTTGATTAAATGCTTGTATGTTATGAAACCAAACTGTACAAATATACTTAAATTATTAAATTATTTCCAAATGCCTACTGTATTTGGCAATGCAATAATTGAATAATTAATCTGAAAATCGTTCGTTCAAAAATGTTAAATAAAAAGCTCGGTGATGTTTGAGACCACAGATACAGTGATAATAAAAGATGTTGCTAGGATGTGATGCAGATGTAATACAACGCCTGTGTTTGGGCAATGGGTTGATTTTTTAAAATCAATTTCACATTTTATTTTTATATTTACCGCCATTGAAAACAACTTCAAAATAATACATATTTTGTAAGACTTACAATGTCTAGCATTGTGTTCACTACTAGTTTTTTTTTAAATTGTGTTTTCTACATCAGCATTTAACATACATTTAGCATAAACATGTAGGACTATATTATCCGATGCAAGGTCCTTCTGAAGCTTTTACATCAAGACTTTGGACCACAACCCCTAAAGTAGGTGTGAAGTAGAAGGGAAGGTCTTGAAGCAAGACTTTAAACAAATTCATTTCTACAGTTCACATTTAAGCTGTTCATATAGGCTTAGAGCTATCCATTTGATTCACATACTGTATTAGCAATCATTACAATGGCATATATGAACACATAAAGCCATATGCGAACACAGTTACATGTGAATACAATACACAGTCATATGTTAACATAGTAAAGCTATATGAACACATTAAAGCCATGCGAACACATCAAAGCCATGTGAACACATAGCCATCTTCTGCCAATGGCTTGCTGTCTTGTTACCTTACATGTCTTAAACACACCAAAGTTTGTTAGAACATAAAATATAATACTGTTATATCATTTCTGTTTTCCATGTGTTTTGTTACATGTATTCATGTATACTTCAGAACATCTAATTGGACCAGTTTTTCAAAATAATTTAGTAATATCAAAACTCTTGACTAACAGTTCACATTCTGAATATAAAACTGAATGGCTCCAATACAGTAAAACCTACTGAATTTGCGGACACAATTTTTGAGAATTTGTACATTTGTCTGCTAATTCTTTGTGCTTTACAGTAATCGATGATGAAAATGATACAATAGTTGAAAGCATATCAGCTTAAATGAGAATTTGGTTAATGAAAAGTTGATGGTCTGAAGATCTTGGGAGAAATGTGAATCGTCAACATTCAGTGACTGATAAAACAATATCATTAACCCTTCAACTGGGGAAAAATGGGAACCATTTGAAATGGGAATCATGAAAAAAGGAACCATATGAAAAATGGGAATCATATGAACTCCGGAACTATGTGAAAATGAGAACTATATGAAAAATGAGTACCATGTGATAAATGGGAACCATATAAAGAATGGGAACTATGTGAAAAATGGGAACCACTTTTTAATTCATTTAGAAATATTGGGTCATCAGCCACCCAATACAAGACATTTATATGGCTAACGAATTGCATCTAGTTTACAAATTGAACTATTTACTGGATGAACCATTTATACATTTTTAAATCACATTTTAGGTTCAATGATATTAATGATACGTGCCTTGGTGTTTCAGATGTACTACCAAATAATACATAATGTGTGCACCTTCTAAAATACATTTATTGGAAGTATACATAGTTACAGTTCATTCTTTGAATACTGCATGAAAATAGCATCAGTAGCCATCATGCACAAAATTATTTGCAATTCTTATTGTACAAGAAATTGTACAATTGTACAATCTTTTTGGGAGTTCTTGAATTATCGTTCAAACCTTTTTCAAGTAGTAACTTAATTACTCAAGTTTTCATCTCAAATGATATGAGTAGCATTGACTACTCAAGCGTTTGTCTTGAATATGACTTGAGTAACAATTACTCAAAAGTACAATCTGTTGCTTGAGTCTAATGATTTTGAATTTCAAACTTCTATTTTCCATTCCATGAAGTCCTGTTTGTCATCTAGAATTTGAAACTTTAAAATTCCATTGATGTAAAGGTAGTTTACGTATAATCCATAGCTCCACCTTTATCACATCAGCGTCAAATAAATGCAGGTTTTTCCAGCGGTGATCACAATTCATTACTAGTATGCTGCAGCTTGTAAAATAACTTCATGCTTTGCAAGACCCTAATCCAAATACAGTGAAACCTGTTATATCCGAACACCTCTCAATGTGAACACTTTTTCAAGGTGATAAATTTGTTATCATCCACGAATTTACATATTTAAAAACCCCTCAAAGTGAACACCTGCTTATCCGAAAACTCCAAGCATTTTGGGCGATCCCATTGGTGTTTGGTTTTGACAGGTTTGGCTGTAATCCTACAATGAATGATCTCCTTTTCCATCTCACTGCCATTTAGGATTCAACGATGCTATACAACTATATTCAAAGCTCGAGGAGATAACTGTACAACCATAACTGTATACAAACATGGTGGCAGCGGTGGCTGATATTATGGACATTCTCATATACTCCATAGCTAATAAACACCGCATTAATCCAATACAGCATTAATCCAAAACCACGATAATAATCCAATAATCCAAGACCTCACTGGTGATAAAATGAAACTCCCTAAGCTGACTTAATAATAAAAACTCCAGTAAACGTGCAAAGCAACAAACTTCGCATATTGAATATTCCAAATATCCTAAGGAGTCTTATATGTACAAAGAGGCTCATAAATTCAAGGAGATGAGCCGAGTGCACATTTATAATTCAAGTCTATGTACAAGGCCCAAATCATGATTTGCTGTTACTCGAGAGCCAAGTGAGTCCTTCGTAAAGTCCATCGCCAGTTGTGGCACATGATGGTTGAACGTACCAAACTCGATCTCGAATTCGGGTAAGTCCTAATTTTTCCTGTATTTCATGTGGTTTCATTGCTGGAACAGAAAAATTGAACATTTTGTACGATCAAGATCAGAAAACTAGGCAAATAATACAATTTGAAAAAGAATTCATTTATTATAATCATGCATAAATACATTACAATGAATCAGTATAAAAAATGTAAAAGAAAACACACAATGGTTATCCTGGAATCTTGTTGAATTTGATCAGCACTTTGAAAAAGTGCAATAAAATGTTTACATAACATACCATCGGGTAAATCCTGCTTATTTGCAAATATAAGAACCATAGCGTCCCTCATTTCCCGATCATTGATTATTCTATGTAACTCTTGCTTGGCTTCATCTATACGATCTCTGTCTGCGCAATCTACGACAAATATGAGCCCCTGTGTACCTGTGTAGTAATGCCGCCATAGAGGACGAATCTTATCTTGGCCACCGACATCCTGAAAGTACAAGTAAATAAATAAATGAACGAGGCAAGGCATTACCATGAAAAATGTCACCACCTGCCATTTGTCACAGATGTCAACCACTAAACTAAAATACGATGCTGAGGCCACTGAAAGTAAATAAATGCTGAGGCCAAAGTGTTGAATAAATGTGGAGGCAAATATGATGTTGAGAACACTGAAAGTAAATATATGCTGAGGCCAAAGTGGTGAGTAAATGTGGAGGCAAATATGATGATGAGGCTAATGAAAGTAAATATATGCCGAGGCCAAAGTGTTGAGTAAATGTGGAGGCAAATATGATACTGAGGCCACTGAAAGTAAATATATACTGAGGCCAAAGTGTTGAATAAATGTGGAGGCAAATATGATGCTGAGGCCACTGAAAGTAAATATATGCTGAGGCCAAAGTGGTGAATAAATGTGGAGGCAAATATGATGCTGAGGCTAATGAAAGTAAATAACAAATGTGGAGGCAAATATCATGATGAGGCCACTGAAAGTAAATATATGCAAATATATGCTGAGGCCAAAGTGTTGAATAAATGTGGAGGCAAATATGATGTTGAGAACACTGAAAGTAAATATATGCTGAGGCCAAAGTGGTGAGTAAATGTGGAGGCAAATATGATGCTGAGGCTAATGAAAGTAAATATATGCCGAGGCCAAAGTGTTGAGTAAATGTGGAGGCAAATATGATACTGAGGCCACTGAAAGTAAATATATGCCGAGGCCAAAGTGTTGAATAAATGTGGAGGCAAATATGATGCTGAGGCCACTGAAAGTAAATATATGCTGAGGCCAAAGTGGTGAATAAATGTGGAGGCAAATATGATCCTGAGGCTAATGAAAGTAAATAATAAATGTGGAGGCAAATATCATGATGAGGCCACTGAAAGTAAATATATGCAAATATATGCTGAGGCCAAAGTGTTGAATAAATGTGGAGGCAAATATGATGCTGAGGCCACTGAAAGTAAATAAATGCTGAGGCCAAAGTGGTGAATAAATGTGGAGGCAAATATGATGCTGAGGCCACCATAAAAAAATAAATGTTGCTCGGGCAAATGTTATATGTTATAAAAATAAATGTTGAGACAAATGTAACTATTTTAAAATAATATTTTAGTCTAGATACGCGCCCCTGTTATCTCCACCCCATCCCACTACTTGACTACAGTGCTTCTGTGGGGAGGTGTGTAGGGGGAAGTGTGTAGGGGGGAGGTGTATAGAGGGAAGGTATGTAGGGGGAGGTGTGTAGGGGGGATATGTGTAGAGGGGAGCTCACAAGGGCTTGTAGCTAGACTAGCAATTGTATAATTACATGGGATAAGGGATCAAATGATGTAAGTTCCAAGTAAAGCACTCCTTGAATGAAGAGTTTATATTAAACCGAACAATACAGAAACTCCTTGAGAAGTACACTTTACATGTACAAATTATATTTAAATCTATACAGAAATATCTCGATTTAGTGACAGTACAGTTTTAAATCAATAAAAGTAGAGAAAGTATTTATCAGATTAGATTACACAAGATATAAGTGTATAGAGTGGGTGTAGTATGTTGAACATTGCCAAATGTATGTCAGGGCTGGAACATAAAATATCGGAGCCCCAATTTTTGAAATAGTTTGCATTCAAGCCATTCTTTATCGTCTTATTCTCTATCTTTATGTTAGAGAGGTAGGAAAATATAAGGGCCTAATGTAGGATTCTTTTAACAATCAAACTCCTATAACATTGCCAAATGAGAGCTGGAATTTGAACACTCTACTATACCTTGCATTTGGTGCATGGGCAACCCATTTGGCTTATTAGTAATAATAATTATGTTATTTTTTTTATTTGTCTGGTTCTTATTAATGGTTTATTGGTTGAAAGTTAGATGTTAATAAGGTACTTTCAAAAATATACTAAACAATGCAATTAGACAAACAGAGTATCTTATGCATTTCTAGGGGTTAGGTATAGTAGAGTGTTGAACATTATAAATCTTGAAACCCCGATTTTTTGCTTTAAGCTCAGAAACGACATTTCCTTAACATGGTCTCAATTATGTGATTGAAATGTACATGATATAAACTTTGGAGTACCTTCAATGCATGTGATTGAAATGTACATGATATAAACTTTGGAGTGCCTTCAATGCATGTGATTGAAATGTACATGATAGAAACTTTGGAGTGCCTTCAATGCATGTGATTGAAATGTACATGATAGAAACTTTGGAGTGCCTTCAATGCATGTGATTGAAATGTACATGATAGAAACTTTGGAGTGCCTTCAATGCATGTGATTGAAATGTACATGATATAAACTTTGGAGTGCCTTCAATGCATGTGATTGAAATGTACATGATATAAACTTTGGAGTGCCTTCAATGCATGTGATTGAAATGTACATAATATAAACTTTGGAGTGTTTTCAATGCATGTGATTGAAATGTACATAATATAAACTTTGGAGTGTTTTCAATGCATGTGATTGAAATGTACATAATATAAACTTTGGAGTGTTTTCAATGCATGTGATTGAAATGTACATGATAGAAACTTTGCTTTCAACAGCATACTCTCAATTTCCTTTCAAACTAGGAATTGTGAAACAAGATATGCGCATCATCTAAAATTAAACAACCCAAAAAAGATCATTTTTCATAAAATGCAAATCAATCAAATTGACAGAAATTGTGGATATCAAAATTCCAGCATAAAAAACATGGAAAGAATTTGATCTAATTTACCATACGCTTTCTCTAGGGCACTCAACCACTTAACTAAAATATGATGCTGAGGCCAATGAAAGTCAATATATGCTAACATTGCTGAGGCACAGCCAGGTTTTAGTCAAAGAGTACATTCTCAGCCAGGTTTTGTCTCAGCCATTTTTTTTTATTTAAAAGTACATTGTCTACCAAGTCAGGTTTTTGTGTAAAAGAACACCCACTCACCAGGTTTAAAACAAGGGATAGCTAATAATATAACAAACTTCCGGGAAATGGTATTAAAAATAAGTGGATCAAAAAAATAAATAAATTCAGGGTTAGCTCAAGTGGAAATTCAACCTGGCACTGCTTATTGTCAATTTATTTGAAACCAAAATCCATGACTTCAGCTCTTGCTATAACTTCCAAACTTCCATATGTTGCATCTAAAAACACAACCTCCTAACCAAAAAGTTGATTTAGACAGAGAGAAGGGGAGGGGGTGCAGTTTAAATTAAGACATAAGCAGCTAAGTCTTTTAAATTCTGCACTTTAGTCAAGTGATATTGAAGCAATGTCATAAAATTCTCAGAGTATTTTAGCACCTAGCACTTGTGACCCCCCCCCCCCCCCGACTAGTTCAGATAAGGATTCTAAATGTAAGTCAATTTCTGCACTACAATCATGAATCGAAAGAGTCGCAATGACCTATAAAAAACACTTAAGCACTTAAAACATATCATTTGATACTGAGCTAACAATGACCTCCTTTAAGCAACATATATTTCACCATTATGCTACACGGAAGAAAAAATATCTATGAAATCAAAAGATTCAATTAGGCATAACCACTCTACTTTACCTTGCATTTGGCTTTCATGAGCGACCCATTTGGCTTATTAGTAATGATTATATATTTGTTTTTATTTGTCTGTTCCTTATTAATGGTTTATCGGTTGAAAGTTAGATGTTAATAAGGTACTTTCAAAAATATACTAAACAATCCAATTAGACAAACAAAGTATCTTATGCATTTCTAGGTGTTAGGTATAGTAGTGTGTAACCAATAGTACAATTAAGCTTCTGCATGGTAACCTTGCCTACTAGAGCCAAATGGAAAATATGATTTTTATACTGTCTAGATCATGTTAAATGGTGCAGTAATTCGCTATTGAACCAGTTTATTGATCAAGTTTCATCATTTTAAGGTCATGGTTGCCTTGCAGTAAATTCAGATGTATCAAATTTTCAATTTCTAACCCATTTTTATCTTTATCAGACATAAGAATAAGAGAAAACATAACAAATTCTCTCGAATTTCATCAATTTGCCTTAAATATTTTTCCAGAAACTTTGTCAGTTTTTATATGTTTTTGGACTATGATGTTTCAAGATTAGATTAGATAGGTTTTTTTTGTGATATCTTTCAGAAATCCAGATGTTCAAAATGTTGCATGGTGTAAGATTTCAAAACATGTTACAATACTGTGAAACCTGTCAAGTAAAACACCTCTATAAGTAGAACACCTCTGTAAGTGAAACACTTTTCCAGAGTCCCTTTTACCAGACTTAATTTTAATTGAACCTCTATAAGTTGAAACCTCTTCAATAGAACACTTTTTAGCAGAACCAAAGGTGTTCTACTTACACAGATTTCACTGCACTCACAAGCTCTGAGATACAGTGCAGAAAAAAGCCTCAGAGGGAGAATAAGTGCTACTGAAAAACACATTAAATTCATGAATATCTTGAGTTCGCAAATATTCTAATTAGTGCAAAATAGCAAATTTAGGATGTCACATATTTAAAACTGCTTAAAACTCCTGGCATGATTTGAATCACTAGCAAACTTGAAACAAGGCATTAACATGACAAAATGTCACCACCTAAAACAATTTGGTCAATTTAAAGCAAGTTGGAAAATACCTTTTGACCTTAAGAAGGTTTGATTTGAACTTCTTAGAACATGTAGATGATTTTGAAAAAAAAATTCGTCAATTTGAAGCAAGTTGAAAAAATACCTCTTTGACTTTTTTTGACATTGAGAAGGTCATTGAAGGTCAAATGTAAAGTCAGATTTGAACTTCTGAGAACATGTAGATGATTTTGAAAAAAAAATTAAGTAAATTTGAAGCAAGTTGAAAAAAGACCTTTTTGACCTTGAAAAGGTCATTGAAGGTCAAATGTCAAATCTAAAGTCAGATTTGAACTTCTGAGAACATGTAGATGATTTTGAAAAAAAATAGTCAATTTGAAGCAAGTTGAAAAAAGACCTTTTTGACCTTGAG